TGTGTGTTCGACCTTAACTAAAGGCACCATGCTGACCGGTCATACAGCCACAAAGTCAAATATGCATTACACACTTTCCCCCTAATACAAGTGCCATAATGCATCCGATAATTAGAATCAGGTTCATTTTTATTTTCCACTATATAAAAACTGGTGGGATTTTAATGACACAGCAGCTATTTCTATTGGCCTGTAGTAAAAGGCAGCTGATGCCAGTACAAAATAAAAAAAAACTAAATTAATTACATACACAATACATTTTACAATCTTCAGCCACTATGACTCTTGCAATGATATTAGAGAATACAATTGTGCTTCGTCCTGTAATGAAAGAAAAACCACAGCCGTGTAACATTGCGTAGTTTTATTGAAATTGTAAATGTGTTAGGTGTCATTCTGTTGACCTTAGTTTTTCTACACTCACAAAACCATAAAAGTTTGAACATTATATTAACGATTCTGCTGCTTCAACATTACATTCAAAGCTGTAAATTGTTATAGCTACATTTTGTTAAAAACACAATATTTACATTAATTGCAATACACATTTGTATATTTGGCATACTTACATGAATCTCTTAGAATGTACAGGTTGTCAAGTACTGATTAATGTGAACATTGAATCTCCAAAAATTCACAAGAAATGAAAAAGGTAGATACAAAAATGAAAGATACAAACAATACGAGCTAGATCTGCCCTTTGAAAAAGTTGCACAGAATTAAACATCCATGAAAAACATGTTAAAATGATCTGTATTTTACAAAACAGCATGACATCTGCCCGCCCCAGCCTGTGACAAAATGGCAGTACACAAGGGGCCACTACTGCCTACCCACGTCCAGCGCTTGGAATTCAAAACACAAATTAAATCTTTCTACTGTACAAACATTTGACAGTGATTAGTTTGAAATATTCTGTTTTTTCTGATAAAAATGGGAAAACAATCCTTGCAAGGTGTGTGCTGACTGACATCTCCCTTTTTTAAACAGACAGTTCTTTCATAACAGAAGTTTGTATTCCTAGTAGCGGTTTCATGAGTTGTGCTTGTTCTAAGTATAGTTTGAAAAGAGGCTTGTCACGACTTTTGATCTTACACAATACAATAAATGGCACAGAAATGTGTGGTATATACTTCAGGGGGCGCTGTGCACAGGAGCACCTGCACATAGCTGTTCTTTCTCAATAATAAATACTTGTATTTGTACCTGTAATGCACAGTGGTGCTGGATTCTATACTGAAAGATGTTTGTGCTCAAATGTTTAAGTAAGAGGCTATAGAGATCTGTAGTCCAGCTGCTGGGCTCTGGAGGCAACAGAATGACTATGAGCCAGTAGATTTCAGAAAAATTCAAAGCTCAAAGGTTTAAAGACACCACAACATCTTGTTACAGTTGAAGTCATTTGTGACCTTGAAATGTTTTATTTCAATCCAAAAAGGAGACAGCTGAAGAAAAGGCAAAAGGAAAGAAAGGCATTATACTATTTAGTCCCGTTTATAAAACTCTATCCCGTGACCATTGCTTTTCTTGGCCATCGGTTTTTAACAAGATGTGTTTGTTTTTCTTTAAAGACACGTTTTAACGTGGGTGGACAAAATCATTACATCTGCTGCTAAAAAAATATATGAATCAAGCGGTAAAAGGGGAACATACAGACACACTGTTGTGTATCAGTGTGATCATGGGACTACCAAGCATTCTGGGTATTGTAGATCAAAGATCTAGCAGTTGAGTGTTTTTCCAAAATGATTTTGATCTCAAACATACTTTTTTCACCTCAATCTGACTTTGAGATTGCTTTTCAACCACATGGTTGGTTGGTAACTACATAGGCTGGTTTCAGCCCAAGCCGACGTACTTACACATTTAAAGACCTTCTCTTAAAACCCATGGATCGTCGGGATGGTAAAGTGGATTTTAACTCCAGAGCCTTGAGGGGGCAGGACTATGGACATCTATAAGACCCTAAAAGACCTTGAGAAATATTTAAAAATGATGTATATAGAAAAAAACACATTTGAATATGTTTGCTCCTGTGCACAACGTTTGTTAAAAAGGTCATTTCTCTTTACAGCACATAGTATACAATCCTTTGGCACAATACTGTCTTTGCAACTACATGTGTGGTCATGCAGTGAGGCCCTTCTGGACTTCTCACAGTAGTGATGGGCAAACGGCATGCACGTGCAGCCAGTGGGAGTGGAACCGGTTACCTGGAGGACGATTCTACAAAGGGCAGTGTTGGATAAGGCAGGTTGACCGCTTTACACGCAAACCTGAGCTATGACCTTTTAAACTACTACTATGAAAACATGACATCAGTACATGCCAAGATGCATGAGCCATACGCTACAGCGCTGGATCTGGCTCAGAGGGAGACATACTGTCACTGACTGGGAGCAGTCTCACCCTGAGGACCCCCTGGACAGCTGAGTTAGGGCCCTAGAATACAACTTAACATTGCATTGTTTTGTTCTAACTGAACTTTACTGGGCCAATCGACTGATACTTCAATTGATTATTTTTCCATTTAACTCACACAATGTTTAGAATAAATTAAAATGTATGATTGTTTTGTTGAGAGAATAAGCTTTAAATGATAAATAAGGCTGAAAGTGCAAAGAATTCACTTCGACTGGACACACTTTTCTGTATGAATCTTACCAAGGTATTTGGCAACACCGGACAAAATATTGATAATCCAAATGATTGGCAATATTTTAAAAGTCTGAGCGTAAAGTAAGGCTGAGTGTATAGGATAGGTTGAACTTTTCACAAAACACAGATAATAAAATGAAACATTTGGCTGAACATTTTAAAAATATTATCCTACTCTATCCTAGTATTTTAGATAAATGTTTATAATCTTTAAATCGTATTTTGTACAGTTCTATTATTTGGAGACTTGTTTTGTGTCGTTGACCAGGTCTGCAAAGTAGCGTCTGGGCTCGATGGCCTCGGGACATGGCATCAGTTACTTCAAATGTAGCAATCTTCTGTGTTCTGTCCCTTTTCAATAAACTTCAGTAATTTGATCATTACTTTGTCTTTCATTTTCAACTTTTGTACTTCAAGGATATTTGTTTGGTTAGTTCATTCATTATTAAATTGTTGTAAATGGAGTCAAGGCTGAGTTCTGTTTATCAGTTCTAGAACTCCTACACTCTTCTAGAACCCCTGGAAATTTCAAGGTTTTTTTTCTTTCCTCACAAAGTCTGTCCTCATGGTATTGGTGAAAAACTATGAACTATCTCAAATATATAAAATTTCCCCACTGTGGGACGAATAAAGGATCTCTTAATCTTAATCTATATTTTAAACAGTCTCATTGTACAGGGTAAAAATAAAATAAAAACAATAAAAATCCTAAAACCTGCCCTATGCACTTTAAAAACAGATTCTGCTTGATTTGTGTAAGCCAATGTTGCTTTTGTCCAGTAAAATAGTGGGCTCTGTACATGTTGGCATACACTGATTGCTTTCTTATCACACAATCTCTTTTCTTTGGGTTATTTTGAACCATTACTCCTGTGGATATGAAGACAGCAGTGCGCCTTTTCACTTCTACGCCTCACTGAAATGCATACTCGAGGCCTCTAGCACCGTTTTTGCAATACAACGAACAGTTATTATCAAAAAAATATGAAAAAGAACGTGCAATACTTACTGATAAAAAGACTCTGTTTGCAATACTTAAGGCAAAACAATTTCCATATACCAATATACATAAATATTATTACAACTTTGCTCCTCGAAACTGCCAGTATTGACATCGCTGTAAAATGATGTTCTATTTGCTAAAAGTGCCAAGTCAATACAATGCCCTCTACAAAAATCATTACAAGTGTTTCCTGGAGATTATTTACTTGTTATTGTTGAGTAGGAATGCTAAAAAAGAAACGAGAAAAGAAAAAGAGTGCCCTGTGAAAAAGTGCAAATAATGCCAGTGTATTTCCAGCCCCAGAGGTACATATGCATACACTACAAAACATATTTCTAGATTATTTAAAAGCACATGAATTCAGGTTTCTGTTCTTAATTTCAGTAGATTTGACAAGTTTGATATTATTTTACAATGTATGTCTTAATTGCCAAATGTACTGTAAGCCCATGGAACTATCCTGGTAAAAAATAGCTAGATCAAGAAGTGTTTCCCAACCTTGGTCTCGATACACAGTTTGCACCAGTGGATCAGAAGCAAACTATTAAAGGGGACATAACCCGATTAGGTTCTCTAGAATATGATATAGATTACAGGCGCATCATTAAATCAATCTTTTTGGTTCAACCAAGGACCTCCTCCTTCAGTCCCATTAGTCCCCACCCAGTGAAACATTAATTGCACCACTCCCCTAAATGCGATATTTTTTTCCTCCACATATCACAGATTTAGAAAAGAAAATTGTCAAAGAAAATCTAAAGAACGGGCTAGGTGAGTATATTGCAAAAGCCTATTTCGCAGCTCTTCTATTGGAGATACAGCTTTTTGCTTTGGTTCATCTAATTCAGAGGTGTCCAAACCGGTCCAGAAAGGGCTGCTGTGGCTGCAGGTTTTCTATCAGAACCAGCAGGAGCAGAGCAGACTCCGCCCATTCCCTCAAGTAAGCTCAGTCTTAACCTGAAGATTTGAGGAACTGGGCGGAGTCTGCTCTGCTCCTGCTGGGTCTGATAGAAAAACTGCAGCCACAGCAGCTTTTTCTGGACCGCTTTGGACACTCCTGATCTAATTGCTATTCTGGCAAGAATGTTCTACTCAACAATATTAAATTTCCCACTGACATGGGAAACAAGCTAATTACAATCTGTGTAGAGGCAAGTCTTCTCACTGTAAGAATTCAGTTTTTTAAGCGCTACATAATCCATACCACCTGCAAATGATCAAGTACCCCCAATAGTCCTGCACCCCTGGTTGGGAAACACTGATCAAGAATACTAACCTGAATTCAAATGATTTTAATCCTGACTAACTAGATGTTCAGTTTTTGCAGTGCGAGCTAAACCTATAGCTGCGAGACCTTCCTGGGCAGAGGTCTGGGACGGGGCACACGTGGGTCTGATGCGTCCAGCTTCATGCTCCCGGTGCGCAGCTGGTGGGGTTTGGGGGGCAGCGCGGGCGGGTCGGCCTGTGGCGGGATGGACAGACTGTGGGGCAGCGGCACGGGCCTGCGCGGATTGTCCCTCACGAAGACGCTGTAAGGGGGTGGGGTTTTGTTCTCCCGCCGCACCGGCTCGTCTGACCCGCTGGAGACGGAGAGGGGCAGAGTGCTGGGCGGGAGGGGAGGGTGGTCGGAGGTCGGAAACTCTGTGCCGGACGCCTCAGAGACACTGCAGCGGCTCAGGGACGAGATGCCGCTACTGTAGCTACCTGAGAGCACCGGCGAGCTGGACACCAGGCTGGAGGACGGGCACTCGGTGGGCGACGGCGTGAATGCAGGCAATGCGCTCTGGAGGGGACACAGACACATGCATGTTAGCCTGACTGACAGAAGGGACTATATGGGGGCGGCACGGTGGCTGAGTGGATAGCACTCTCGCCTCTCAGCAAGAAGGTCCTGGGTTCGAATCCCGGCCGGACCAGGGCCTTTCTGAGTGGAGTTTGCATGTTCTCCCTGTGTCTGCGTAGGTTTCCTCCGGGTACTCCGGTTTCCCCTACCACTAAAAATATGTACAATAGTTCTGGCATGCGCCTCCTGTTCGGCGACCCGCTCCCATCTCTGTGTGGAGTGAGAGACAAGTGCCCAAAAAATAACAATTGTAAACCGCTTTGTGACTCTGGTCTGTGAAAGGCGGTATATAAATAAAGCTTACTTACTACTACTTACTTACTATATATGAAAAATAAAAATAACCCTAACATGGTAGTGCTTGAAAAGTTTACACACCCAGCATAAATTCAATGGTTTCAGATGAGATCTTTAATCAATGAAATACATTTTTTCCTACACAAGGTAACAAAAGGATTTCACAGTCCCCGTCACATGAGCCATACATCATTAACATTAAAAACAACCATTAAGATCACTCAGAAAATGTTAAATATAAATCAAAATCTCACAAACAATGATTCACTCATTGCCAGTGGTTGTGTGTAGTCGTACATCATGTCACATCTCAAATTTGGCAATTCATGCAAGGCCAGGAATGTGCAAGAACTGGAGGCTTTGTGCCAAGAAGAATGGGGAGCTTTGCCATCAGAGATCAGAGAGGATAAAGAACTTCATCCACAGCTACGACTAAAGTTCTTAAAGACAATATGGAGGAAAAAAGAAGACAGATCAGACTGCACAACTGGGTATTGTAAATAGAAAGGAAGAACAAAAAATGTGAACTTTTTATTGATATATAGTTATAGATACAGTTTTTCTGCACTCAGATATGAGTAAGGGGTGGATAGGGAGAGAGAAATAGCTGGAAAGACAGATATATAAAGAATTTGCTATTTGCAGGTATAAGAAAATTCATTATGTGTTCCTTTTGAATGGATTTAAAAATGTCATCAGTGGAGTGCGCAGAAGAACGACCATCAGGTATTTTAGTAATGTTGGCTTCAATACATGTCCAGGTATGTCCAGGTTCTTAGATCTTGATTATTATCACATAACAAACCAATCGAGTTAGTGAAGAGTGTTATTGGAAGGTTTCAGATTGGAACTTGAAGGTTGAATTCCACAAATGGAGCAAAATACTCTCCTGAAAAAAAATCTATGCTTGTGCAACTCTTAAAAGATGAACTACGAAGTAAACTTCTCTCCACACTCGAGGAGAAACCTGAGCACATGCCTGGACTCTCCATGGCTTTCTGAAAGCCCCATTCCAAAGTCCCAGAGGCAGGGGATACAGATCATGGATACTGAACAGATTGGGAGGGCCAGCTTTTTCCACTCCTCCAGCTGGCCCTGTGCACACACGTGAAAACGCACAATATGCCAGTTCTCTCTTCAAAATCACATTACTCACAATTAGGAGTGTGATGATATATCGATATAAAGATATATCGTGATACTTTCTCCCGCGATCGATTATCAATATGCATTTGCCAAGTAACAATTTTTTTGTTAGTTTTTTTATTAGTATCAATACTTAACCCTATGAACCCGTCTGCATCGGCGACGATGCATGCGCACATGTTTTACAAATGATCAATTTACTCGCGAACGATAAAACGTAGCAACTTACTACTACTTACTAGTTTTGATTTGTCTGTGCGATGCACGGAGGATAAACTACGTTTGTCTGAAAGTCCGTGTCCAAAGCGTGACCCGTGAGGTACAAACAGCTGTGAGATACAAACACACAGGGACTGCCAAAGATCGTCAGAGTGAGATGTCTCACTCCTCTGCGTTGACTTGTTCTCCCACAGTTGAAACTCGAGCTGCAATTGCAATTACCGGCTGAAGAGTGCGCATTATTGATAAAGACGATAATAAATACAGTAAAATTACATTATGTGTATATGATGTATATAAATATATGTATTATATAAATAATTGATGTTTTTTTTTTTTTTTGGCTTTTTCAGTTTTTTACAGCTGTGCTACAGAAGCAACCCCAGCATTATAGACAAACTGCTTCAGGAAGGGCATCAGGAGTACAGAGTTTTTTGCTTTTATAGTGGAATTTTGTAAAAAGTAGTTAGAGATTCATTTTTTTCCTCATTATCCCCAAGTCCCTAAATAACATTTCTATGCAGTGTAAAAAGTTGTTTATAGCATTTCATTGTGTTTTTTCAAAAAAAATTTGTTAAATTGATTTTCTGTTTAATTTTTTTCTTTGTCTTCATGATTCCATAATTTTCATATAATTCATCTGACAGCTTTACAATATGAATATTCTAAAACCCCAGGTTGTACTGAAAAAAAACAAAGTATACTGCTTGACTCTGCATCAAAAGATGACTGTTTTATGAACAATTATACACAAAGAAAACCAGGCGAGGAAAGTTCCCCAAAATGACCCATGTGCATAGAGGGTTAATATATGACTACATTACACATCCCCATTCCATTTATCTTGAAAAAAAGTGTATTTTTTCACTTAAAATGTTTCTTTTATTTATGCCATAAATTGGCATATGGTATATTTCTGACCAATATATCATGATATAATCGTTATCGAGATATAGGCCTCCTACGTTACCACGGAACACACATCCGCACGGACACGTTTGATTGACATCGCCTGCTGTGCACCAGGCTGTCATTCACACACGCCGGTGCCTCTCCCTCCATCTCTCCCTTCACACCTGACACTGGTGCACACAACAAGCTAACATTGGGGTGCACATCTCTATCGACAGGACGTCTGTATGCTGGAAGCTGATGGAAGTGGACTAGAAGTGTTAGCATTTGTCGCATTGATCAGGGTTATACATGCATATGTGGCAAATTCACTCACTTGTCCAACGTTGTGGAACTAGTTTGTGTTGTTCCGTTTTCTTTGTGAATTTTACAAAGGGCTGTTGTTAAAGCAATTCTCTTTTCAATTATATGATTCTATGCCCCCTGTGGCTTTTTATTATAGTTCATATGAAACTTTAAGTGTGAGCTAACACTATGTTATAGAAGAAACAAGTTGCAAAGATCCAGCTTAACTCAACTTGTCCCACATGGTCCTGCCCCTGTCAGAGCAAAGGTTTGCTCCAACAAAGGGGCTATTCTCAATTGCATATCTCTGCTCCTCAAGTCCCGGTGATCCAAGATGGCGCCCTATTCAAATGAATGGCTTGTGCTCACTAGCGCATAGGACTTCACGGGCGCTGACATATCAGAGGAAATCGCCCATATTTGGGCATCGTCTGGTCCTCCCAATTCTGCGCAGTGGACGAGCTCCCATGATGCGTTGCGCCAAATACGCGTGTGTGGCGCTCACTCACGTGCACAGAGGGGCTCAGCCATGCTTTGACCAATCAGAGCTGCTGATCAGAGCAGTGGTAGAGAGGAGTCAGAGCGGGAAGGAAAACAGCAGAGTTTGTGGCAGTAAAGTGTGGATTTAAAGAAAACCGAAGGATTTAAGAAGAAAAAAAGTTCAGGATGACAAGGGACACTAAAATCTCCACAAAATCCAATCTTTATGAAAGCTGTAGGTTCTCTGTCAGCTGAGGTTGAGCTGTTTTAATTTACATTGGGATCTATGGGACTATTTTCTGGGTAGCCCACGTGAATTTAGTCTGCAGTATCACGGGCGCCCCCTGTGCCCATAGGTGGGACAGCTATAAGCTAGTAATACCCTATCCAGTTATTATTATAGATCCATGCTGCTCCTCCGCAGACAAAGGTGCAATGCATTAAATATACGTTTTTTCCTTTGAAGAAAATCTTGTAAGATGGGTAAATCCTCCACATATAACAGATTTAGAAAAGAAGATAGCAAAAAATAAAGATCCTAAAACCCATCGGAGGGCTAGGTGCTGGTAGTCAGAGGACTATAGGGAAAACAATAATGGTGCATAGCGGCATTTGTATGAGTAAAATTATGTTTTACTCAAACCAAATGTTCAAATAGCACCCCTTGATATGGAGTACCAACAAATCTACACTGAACTTCTCTTGTGATTTTAGAGATAAGAAAAGGGGTATTCATCGTCTTACTGCCCCAGCCTGCCAGTCCAGAGGCACGAACCACCACATAAAGTTACAAAGCGATGCCAAGACAAGACGATGCCAAGACAATTTAAGATAGTCAGAATGGACCTCCTCTACTCCCTCAGTCCTGCCACAGAGGAGGCCAAAATAACTTAACTTTCCGCACACACAAGTAGTAAAATAATATTCATCAATGAATGAGTTTTAGCCCCTGATATTTTTCCTGGACATTAATTATATCGTTTCCTCATATTGGCGATGATTTTTTCCACTTTCTATCAGGATTAGTGTTCAATATCGAGGTGTCCTGTTTTTATTGTTGGCAAATCAACAACTTTGTAAAGTCCTCCAAAACGACTGCTGATTCAGCGCTAAACATAAATACATTGAATCGACTCCTGTGTAATACTGTATCTAAAAATGATGTATTGCAGACAATATGCCACTTGAAAGACATCCCTAGTATTTTATATTGTTAGAGGATCGTTTTTGTACAAGAAGAGATTAAATGTATTCTAATGCCCTAATGTACAGACACGCAGACAAGGTGACATACATTACAATTGTCCCAGTGGTGCGTGCACTTTAAGTAAAAGAGTGAATTTGCCCGGGGCGGTCCCATTGTGGGGACTTTTCTCCGGACAGTCGGGGCATAAAATGACCAAATCAGCAGCGCCGGAGCAGTTAGCAGCTTGACTGAACAGTAATGCAGAGCTCACCAAGCACCAGTCGGCACAGAGCAGGATAAAGAGCCTGGAGCAAAGTGCTAACACATTATTAGCTGCTCAGGATAAAGACCCAAGGCTGTCACTAAGCAAGGTCAGCCTGTCTCAGAACAAGAACGATCACTTCAAAGGAGACTAGAAAGAAAGAAATGGTGGAAAGTAGCCTCAAATGGCTTTTAAACAGGTCTATGTCAGTGTTCCACATAATAGAAGTGACAGGAGCAGAATCTCAAGTTTTATTTGGGTGGCTATAACCTACCGATAATAAGTCACAGAGAGCAAAGCCTGTAAAAGAACAATGTTGAGGACAGTGAGACCAGGTTATGTTTTCATCTGGGTTTGTGAGTTATTAAGATCAAATTAAAATGTATGGGCAGATTTGTATTTTTTTCTTTATTCTGTAAATCTCAGAAAAAGAAAAATGAACAAAAAATTATCTGATAGTGGAAGGATTCTGGTAATGGATCACCTCCAAAATTGCATTTTTGGGGGAGGTCTGTGGTAGAGCTAATGCAACAAACTATTTTTTGGTTTAATCAATAGTTTCTACTGGATTAAAGAATAAAATATGGAAGCTGTATTGTATAATAGAGTCAAATTTAATGAACCCATTCTTTGGAACTGATGGATGTTTTCTGCTTCCCTTTGTTTTAGGGGAACAATTCAGCAAAACAGGGGAAAGTAATTGTGATTCCAACTATACAGAAAGTTATTTAAATATTTTAAATTGAGTTTTATCCCATATCATAGACACCAAGCTCTTTATAATGAAGCTGTAGCCCAGAGGCACAAGCTTCTATGGAAGTGTGATGAGATGCTTATGTCCAGGTATTGTAAGTCATGTTTATTTATATAGCGCATTTTACAGACCAAGTTCACCCAAAGCGCTTTACAATGTTCAGAGTTCAGATATCGTTCCAATCATTCCACACATGGTGATGACAGAAGCGAGAAGCCAAACACTCCGGTGCATCAAAGCCCCAACCAACACCATCCATTCACTCTCTCATTCACATTCATACCTATTGTGCATGTTTTTAGTTGTAGGAGAAATCGGAGCACCCGGAGGAAACCTAGGCAGACACGGGGAGAACATGCAAACTCCACTCAGAAAGGCCCTATCCACTCAGCCACCGTGCCACCCACAATTGTCCACAATGCAAGCGCAAATCATGGCATCTCACTCCACTTAGGAATGAAGTTATGAGAAAAAGGCTAATTTTCTGGATAAAATGCTGGATATGAGAGCAGCAAAGACAACACTTTATTTATTGTGAGGAAAAGGGTGGGCAACAATTTCATGTGGTACGATTTGTGTAAGGGTGATAATTGGCAACAACAAAAGTGACATTTCATGATTTTCTCAGTAGAATCAGCTTGTAGGCGTTTTAACAATGACTACAACAGCCGTTTACTGAGAGGAATAAGACTTCACATGCAATCAAGTTAATTATTGTAATATTTTTGTTAAAACACAATTATTCTGATGATTGTAATCAAGAGTCATGTGCATTTTCAATACAGCTGGTCAGCAAGCATCACGTTTTTCATCCCACACTTTAATACGACAATAAGTCCAGTCTGTCATGGCTCAATGTAATTAAAATCATACATCAATATTTTTCACCTAAAATAATGAACTCGTTGACAACACTTACCTTTTGAGGAGATCTTGAATTTGGAATTGGCGACTTCGACCTTTTAGTTGAGACTGTTGAGATAAAAGATTAATTCAAATGAGTGCAGGTTATAGGTGATTTACATAATAGTGGCACAATATGGGTCAAGCAAGAGTGAGACATGAAGCTGTGAGGAAAGAAAGAGAAAAGTCTAATCAGCCACCCTGCTCTGCTTAGTGACACAGCTAGCAACAATGACTTTTAAACATCCATCCATTTTCTTCCGCTTTATCCCTTGCAAGGTTGCGAGGGCCGCAGTCTGAGCAGAGACGCCCAAACATCCCTATCTACACACACACACCTCCAGCTCATCTGAGGCATTCCCAGGACACAAAGTCCTGGAAAACATAGTCCCTCCAACATGTCCTCTCAGTGGGAAATCCCGGAGAACCTCTTCAGGGAGGCGTCCAGTAGGCATCCAAAACAGATGCTCAAGCCACCTCAACTGAACGTGAAGAATCAGGGACTCTACTCCGAGCTCCTCCCGTGTGACTGAGCTCCTCACCCTATCTCTAAGGGAGCGCCCAGTCACTCTGCGGAGGAAGCTCATTTCGACCACTTGTATCCGCGATCTCGTTCTTTCGGTCATTACCCAAAGCTCATGACCATAGGTGAGGGAGGGAACGAAGATTGACCGGTAAATTGAGAGCTTTGCCTTTCGGCTCAGCTATACCACGAAAGTCCAATACAGCGACCGCATCACTGCACTATTACTAAGTATATGTTAATATTGTTTCACAGCGAGAATTTTAACGTACATATTTGTGTCATATTTGTCCATACAATCGCTATTATAGTTTTTATTTTGTTATCTATAGAGCACACTAGGTACTTTTGCTCTAGTATTCCAATGGGGTTTAAAACTGTAAATGACAAATAAACTGACCCTGAATTTGAAATACATCTGCAGTGTTGCACCTGTTACTGAAGGAGTTGCATCAAGCAATAACTAAATCATAGTTTAAAAAATACATAAGATCTTCTTTTTATCAAATAATGGTGTGAAAAATAGTCAATACACATTAAATAGGTTCGTGAAAATATATTCTGAAGAAATTAATTTTGGGAATATGGAGCTACGAGGTTGGCAAATCTTAGTGTTCTAGAAGAAAATACAAACATCAAGAGTTTGGGGAGCCAAATTTAGGAACTTAGGGGCTGACTAGCTATCTACTAAGTATGAAGGTTTCAGCTAAACATTTAAAGATTACAAACAACTTTTCAGTTTCTAATCTTTGATATTCATACATTTTATTGTTCATTAATCACCAGACAGCTTGTCTGGGGCTGAGCCGCTTTGAATGTTTTATGATAATTATTTTTTAAATCCCTATTGGTATTTTTGATGAGGAATTTACTTTGTAAAACAGGAAGCTCTGCCCACTTTGCAGCTTCAATGGTTGTTAATAATTCAAAGCAAAACAAATACAAACAAACATCCAATAGACCAGTTTGATTATATGGTCCTATCTAACTAAAACATAAATAATTATAGTGCATTTAAATATGCATGAACTGCTAGAGCCGTAAACTATCTGGTCTGCTTTCTGATCTCTCTATCTGTTATAAGCTGTATACAATCAATAGTCTTATTGTTCCGTTCACAGTAATTCAACAGACAGGCCGTGGATGAAAGGTGCATAAAAATTGCATCAAAGCATTTCTGAAAGCATGCGGTTTAGTCGATATATACAACACCCCTACGCTAAAAAGGATTTTTTTTCTGTGAATAGGACAGAATTTGAATTAGTATTGACCAACAAGCTGGAAAAAGAGGGAGCTTTTACAGAGCTAATCTCTTTAGAATGTTTGTGAAAAAAAGCTTTGCAGATTTACAGATGAATAAGATCAAAGTCAGACATTTGAAAGCAAGAGAAAACACCAACTTGTTAGTGGCAGCAAATAGTGTCAAAAGTCAGAGGAGGAATTAGTATCTTCTACTCTAATGGGTCATTTTACCTGTGTATGGTGGCCTAGGAGGGACAGGTGGGCACAGCTGTTTGCTCAAAGAGTCTGAGAAATACGGACTTCCCTCTTTGACACTGTCTAGGCTCCAGCTACTGGGGGTGTGTCTCACTTATAAACACAAAACACCAGCATGTCACCACACAAATGAGACACAGACCACAACAAAAACACAATGGAATACATGGGAATGACATTCAACAGCAGCCACGTCATTGACATTTGCAGAATGCTGTTCCCTTTAAAGATTTTCCTTGTCCAATGCAGGAGAGTCTAAGGCCAGTGATTTATGGACATTGGTCACCTCCTATGGGCTAATGGCTCCTGTGTGTTTCTTAACAGGTTGTTGGCGAAATGACAACTTTGTAAAGTCCTCAGAGACAAGCGCTGTTGTGATTTAGGGCTATACAAAAATAAATAAATAATAACAATATTATTTCTTATTTTGCATCTTGTTTAATTTGTATGAAATGTATATGTTTTAAAAAAAAAAAAACCCTACTGTACAACTGGATTAAACTAAAAGTATTAACACCATTATTTTTTAGAACAAACAAACTTACAGAAAAGGATGTTCTTTGTTGTAGCAAATAATGCACATTGTTTTTTTGTCAACTGTCAAATGACATACAAAAAAATGGTTTTTATTTTGATAATGGATTAGTTGGCCGATTATTGATTTGATAAAGCCTTTAAATGTGCCAAGACTTACAAAAATCGTCTTCTCACAGTCAAGTTATAGCAACATTTAAACTACTTCATAGCATGCTGTGTTGTTCAAAAACAATGAATAGATCACAAAAATAAGTTGACATTATCAATTATCTTGCCCGAGTTTACAAATTAAAAAAACACATGGGATTTTTGTAGCTGGCAGTGAGCGCTAATGATTATGGCTTATACTATCCGAGAGCATTTCAAACACCATTTTCAAGAGGATTGCAGTTCAAAAACCTGGTAATGGGTTCACAATGCGGTATCAGTGCTGCCCCATTGTATGTTCATCCAAATAAATGACACTTCTTTGCTTTTCAAAGTTAAAGATAAACGTAATTACTTGCCAAACGACTGCGGGTGGACTGCCCTTTCGAACAGAAGACTGAGCGCGGTTTCTAAAAATATCTATGCATGTGAGCCTGAGGCAAGGACAAAAGAGGATTTCTTGGACTTGGTTCAGTGTTGGCGACAGAAATATAAAAGCTTTTCTACTGTGATTGTAATAATAGTATCTCATGTAACTAACAGTATTTTTTTTATCGCTAAGACTTCACGCTTCAATAAAGATAATGTGATGAAACGACACACTGGAGCTCGTGTTTAATGCGTGAAGTCGACATATTGCCTTTGTTCATTTTCTCTCACGGCATCTTTTAGCGATCGCACCTTCATACGTGAGACAACAGCGGGAACTTTGGTGAGGGAAACAGTCACATCCGCACGCAACACTTTTATTTGGAGGTGAGGATTTCGTCTCATCAAGCGGAGTTAGTTTTTCTGGCGAAGGGGCCGCCACCTTGTATTTATATAGGGTTTACTGCTGTATAAAGAGATTTGACTATGCAAACCATGCCACCAGCTGTTTCCCCAAGTGCTCGATCTGTAATGAAAACACTAGCCAAGTCCTTATGTGTAGTAAAATGTGTCCACCAATATTTTTTAGGGATGTTTTTGTTGGCTCAAAAATATATTGAGGAATTTTTAGAGTGCATTAGTGTAATGCCATGCTGTGAAAAAAGCTACATGCTGCACATTGCTATATATCGCTATAAATGTGTTATTTCTTTGGCGTATTTGAAGCTGGGGTATACCTTGATTTTGAAGCACGCAGCATTTTATGATGTACTAAAATCCATCTAACAAGTTCCCTGCCCTCAAAACAGCTTGGTTCTATCACTGGTTTTCACATCCCTGTCTTTTGAGACTTTTTCTGACAAAAATGTGAAAAAGAGAGGATCACCCTCACTCAAGTGTCAGATACAGACTCAAAGGGCAACAGGTAAAGTCTTAATTTGTGTAAGCAATGTTGAATAAGTGTGATGGTTTGTGAATCTTGTTCTGCCAAAAATAGAATAAACAAAATATTACATCCTGGGAATGCTTTATTGTTTAATCTTTCAGGGGTCTACTAAAAATGAAACATAGCTGATTCTGGCCTAATTTCTGGTATATTTAAGCCTATTGTGTATTTCCAACTACCTGTTGCAACAATTTTCCCATAAACAAAATACATAAATCGGTTTGTTTAGCTGTTGAAAACTCTCCCGCAGCGGACCGACAACCTGAGCTGAGACGGTTTGTAATAATGCCAAAATGAATGCTAGTCTCTGAGGTTATTTGTACATTTATTTTTAGGCTGTAAGTGATCTGCTGTGTAATACTTGCGGCGGCTGCACTTAATGCCTCAGTGCACCTGATGTCCTTCCTATTGTACGCGGCCCCCGTGTTGAACTCTGATGTGATTGTGTTGTCTTTGTCATGTTGCAACACAGAATAGAGCCGGAGGGAATTAAGGAATGTTTTCTGAACCGTACAGACTTGACAACAATGGCCAGTGAGTAAAAAGAGTCAAATGTCAAGGCAGGACAATATAAACACAATATCCCAGATGTATATGTAGACAAACACGGTAAAACATGTTCATTACAGCCAATAAAATATTCAGTCTGTTACCTTTATCTGGTGCTGAGAGGTTAGGGTCGCTTCTTGGTAAAGTGTTGTCTCCTATTTGATGAGAAGGAGCTCTCTGCAAACACAAGATTAGACTTATAATTAGATTTATAAATGACAGTTATGATTCCCAATGTTTTTAAATGAACTTGACTGGATTTGTAGTTTAAAGGGACTGTATATGATATGTTTTATAAATGTTATGTATTTTAAATTACATCTACATGGGTCGATACAAACCATATTTTCTGACAACAGTTGGATTCAGTGGATTTATTCTTAATCATGCATTTGATTGATTATCCAATCAGAAGAGAATCTGTCACATTTGGGTTGCCAGTTCATAAAATTAAATGTATATGATTTCGGCAAAATACAAGCGCCAAAATCACAACTTTTTCCAAACCCAAAAGGTTTCTCGGTGCCGAATGCATCATAAAAAAAAAAGGCTGCATGCACCGAAGGAAGATAAACATGCAGCTACAAATGAAAGATAGGAAAACTACATATTGAAGTCATGTTATTGTGAAGTATAGGAGATGAAAAGGACATTTTTCTTTGTCCCTGAAGATGGAGAGTGCAATGGAACTACTGCCCTTCAGCGGGGAGCAACAACAACATTGGCTCATTGTGTGTCTATTTTTGTAGCTTGATTCAGAATTTGACGAGAAAGGAAGACCAATACATTCAAGAGTTCAAATAGATAACATTTAAATCCCTTTACAATGTAATACTAACACAAGACTCTTTGAGCTCCTATTCCCCTAACTGTCCCTGTTCAGACTGACTAACACAATTCAGTTCATCCATTATATCAAATGTGCAAAGAGGAGGAGCAACTGGAAGCTTCTTCTTTGTCCCTGTATATGGAAGAAGCGGCAAGACCAGGTCTGGGTCTGGTCCATGTCTTGAACTTTGATCTTGTCTAAGTCTGGGTCCATCTTTCTTAGCAACACTTCTGCATCTCTCTGAAAAACAGGATGCAGCTTGCATCCTTAAGTGGAAATTTAAAACATGCTGCGTCTTACTGAACTAATCAATTAATTAAAAAAGAAAATATAAGCGTGTTCTTTAAAATTCACAACACTATAAAATGTGGAATGGACTCAGTCAACATCAGTCATAATAATCCGGGAGAGCAAAAATACATTTTCAAAGTTGTACTTCTGCAATGACTGTAGCTCCTACGCATATTACATTTGCACTCAAATTCATCGAAATAAGAACTGTAAGTGTGGCTAGGCCGACTTGTAATTTCTTCAGGGAATTGCACCTGCAGGAGTAGAAATAATGTAACTGCAACAAGCTCTGGGTAAAGAATGGAAACTGGCCGCACCATTTGTCAACAACAGCATTACACACCTGGTGCAATTAAAAGGAGCTATATAATTACACACCGGCGCATCAAGGCGATTGCATTTGTGTCTGAAACAAGTGAGCGGCCTAAACTCAGGGTGACCTGGCCAACACAATGTAGCAGCCTCAGGGGCCAGTGTACAAACAGGTGAGCAAGGTGAACTGCTACAAGAGACAGTCTTTTGATTTATTGTATACATATTTTCTTTAGCCACTGCTTAGTCCTTGGGTGGGTAAAGGTTATCATTAGTCATTGTTTTGAAGTTAGGATGGTGCACTTTCTATTAGTGCTCTAATCAATGACAACAATGTTTAATAAAATATACAAATATGTGTGCTTCTTCTACCATTCAAAGAGAGAGAAAGAGAAAGATCATAAAACACTAGTGCTTCAAATAAATATGATTTTTATTTAATTGATAATCCAACAGACTGACTGAAAGAGTAAATAATATGGGTTTCGTGCTATCCGCCACTCAGCCACTGTGTCGGAGTTTGGATTTGTGGGGGCGGGTCCCGGTTTAAAAAAAAATCCAAAATAATGTGTGCTGACATGCTTGTATTACCACCCCGGGTCGGTAGGAGTGGAGCCGGAATAAGAATTAGCCAATGCTAACATATAGCATCTTCTTACCTCTCGAAAATGGCTTTACAGGATGGTCCAAAAGTTGGCTCTCGGCCCAAAGCTCTGTTCCACATGAGTGTCAATGCTGAGGTGATTTTTTTGGACTGGTCTAGTTTAGTCGCCGTAGAATTTTGAAGTCACTTGTCAAATTCATGGGGCTTGTGTCGGCTGACAAATGCGCAAATGCCGTTTTTTAACACTTTCCTCCTGCTCCGGTTTCCCCTACCACTAAAAACATGTACTGTACAATAGGTCTGGCATGCACCTCCTGTACAGAGACCTCGCTGCCCTCTAGAGTGAGAGACAAATGCCCACCATTGTAAAGCACTCCGTCACTCTGGTCTGTGAAAGGTGCTAAATGAATTAAAAATACATACTTAATTCAACACAGAGCGTTCAGACTTAAAGCTGGCAGACTTTCAATTGAAATTATTTAAATGTGTTACTTTTGTCTCTGTGCAGAACATTTTAATAAAATGTGCTATATAAATAAAGTGAATTAGAATAAACAAACAGTCTTATTAGTTTAGTTTAGTAAGTTTTATCATGAATACCTTTCCTAAGAAAAGGACAGGCTTGCAGTCAACACTGTGGGATTTTTTACCATTTTGTTTTCTAATAAACAATTGTTTTGTGAATTTTAGACTGTCATATTTTCACATTTACTGCAAATAAATACACCAAGTATACTCCATCGGCTAAACAAAAAAGCAGATCAGTCGACTTTTAGTTGTAACATCTTTAAATGTACAAACTATTTTTCCTTTAATCCCAGACTGGACATGAGTTATCACAGGCCTCCTCTGGGCACTGCTTGCCTCTGCTCCCCGCTCACCTGTGCAGGGTCCAGCGGGTTGGGGAAGATGGCGCTGACCGGTCGCTCACGTGGAGACAGACATGCGTTTTCTCTGGAATGCTTGTGTTTCTCTGCCATTTGAGGAGAACCTGAAACGACAGAGCAGAGATGTAGTATACCACCTACACACACAAGCTGCCTGTGGAAATACACAGGGGACCAAACAGCAGCACGCTGTTAAAACCATTACCCACAAATACAGGCAATCAGGAAAGGCCAATCTCTCCCTGTGCCCGCTAGCCTCTCTCTGCGCTTTCACCCTCACTAGCTCCACAACATGATAAATGGCCCGCGCCCGCTCATACACTTCTACACGCCTGCTTTGTCGCTACTATAGCCCACCTGGATCACTTCAAACCAGGAGTGATATCATGAAAACTCATATTGAATGAATGAATATTTATTTATTCATAGACATAGAATTGGACCATTATTCAAACCAGTGATATCAACCTTGATTTTTAATTTCTGGATTTAAAAAAATTAGGGCAGATTGGGGGTCGAAAGTTGTTTTTACATGTGTGGTTATATTCTAATTCCTAAATCTGTAAAAATCCCTATATATCTTCAATCATCTTTGAACATGGAGATTCACTTCTGGTAGAAATCTCAGCTATATATGATTTTTTTTCATTTTCATTATTTTGCAGTTTGAACCAAAACTGATACAGGTCTTTTTTTATTTATTTTAAGGTGTTGTGGTATTTCTTAGGCCACTTGCAATGGTCTCACCGGCTGTTATTAAAACTCTTCTTTTACCTCACCATAGATTAGCTTAAAGCCAACCTGGGCCAGGTTCAGTTCATACACAAACTCAAAAGGACTTCAAAATAGAAAGAATCAAATAAGGGATTATATAAATATTCATAGTACATTAAAAATAGTGAAGATACAATCATTCAGTTGTATTCACAGCCAAACAGAACAGTTTTTAATCTTGAAATAAATACATGTTGAGAAAAAGGAGTTTTTCCTTGATACTGCTTATAAGTACCAGGGAAAAAGTACTCAGAAATATGAGCCTGAGGCGTGCCATCTACATTTTATGCAAATTCATTCTGACAATCACATTTTAGCATGCATGTAGTTGAAGGCTTTACCAAAATGAAAATTAATGTTAATCTTGTTTTTCTTATGTACACATAAATCAACAGGTAATACAAAGATAATTATTTTTTATTCAATCTGTTCTGTCTGTAATGAAAAACAATGACATTCACAATAAAACATCTCCCCACACTCTGTTATTTATTTCCCTGCATGGCTTTGTTAAAGCTTTGACCCATTAGTGATTGAGGAGGAACTCAGACCATCACTCAGCTCTGAGATAATCATCAGCAGCTCTTATTTAGATAAGACCAGAGCAGCAATAGTTCTTCTCAGCGTTCAGCCTGCGATGAAGAGTGTGCAGAAGGCAGGGTAATGTCTTTCCATGAATGTCTTAATAAATGTTTGATAAGATCCAGAAACATGTTTTTTTTAGATAAGGGAATGTATAATGGATACAGTAAACCCTGCAGAGGAAAAAAATATCATATTCAGGCATGTTTTGTCCCTTTAATACGCAGTTGTAAAAGTTCTGCTTGTCCACGCCCACATGAAAAAATATTTCAGCTGGTTGGGGGTTTGAAGTGTAATATTGGTGGAAAGTTTGATGAAAGCTCATCTTTGCATTGATGGTATGTTGACACTATGCACCCTACATTCACCCTCCGTGGGCGGTTATCCCTCTCTAAGCTCGGGTCCTCTACCAGAGGCCTGGGAGCTTGAGGGTTCTGCGCAGTATCTTTGCCGCTTCCACATTTCCAAGGTTGTTTCAGAGATCTGCCGTAACCACTCCTCCAGTTTGGGGGTCACTGCCCCAGTGCACCAATCACCATGGGCACTACCTTTCCCATCCAGGCCCTCTTGAACTCCTCTTTGAGCCCTCTGTATTTCTCAAGCTTTTTGTGCTCTTTTTCCTGATGTTACTATCGCTTATATACTCAATAAGCTTAACTGAATCTCAATGCACGCCTTGTTACAATCCTAATGTATAGAACTGCTATAATAAATATGACATCCTAAGCTTTCACATATACTATAAGAATTAAATGCATGGCGCCACTTATTGCCACACTTTGCATTCTGTGCCACATTCCCTGTTTGTTTTTTTATTTGCGCCTGCATATCCCCGGCTCTCACCTGCCCTCACTGACCTCTGCAAACAGATAACATTGGGTGTTGTGCCAATCAAAAGCTCAAAGGGCATATCCCAGAGCTACGAGCGCCCACAATAGTTTGCCCCTGTCATTTTTTTTGGCCTGGTATGAATGAAATCTGTATTAGTCCCACCGTGTCTAAAACCTGCAAAATGCAACAAAAGCACATTGAATGAAGTAGTGAAAGATCTCAGTTATCCGCACCTCGAGCACTGGACGGGGCAGAGCTGGTCACGTTGGGAGAGGCGGAGTGGTTGGAGCTGAGGCTTGAGGTAGATGGACTCGGCTGTTGAGAGAAAATAAAATCATGACAGTTTTACTATCTCTGAAAAGTCATTGTTTCTACTAGGTCTACCACAATAATGACTTTATAGACTTTTAAATTATTCTATATTTACTCAGGGCAAGGCATATTTAACTGTTTAGCAACATTCCTAAACAAGGCAACTCAAAGTGCTATGCAAAACACGGAAATACATAATTAACATCTACAAATAAATAATTACAGTATATAAAAAGAGTGAAGATACAATCCGTCAGTTGTATGTACAGCAAAACAGGACTGTATATGACTCACTCCACAATAAACTGCACAACGCGTCGATCTTACTTCAAGTGGCAATAAAATGAATGTATGAACCAAAAATGTTTGTACCTAATAAATGTTTAATACTATGTAGATCATAGATATACATAGAAGACTCTCAGACAAAAAAAAGATATATATTGAGAATTGGGGACACAATTGTTACATTTAGGACATGTCATGTTGGAGGCTCTGTGAATGGAATAATCATCAGGACAGGGAAGACTACAGTGTGTGGTGGGTATTGGTTGGGGATGTAACTATAGTCAATCTCTAATTACAGATTATACATAATGCAAACAAAATAATTATTCAATAACTGCAGACAAACTGGGCGTGTTGGACGTAACACATCGCGTTCACTGGTTGTTACATCTAAAACGGTCTGGAACTCTATTAATATTACGGGCGTGGATGAATCAGTGTTTATGTAGTGCCCCCTTTCACTGGACAAACAAGTTGGAATCACACAACAGTGGGTGCTGTGAACATTTGGTAGTAACAGCCACGGACATTTTGGGACCCATATGTAACACATTGGTACAATTTAGTGTGGATTTAGCCATGTTCAAATGTATATCCATCCATCTTCCCCTTAATCCATTTCTGGGTTATGTATTACGTTTTTTGAGTTTATGTGTGTTTCTGTTGTATAACTTTTTTGAGAAAATTATTGTTTGACAAAATAGTATGAGAAAAAAACAATATCAACGTATTGTTTAAAAACTGATGTAATTATATTTTTTGTGTCCACATATTTCTCTTCTGTACATTTTCATTTCCATAGTGGGAAGCTTTTTGCCAAGTTCTTTGCAAATAAACATTTAGCTGTGGTTATCCTGAAATATTATGTCGATATCGGACTGTTCATATTCTTGAAAAAGCTGTTTAATACAATACTTAAATTACATGATTGCTTTGATGGAATTATTCATCTGTTTTCTTCCTGCAACACTGCCATAAAGTAGTTTTTTTTTTTCGTTTTTATGACTCTGTGGTAGCACCTGCCATACACTACGCTTCCGTGTGCTGGGCCCCGGGCAGCACAGAGTGGGACAGGAGTAGACTGAACAAGCTGGTCAGGAGGGGCCAGCTTCGTTCTGGGCTGCTCCCTGGACTTTGTGGAGAAGGTGAGGGACAGGAGGGTGCTAGTCAAAGACACCTCCATCATGGACAACACCCACTGCACAGGACTGTAGAGGAGCTGAGGAGCTCCTTCAGTGGAAGACTGAGGCACCCTCAGTGTAGGAAGGAGCGCTACCGCCGGACCTTTATCCCCACCGCTGTCAGACTGTACAATAAGTCACTTTAAGTCACTTGCATTAGGACTGAAAAACCTGCATTACTATTGACACTGTTTCCACTTTTTATTGTACATAATTTATCCTTTATTTAACATGTTTGCACATATCTTTCTTTCTATCCATGCCAGATGTGACATGTAAATTTCTCCTGTGTGAGATCAATAAAGCACATCTTATCTTATAATGTCTATCTTAAATATTTTCGTTACACTCCTCAGAAGCAATAATAAATCTACCAAAAAATGTGTTATTGTTGAATTTTACCCACAATGCACCACAGGGCGCCAATTAAAACCCCAAAAACTGATTCACCAAGGGGAAACGGTTTTTCCAGATGTCACGGATCGAATAGTGTCTTTTTAAATTATGTTTCTGTTTTCTGATGAATCCGATGTTGCCAGTTACAACAAGTGGACTTCATACCAGGAGCTTTCAAATTGATCCAAAAAAAGCTGGAAATAGTGCCAGGCCAAGTCAACGTGAGTCCCACTGTGGACTTGTTTGATTTGGACAAATACAAATGTATTCAGTTTGTACGCACTTAACAAAAGTGCAGATGTTATTAGAAAAGCACTGTTTTTGGTGGAGGTTTAGGCCGGGGGCTGGTTTGGAACATAGGATTGGCACCGATTCATTTACAAATGTATCGAAAACACTAAAAAAAAAAAAGTATTTAGTCAGCCAACAATTTGTGCAAGTTCTCACACTTAAAGAGATGAGGGAGGCCTGTAATTTTTTATCAAAGAAAGACCTCAACAATGAAAGACAGAATGAGAAAAAAAATCCAGAAAATCATATTGTCTGAATTTTAAAGAATGCTCCACTGTTTATGAACTTGCATTGTACACTTGAGTTGAATATCTTAAATTAGTATTTCAAGATAATATTAAAGTGTCAAATAGTATCTCATGGTGCTTTCCAATACAACTCAAAAAGTAACTCTCAAAAATCACGATATAAATAAATGGATATTGTTGTCATGGTGGTTTGAAAATTAGATACCTCAGCTTTATTTTTTCATACGGCAGTGATTTAAATGGTTACTGAGAATAAATGCATATAAACCTGCATGTTGAAGACTTCATCGGAGCTTTCTGATTGCCCTGTGATATTACTGACTTCGTTTGAGGCCTGAGACGACAGGGAGGACGAGGAGTAGCGGTTCACTGCCGGGTAACTGAGAGGACTGCAAAGAAACAGGGCCAAATTATTAGTAAAAGAATATCAAAAAAATAACTATTCTATTTGCTTTGTAGAATATTACTCACATAAGCCATTGTGATGAGCCGTGAAGCAGATGAGACAGAAAAGACAACAAAAAACATCGGATTAGAAGCAAAGCGAGGCATTGTACAAAATAAACAAGCAGAAAAGGAAGAGAACATTCATCCCACAAATATTTCATCAAAAGGCTGCGATCAGCTTTTGTGTTACCAAACAACTCAAAAGGAGAAAATCATAGAGGAGGAGGAGTGAAATGTCAGCGCTGGATGGAAAATGTTAGAAGCGGCTTGTCGCTCGCCCCCTGGGATCAGAGCGTGGAGGAAGAAAGGCGCAGGTAACATGGTCGGGCAAGGTCACTGCTCAGAGCAGCGGCATTCACACAACCAAGCTCTACTCAAATACATACATGCACACACACACACGCACGCACACAAGCACACATGCATGCAGTAAATGAGTAACGGAGAGAGTGGAGCGTTACATTTGTACTAGGGATGTCTATGTCTGTTTTCATAGATGATTATCAGGCCAAATATTCTTCAAATTTATTACTTAGTCATTTGGATCCCGAAAGGTCAGTGTAGATGGTTTTTGTTTTTTACAATACATTAGTCTTTTCTTTGTCATTAAAGCTCAAGCAATACCGATGGAGAACATCTTCAGAGAGGACATGATGTGTGACTGAAAATACTTTCTGAACATTTATTCATTTATTTCTGCAGTGATTAAAGAATCATTATAAAACCTCTTCTCAGCATGTTTAAGTCTATGGGTTCAAAAACTGAATAATTAATTACTAAACTAGTTGACCTTTATTACAATAATAGATTAGTTGTGATTAATTTTAATATTCAACTCGTTCCTCAAAGAGCCGAGTGGCTGCAGGTTTTCATTCCAACCAAGTAGGAGCACACAGAGTTGTAGAAACCCGGCAGTATGTGGCACTGAACTTTCCATTTTCATTTGAGACAAGCATGTGACTTCACCCAGGCTAACAAATTATATCTCTGGAGAACTAAGTGTTCTCACTGAAATTGGAAAAAAAAAATGAAATAAAAATGAATCACTAAAATTATCTATGGCTGAAGAATGTAACGTTTTAAATCAAGCTACATTTCTGACCAAGCGAAAGCATATTTAATTGAAACAAAAAAAACTTCAAAAACAGATTAATTTACCTTTTTGGGGCCATATTATCACTATATCATGCATGAGTTACATATATCTTTTTAAAGATATATTTTTTTACAAACAAATTCACTCAAAAAATAAGAATTACTGTATTCATGGAATTGATTAGTTTGTCTACAGATACATAATCCACAAACATTAGTATAAGTGAAATAGTAAATGCATAAAGCATGCACTGGATCAGAAACATGAGAATGGCACTGACCTGCGTCTGGTGACCCCCCGGCCCCCCTCGGGACTGATGATACTGGGTACAGAGTTACGGCAGGTCCGAGGGCTGCCGTTGGTGAAGTGCACCGGACTGGCACGGACATACGGCGGAAACTCCTGTGGTGAGGGCACACAGCATGAGGACAGAGCTGGTAGGATATACTGTATGACTGTATGACTGAATCATATGACTGGAAAAATTGTATGCACCATTTCATTCTTGAATGGATCTCTATTTTATCAACTCAATTTGATCAAACTCAGAAGGATTAGCTGCTCTCCTGAGATAAATGGTTGGAAATCCCTGTTTAAAAACAACCATAAACCATTTATAAAGCTCATACCCTATTACACATTGTGTAAACAGTGCAATCACTTGTTGCATACTACTATTACTGCCACATAAACTGGGGTCAATAAAGTTACTTCCCATTAGAAAAGGGTCATGGTCAGTGTTAGTGCGTACGTTTGGTTACAGGGGTATATGTATTTCCCCTCACAGTCATACAGTCTTCACGCGGCTCTTGTCAAATACAAGGAGCCATAAAACAAAGCTAATGACTCGTGAAAAAAACAATATTATACTTTCTTACGCACAAGGCATTACCTTTAATAAACTCTCCATCACAAGTGCCTCATAAAGATGTCAGCGATTGTGGCTCATAAATATGTATAAGGCGTTAGAACAATCACACTCAGAGCAGGTACCTGAATGCCCAGACTGGACTTCATCAGGTGGAACTGGTCCACCAGCTTCTTATGCAGAGGCCTCATGTCCTGGGGAACAAACTTCTCATGTACAGCCAGACCGTACTCCAAGATGTGAGCCTGCGGACACACAGGGAATCAATAACAATAAAATAAATTCATAACTCAGTGTGTGGTGCTGCTCTTTGGAACGGATTAACAAATTATTTTCCTTTATTTGATTTTCCTTTATTTGATTTTCAAGGTAACATACATTCAACAAACAAACAAACAAGAATATGTGTAGAGACACATATTTTAAGGAATACAGCAAATTGTGCGCGTGTGAGGGTGTGTGTATGTGGCGTGCGTGCGTGTGTGTGTGTGCGGAACAGTACATTGTGCAAGCAACATTATTATTAATTTATGAACTATAAAAGAACAAAAAAAAGAAAAATAATGGACAGACAATAAGCATAACACTGGATGATAAGTTTTAACCTATGGCTAGAGAAGACATGGGATATATTGGAGCTACATAAAGAAAGAAATGGTGCGGTAGTAAATGTATAATGAGACAAACAGTAATACAAGTTATAAGAATAAATAGAATAATAAAAATAAAACAAATAATAATATTAATAATTAAAAAAAATAAAAAAATAATAATAATAATAATTAAAAAAAATAAAAAAATAATAATAATAATAATAAAACATAAAAATAAAAAAATAGAAAATGGTCCAACCGATATACCCAGACGCAAGCATATGTTTGTACCCATGGTTGAAGTGTTTAACCTATAAGGATTGTTGAAGGCAGTAATAGTGGCAGAAGGAGAGGGGAAGAAAAAAAAAAAAAAACAAAAAAAAATCATATATGTGGATTACATATATGAAATATAGAGATTATATAGGGTTATCCCAAATTATTTACGCACACCATATTTAGAGATACAATCCCCTTCCACTTTCCCTATGTCTGATCCCTCCATCTCCCACCGTGCCTTAATGTGTAGTGCATTAAAAACATTTGTGGAATGTGGTGCATTAAAAAAAAACTCAGACATACTTGGTAAGAGATCGAGGGGGGATGCTTTTTTGTTTTTTAATTTTCTTTTCTCTTTCCTTTCCCTTTTCTTTCTTCCCCTTTTCCTTCCCTTCCCCTTCTCCTTCCCTCCTTTTCTTTCCTCCATCCCTTTCCACTCCTTATCTATCTAGCTTACTTTATATATATGTATATATATATATACACACAATACACATATATACATGTATATATACATATACATACACACATACATATATATATATACACACACACATGCATAGGTGTACGTACATATAAAAGAGATTTCTTTTTTTTTTTTCTTTCCCTCTCCCTCCTTTTCCTCTCTTCCTTCCCTTCCTTCCCCTCTTTTTCTTTCCTCCCCTTTTTTTTTTTTCCTACTGAAATTATAGTGAAAATAGTATAAGAAAAAAAAAAAAGGACAATCCTATATAATATTAGTGGTGTTTATGAGTGAAATTGATTATAGGGAGAATAAATGCGTACAAAAATATATATATATATATATAGAAATAAAAAAAAAAATATATATAATTATAATAATTATTATAATTATAATACTGCCACTGCCACTGCCATCAAGAAGAGAAAAATGTATACAAGAATAATGATAATAATTATAATGAAAATAATCATAATAATAATAATAACAGTAACCATAATAATAGTAATAAATAATAGTCCAGTTGCGACTTATATATTATAGTACAGGAGGTAAAGAAAAAGGCAAACTAATTAATGATCATAAGTAAGGAGGAGAAAGAAGCAAAACAAAACACATCTAAGTTGATTTCTGGGTAGGAGGAGGTATTGTGGTATTGTCAAGATCATAGCATTATGAGTGTATTGATGTGATGAGGGACGACCAGATGGAGGGTTCTATTGCGGATTGGTTGTAATTAACAAATTATTTCAAACCATGCTTAACCTGATTGCATTGTAAAAAAATAAGTAGTCAGTGGTGTTATTGTTTTTGTTTCACAATACAATAAAAATCTACTCTAAAACTGTTATTAATCAAACAACACATTTGTTTTTGAGGTTTTAACCATGTTAACATACTGCTCCATCATCAAAAAAGACCTAGAGTTGTTTTTAGTTCCAGCCATAGGTATTCCCCATACATTTGTGTGGACAAGTGAAATTAAGTCATTTGCAATCACATCTCTGTGTTTACAAATTTGGAAAAAGTCAATTCTAAAATCTACTACTCCCTTTGGTGGTAGATTTGCCCTTCATATATTCATATATTTTCTATGGATATTATTTGTCATTCTAAAAAAAGTAAAAAGTAATCTCATAATAATAATAATAATCCCATCATGAGTTTATTGGTAAAGAGTAATCAGTAATATTTCCATTTTAAAACTCAGGTCTAAGAAGACCCATTTTGTTTCTGCAGCATTCCCAACAAGAAAAGCCGCCGTTTGCTGGGGTGAGACAGCAGCTTGATTGTGTTATTGTAGCCGAGCTGAGAAAATAAATCAGCAGGACTTGGCACACTCTCACCGCAGGATCCATCACAGTAATTAATCACGTGACGTCGACTTTGAGCGTTTTGTACAAGAATGATCCTTTAAGATGATACACGAGAAGATCATAAACACTATCTATTTTCTGAGCCACTAATATTGTCCCATAGTGCATTGATGAAGTTAAAAGGGAAAATCTATCATCATTTTGTAATGTATGTGTTTACCTTTGTTTAAAAGACAACAGGTATCTCATAACTGTCCTTGAACCACTAAAAATTACTTATTATGTCGAGGTGTTGGTATTTTCTGACGGGGTTACAGAAGCATAACCCTGTTTTAATATTTTACTGTTATTGGCAAAGTGACTTTTCCAAAGTCATTTTAAACACTGTAAAGAGAACTGGAAAAGTGCTTGCCACCTCTACAAAGGAGATCACATTACTATCGTATTATTATCCGATTTAGAATTCATAAAGTAACGGAAAAATCTGACTGTTTGAACATCAATTTGTGGTACAACAAAGCTGTAGTCTCTTTTTCCACACAATTCCCTTGTGTACCATTTGTAGCAGATCTATGTCCTAAAAGGCTGAATGTCAAACAAATGAGACTGCAGCACAAACCTGCTCAAACATGAGCTCCCTCAGTCGTCCAATCTTGTCCCCATCCTCTGGGTGATTCAGGATGTAGTCCTTGACAAAAAAGGCCTGCGCACACAAAGGCACAATGCAGCACATCTGTTATACTCACACTGGGAGGCAGAGCGTCAGTTACCTGGCTCCCCACTGGGCCCTGCACTTAACCAGCTCTTTGTTTGAAAGTATGTAAAATGAGACTAAAACAAACAGGTGACTGGTGTGCATGTGTGTAACTTCACCGAAGAGGGAGAAAGTCGTTCATTGAAATCACGATTGAAACTGCTGAATCCCACTTTTACAATACAGGTCAATATTTCCAATAGACATTCGTCTTCACCTTTCTTGGTCATTAAAGACGCTATAACCAAATTATTTTCTAATCAGTTCATAAAAATGCATATTACTTAATACAAGTTGTATTAAAATCCGTAATTTCATTGAATAGAGTTGTAAAAGTTGCAACACAAAGGAGCAGAAAGAAGAAGGTGAGGTTCACACAGAGCAGCAGACTGCTATTCCCAGGGACGTGTCTGTCTACCTCCACAGAGAGAGTGAAGAGTGACTGACAACTGAGAGAACACTGTACAATCCTACATCTGCACTGAAGACAGTCTTTGAAATCTGCTCTTTTGTTTAAACCGAAGAGTAGGCGAGAAGGGAGAAGTTTTATATTCTCTCAAAGGATACCTTGCTCCACCCACACAACCGTGACACGCCCACTATTTTATCTTTTTGTTTATGAATTGGTGATAATTTGCCACTGTTAGGCAGCCATTATTGTTCCGAAGATTTTTTTAAATCAATGGATTTGATGTGACCATGTTTCACTGACGTTGTGTAAAAGGTAAAAATCCACCTGGCAAGACAGAATCTAGAACATGCAGTGCTGTATGAAGCCGTGAGGGGGAAGTGTCTTCAGAGCTCCTTCAAACAGAGTCAGTCTAACATTGAGATCAGCCCCAGGGACATATCTTCCACTTTCAATTAAGTAGTTCCGGGTCTAATTCTAATATGATATCCTGTCATATTGAGTTAAAAAAATCAAAATATGACGCTGTTCTTCACCAAATGTGTATTTCATGCTTCTGGAGAAGACTTTACATGCAATGATATGATCCATTAATACTGTTAATAATATGAGGAGAAAAAAGGCATTTATTGTAAAACTGTGATTTGAGTGACTGGATGTCTAGACAGGGCTTTCACAGGAAGCAGTGTTCAAAACCCACAGCTGTGAGCTCTGATCCTCCCAGACTTCTACTCATGAAGGAGTAGAAGTCAGCAGAAAGAAGGAAACTGAGTGGATATGGGAGGATATTTTGGTTGAAACATTTTTAGTGGATCAAAACCTCCTTATATCTGACTTTAAAGTAGGTTGGGTCAAAAAGGACTGAAAATGAGCTGACATTCACAGACTGGAGCACTGCGAGTAGGTGAGGGGGTGAGGGGGTGCGGGACACTTCCAGGTCTTTAGAAGCTAACTGTAGTCAGTGTACATAAAACCGGAAACAAATTCCACCAACTTGTTGTGTGGTCATTATCAAAGGATTCTGATTCTGCTGCACGCCTCGCATTGTAATCAATAAAAAAGGAACAATAACTCAAAACAAATAATGTCTGTATAAGACATTTTTACACAGGGGTGAAAACCTAGCAGTGGGATTTATTTTGTGAATAAAATACAATATTCAATCTATAATGGATATAACAAGACGGTAATTAAACAAAATAAGGGTTATTTTACATTTCTCCAAGCATACATCTTGCAAATGTAATCAATAATCTTCTACCAGTGATGGAAAATGTATGCGGCAGAGTAGAGAGGCAGAGTTTGTCTCAGTTAATCATTAGAAAAAGTCCAATTATAGATGAACAGTGAGGGGTAAGAGCAGATCAGGGGGCTCCAGGGTCCAGGGCAAAGAAAAACATCTGAATATTAATCATAATAATTTACCAGAGCAGGCAGCCACAAGTGTCAATTACTATGTGGGGATATTCATACATTTTTAAAAGGAACAGCTTGTACTATTCTGAAGAAAAATGTTGAGTTATTAAAGTAATGTTATAACAGTTTAATGTATTATCTGCCAACCTACAAATGATCTCCGCTGCATCAGCCAGTGCTTGGCATGACGGACTATTGGTGCACACCATGCTCTTAGTTAGATAAATAAACAAAAAGTAAGTGAGTAAGTAATCTTTATTTATATACCGCCTTTCACAGACCAGAGTCAGAAAGCGGTTTAGAATTGTTGTGGGCAGAAAACAAATTGTTGTGGGTAATAAAAATAGATCGTTGTAGAGTGTCTTTAAGCTGGATAAAAGAGCCAAACAGGACATTGCATTTACAATACTGTTAACGGTTATCACAGCCAATATCCTGCAGTTTTTTACTTCATCAATGAAACAATTTACTGTCTTGCATTAACCCAGATTATCATAGTTTTTAACGTTTACTGGAGTTATTTCCAGGATAAACAGCAGTTAAACTTTGAGTACAAAACTTTGTCCATTGGTAGGATTCATCACAACGTTTTTTTCTAAAAGTAAAATGCTGTGAACAAATTATTAGACCAGCCGTCTTCATCTCATGAGTTTGCATACTTGCATAGAAAGAACCTTGTGAGTCACTATTTGACAATTTGGGTTGAGAGCCGATTGGCTGAATGAGAAAGGTCTATGTTTATCCATATGCGTATATAAATACATTATACTTATATATTTATTATTACAAATACAATGCACCGGTACTTGCTTCTGTCAAAATCTAAAGAGACAAGAGAAGAGTGACTGACAATATCTGTGGAAACACACAGTATGAGCCCCTGAGCCCAGCTGTCAAAATGTCTTTTTTGTTAGAGATACAAAAGAAGATGTTTAGGAAAGGAAAATAAAGTTATGATGACTTTTGTGGCATTTTAGGGATACATCAGAATGGAAAGTTGCACAACAAAATGGACACTACTGGTAATTAATATGCTTTTGTTTGGGTTGATAGGCAAGTTGATAATGCCAACACAAATATTGGCATCGAAAGTATCAGTACCAAATATTGGTGAGGCCTACAGTAACAAGCCCCCTAGCAGACACAAACACACACACACACACACACACACACACACACACACACTATCTCTCTCTCTTTTTCTCTCAGTGGAACACGCTTGTTGCTATGCGACAGAGAGTCCAGTCACTACTACAGTTACTTTACCGAGAAGTCTTTGAATCATTTCTGAGAATTCTTGTTCAAATAATACGCCATGTTTAAAAACCTGAGAGCTGCACAATTGAGAAGCAGCAGCAGCACTAAAAGTAGAAGTACCAGCAGAAGCAGTAATACTAGCAGTGTGGTAGAAGTTGTAGTAGTGGCAGTAGTAGTAGTAGTAGTAGTAGTAGTTGTAGTAGAATTATTATGTATGTCAGCAGGACAGTGATACAACAATTTTAACTCACAATAAAATAAATTACGAAGTGAAGTTTGACAATTTCATTTTTATTCGTTTTTTTAACACATTCACTACTCTTTTTAACTTTGGAAATTAGATGAATTTTATGAGGGCACTTGCAAAAATTGGATCAATGAACACACGTCATGTTGTCTTGCCACTTTTTCCAACATTTCCCCTCAGCCTTCACGTGTTGTATTGTATTTCCTCACGGACCATAAAGGAAGCCGCTGCACAGAACCTCACAGATCATTCCACCAGTAATCCCTCCATCCATCTCACTTCCTCGCACTCCTCCATCTCACACATCTGACCCGGCCCCTCTTCATCCTAGCATTCATCCATCGACCACACCCCCATCCAGGCCATTTGTATATCCCACATCCATCTAATCCGCCACTTCCACCTCCTCGTTGAGTCATCTGAACCCACTGAGTCATAGCACCCATACATCCATCCATCTGTCCCTCTACAAATGGTCCTGCTTGTCCATATATCTCCCAGTGTAAAACCACCTTCATGGATCATTAGAAAATCTATATGGCGTCTCTCATCACTGGCCCAGTCTTTAAAACCGACTACCATTCTCCATGCTGGCATTGTCACGGTACTAGCCTTTCAGACTTAATTTGCCAAATGCTCAATAATAATTTCAACACCATACTTTAATTAAGCAAGACAATTATCAAAGTCTATATAATTAAATCATCTGATCTCGTCCTGTTAGGATCACTGCATTGCTCATGCAGAACATGGCAGTCTATCCTGTTGGTTTCATGGTGGATCATAAATATTACAGAACCCTACGGCATATTTTTTATTTTTTCATTTGACAGGGACAGTACAAAAAAAACATTGTCACCCACAGGTAACCGATGTCGAGTACACAGGGCTTCTAGCCTAAGGCTAAATTGCAGCCCCCGTCCCTGGTTAGGCTTTTGGAATATATCTGTTGTAGTTATTTTTAAATATTTACTTTGGCATTAAAAAATGTCAACAACTGTATGGGACTTTAAGGAGGGAAGAAAAATGTAATCAAAGTGTTAATGACCACTTAAAGCCGATTTGTTCAAACTTTAGCACTTTTAGAACATACATTATTAATGAGGGGAGGAAATTAAGTACACCAGCTTTAATCAAGGGCTAACTGAGATATGTTACTAATGAAGAAGGTGCAACTAAATAATTTTAATAAGCAATAATATAAGGCACAGGTTTTTACAGAAATTTGAGATGAAACAGGCAAAGGGTGGAGATGTTTGACTATTACTGAATCCAAAAAGAGGATACAAATACAGTACAAGAAAAAAACATTGGAAAGAGTTTTGAAAGAGGAAGTGTATCTGACCTCTTGGTAGCGGGCCAGGCCCCCGTTAACCGCGGCGTCAATGACCCCGTTGAGGCACATGGTGAGGGGGTTGATGTTGGTCATCTGTCGGTTCTGACACTGGGTGATCAGAGTGCGCAGCTGCAGGTTCTTGTTCTCGATCACCTCGATGGCGTTCTCCAGCGGGCTCACCTCCACCTGGGGAACAAAAAGCCTGTGATTCAAGAGGTTTTTTCCAACTAGAAGTATTTACTTGTTTCAGTCCTAATCAATCTGGTTTTATGATCCTTCGTAAAACCAGATTGATTAGGACTGAAACAAGCGAATAATCTAGGGATAAATTAACCCGTTTTATAACCATATGTAGACAAAAACACACTTGTTGGAATTTAATTAGACTCTAAATTGTCTTAAGGTTATTTTATCATCAACCTGTCCAGGGACATGGTAGAAACTAGAATTTTTGTATTAAGAATACACAATTTTTAGTCGTTTTTCAAAGACTAATTTTGATTGTGCGCTGTTCATAATCAAATAAGTTTATTTCAATATGAAAAATGTATTGCTGACCACTTCAAAGTAGTAAAATGTAAGAGTTTCATGTCAAGTCATCATTAAATGGCCCTAACCTGTCAAAAGGCCTTAATGAACCATGCTCTTTTAGAATACTTCTTTAACTGATAACAGTAGTTCAACCAAGATATTTGAATTTCAAAATAGTTTAACAGCCCCTAAATTGTGTTAGTGTTTTCATTTTGATGTCCTGCCCTCTGTTTTTCCAATCAGAAAGTCTGTGATCCTGGTTACCAGAACTCACCACGTCGAGCTAATCTCACTGGTAAAGTAACATGTGGCTGCAGCACTAACAAAGGTCTTGTTTTGATTCTCAAATCATTAATGATAAAACAAGGAATAAAACGAGGATATCTATCTTTGTGAAAAAGGTGTTGGTTATAACTTTGTTGTTCACAAAACTCTTGTATACTCAGCTATTATGGTTCCAGCTGTATTTGTTTGCATATCTGGCAACCTGAATCAGAGTGGGAGAGGTTGCAGTACCCTTTTGGCCAGATTTTTACATACTGCTCCTTTAACAACTAATGATAACTGATCACATATATTTTGATTTCTAACAAATTTAAAGGGGCAGTATGTAGTCTGTACTCTTAGTGGTCTAATGAAGTATTTGCCAAAACAATCTTCATGCATGTGACACACTCCTGTTCATAGTGATGCATTTCACCTGCTGGGTGTGGGTCTTTACATGGAGCAAACGTGTTACGTATGACTACGACCTGCTTTCATTGAAATACATGTGTAGTGCTATTTGTCTGTATGTAAATGTTGGTATAAAAATTAAAAATTAGGATGGAGCCAAAACCAGCTACATTTCCGATAAGAATCTAGCAAAAAAAAGTCGAAATGTGTTTGCATTAGACAATGTTCTCTCTCTCTGTTTACAATCAAAAAACTCACTAAAATTCATCTACAATTTGTAAAACATGGATATAAATACGCAACTGAACTGGATATACGTAAGTAATCACTAGGGCTACACACCATAATAAATCAATTACTCAACATATTTCTTCATAATGAAAAACTCATGAAATAATAATTGCGTTGACTTGCTGACATTTTTGAGGTCTAAATAAATATCAGATATAGAAATGTCAAAACCAAGCTGAAACCGACTATTTGATTTTTGAGTCAAATCTGATCTTTCAAAGGTCTCAAGACATGTCCGCTGGCCTTTACCTCAGTCATCACATTGGATCAATACACTCACACACAGGTGGACGAGCGGGAGACAGGGAGACAGGGAGACAGACAGGGTTTCCAGGATCTCCAATCACATATTTGGAAATATAAAACTTATACATACCACTTCCCTCTTTTCCACTTCAAACCAGCGGGAGATGCCTGGGAGACTTTGGACCAGTGTTAGAGTGGTCCGCTCCACCCACAGGCTCTGTAAGACACAAAACACAGTCCAAATCACACCAACTATCTAGAACAAATCATATTGTGTCATATGTATCGGCAGGCTCTGAAAGACATCTAGCACTATAGCCAACTGTGTGTTAAAACAGCTCTTGAATCTTCTAATACCATTTTAGAATGCATATCGAGTGTACTGCGTTTTCACCTGATGGACATTGCGACACCACCTGAAATGGCGTTAACCCAGCGCCCTCTGTAAGGATTGTTGTGTACATTTCGAATCAGCCTGTGTTTTACTGCAACCAAATCTGTCATGTCCATTTTAAATCTTTCCACTCTTTCTACACAGCAGCCACGTTGAGCTGTAGGTCAAATGTTATGTGCTCCATCTTCAGTCATCATTCATGTTCTAGCAGTAATACTATCAGCCAGCTTGTCAATACGCCAACAAAGTACAAGGTCAGGCTGACAGCTCATAAACCAACAAACTCAATACGTTCTATCACTCAATAACAAAGAGCCTTATACTGGCGTTCACTGTAGAGCTATACTTCAGGAGAAAGGACTGGTTTTGTGTTTTGAAGCAAAGCACAGAATAAGGAAAGCATTTATCACAAAGAAGGAAAAAGTAGTTTCAATACTAAACAGAGGAGTTTATTGTCATTCAGAATTACAATACTTGACATATTGTAATATAGCAAGTATTGCTATTTGATTCTGTGATATATTGCAATTTGTGTCCCTCGTATTATTCGAAGGCATTACAAAAAATGAGGAATGGAGAAAAACAAGACCGCTCTACTCACATTTATTATGATTTGCACATGAACTTAAGACAACTGAACACAAGTGCCCAGCCTTATTCCACCCACGTGAACATTTGAAAATGTTCTCTAAAAAGGGCGCAGCCCGACAGACCAGGGGACAAGAAGGAGGGCTTAGAGTTGGCCGAGGTCTTGGCTGTGATTGACAGCTTGCTTGCCCAGAATTCTCAGTAGTGGCGGTCGACGGATGTAATTCAATTTTAAACTGCTAGATGTTTCACATGCTCCAGGGGCGTGTGAGAGACTTAGGCAAGGCAAGGCAAGTTTATTTGTATAGCACAATTCATATACAAGGCAACTCAAAGTGCTGAACAAAATAGCATTAAAATCATAAATAATCACAGAACATTAAAAGGAAAGATAAAAATATAAAATCCCTCAGTTGTATGCACAGCTAAACAGAACTGTTTTTAACCTGGTTTCAAACAGCCTTGTTTTATACCACAGGCACAGAGCGACGGCTGTCACACAGTACAAAGAGACATCACTTGCTATCCAGAGCGAATGGAGAGGCCAGACACCAAATTCAAATGTAGTGCCACTAAAAAGGTAGGGAGGGCACAGACGGTTTGAGGCTCAAAAGTGATATTTGATCTAATTTGCACTAATATGTAAAACATTTAGAGAGCACTGTAATAAACACATCAATGCAGTTTATGAGTAAAAATTTTGATTTGGTGTTTAGTTGTACTCAAGACACTGGGTGGGTGTTGCTGGCACAGGCCTAATTTGGGGTGGTTTCTGCACTGGCTCCTACTTACTACTTACTTAAAGCAGCTCTACTTGTATACAAACACATACATTGACTGTAGCTACAGTATTGCAGTCCTCTATCATGGGCTGTCCTACACTTCTCCATAAACTTTACAGGGACAGCAGCAACAGCAGTCCTCACAAAAATTGTGAGATAAACAAACAAAAAAAACGTTTAACTCACAGCACTTAATAAATATGTATTCAAAACAGTATCATTCCACCAAAGAAACCCATTAGGAAACAAACTCATGCATTTTAAAACCTGCAACTTACTAAGCAGTAAGTATGAGAAAAATCTAAAGTCTGTATCAAGGTTGGATGTAAATGGACAAACCTTACTTAGTTTTCACCTTGCTCTTGATTTTATGAGGGAACAGGTATGCGTAGGAAATCCTAAATTATTTAAAGCTTGATTGAAAATTGGGGTCTGGCTCAAGGACACTCCAGCAGAGCGGAAAGGTTCTGACATAGTCACATAGTCTATTGATCTAGTGTCCGGAGAATGGAGAAGGGGCTTCCAGCACTCTCCACAACCCAAGTGCCCTCTATTGATTTTATGCTTTTCAACCCCAAGAAAAGCAGCTGGAAATCACTTGGAAACAATTAAACTTGACCAGGTACTTCAATATTTGATGTTTTTGGTGTTGTTAGTAGCACACAGTGAAAAAATAGCAGGCGGTCTCAAATATTGTAATAAATTATAACTTCTTGAAAATAAAAGCTGAAACTCATCAGAAGTTAAGGAGACAGTCTTGTATTAGCTTATCTCATAAAACAATGAATAATGCTAATAAACTGTGACTTTAAAACAGCTTTGTGGTATTTATTATGTTAAGGAATTTGATGAATGATTTGAATTTCTAATACCATTTATAGGAGTGACAGTGGCTCAGTTGGTAGAGCATTGGCCTTAGAGCCTGAAGGTCCCACTGAAAGATCTCAGCTCCTGTGGACTCACCACCTGCAGGAGGATCAGTGAGGGGCTGGTGCTCTGTGTACTGGGTGCAGCTCTGACTGCCACCTCCCGACCCAGGATTGGATTAAGGGGAAGACAATGGATGGATGGATGGATTTGAAATTATGTAAATGTTGGTTGCAGTACTGCAGGTGGCCTTTGAGCACATACTGGACACAGGCAAAACCTTGTAATAGCCAATCCAGATATTAAAACTGATGCTTCTAGTCCATTCTAGTCCTCATATTTCATTTGTCTATCCATAACTTCAACCCTATCCCAAATCCCTGTATGTCCAACTTGTGACATTATTTCATATACTAAAACTAGTACAATTTCTCGAAAGAAAGAAACACAAATAAAAGACGTGTTCTTTAGAGCATTCCCTTCCACTTTAGTGTCTTACCTTGAACTCGTTCTCCTTGTCCTTGCTGCCCTTGTGGAATGGCCGGTCGTATCTGAACCTCCAGATGTGATTGAACTTGTAGAAGCTTTTGATGTTGTCGGGCACACCGTCTCTCTGCAGCACATCCTGGCTCTCCGGGATTGGAGTAACAGCATAGATCTGCAGGTCTGAGTGCTGGGTTAAGGGGCTTTAGTTCCTGTGTGTAAACTACACTGTACATCCATCCATCCATCCATTTTCTACCCTTTAATCCATTTCTGGGTCAGGGGGGTGGCAGTCAGAGATGCCACCCAAGTCTCATAGCACCAGCCCCTCACTGACCCTCTGCAGGTGGTGAGTCCACAGGAGGACGGCTGCTCTCTGAGTGTGAGCATAGCCTTGATCTTTCAGTGGGAGCTTTTGGGCAAAGTGGGGTTAAGTGTCTTGCCCAAGGACACAACGACAGCAGTCATCAGTGGGAGTTGATGGAGAAGGTGCAGAGGTGGGAATTGAACCCACGACCTTCTGGGCTTAAGGCCAATGCTCTACCAACTGAGCTACTGTCGCCCTACACTGTACAATGTGATATATATGTTACTGATGAGAATGACAATATTTCTGCATCTAGAACGGCATATAAAGCAGGCTATGAGCGGTTTAAGATGAACAAAATGTTGATATGGATCCTCACTTAATTGCAGTATCTCATATACTATCTGGAAAAAAAAAAAAAAATGTAGTTGCCACAATCAATTTGAGTGCAGTGGGGCAGTCAGAACAGCTTGAATCCAGTCTGAAATAAAATTGTGTCTGACGTCACCAGAAATGTTTGCCAAATGTGGAAGAAGCCGATTGGAACAAAATCTAGCTCGAGCAAACTTTCTTATATGGCCATTTGTTATGACGGGCTGAGAAAGTGCAGCGTACAAAAAAACATTCTTAGGACCTAAGTGAAAAAGAGAGGATCACTCAGTTCTCAGTCCAAAGAATCCATTAGTTACTTATAAGAAAACGTTCGCCTTTGACAAAACATGTATAATGAAAAAAGTTCATCATCATAGCATGAGTTCATCATCACAACACGAGACTGTAGAACACTTTAGATGATTACCTTTCTACATTTTATTCCACCAATTTGTTTATTATACAAGATATGTGAGAGACAAATACCCTTATAGAACGCAGCGACTTAACTTTTCAATGACTTAAAATTGTAGTTTTAAACTAAAATTACAAAAAATATTTAAAGGGGTCTTTAAAGTGACATAAATAGTATAAAAACTTAAATGTACCACTATGAAATAAGGACAAGGACAGATGGAGGCAACGGCAGCAAGGTTACGCCCACTCCAAGGCCACGCACGCTAGCAGCTATGATGGCTGCACACTGTAGTTACACAACGCAATAAATAGATACATCACTTTTTAATGGCTGGTCAAAATGTCTTCTTCAATATTTGACACAACTGCAAACAATTTCATCCTTGCTTAGCTCAGGAAATGTAAAAATACTTGAATGCTGTTATATAAAGGATTTTTTGTCACATATATTTTTAAGGGGACATCTTATGCAACATTTTCACCATGTTACAAATTGTTTGAAGATGTTTTGATACAAACCAAACATGCAGCTGCACTGTTTTTGTTTTGGAGCTTTTTACCGTCTTACAACATTGTTCTTCATCAAAAACAGACCTCGTGCAAAAACAGATCTCGAGTCTTTCGAGTTTTTAGACCCATCCGTTCCAACATCAGGAACTTCTGGCACAAACATGTGACTCCCCCCCATCAAGCTTCTGCCTCAGTCCTGTAATAATATGATGTCATTGTACCACTATGACATCACACTTTTGTTCTCATTGGGAGTTACAAGCAGAACATGTTTCACCCTTCTTACTCATCTCCCCATTTATTTTCCTCTTAATGTTGCCAGGTGAAAAATATTCCAAATTTGGTTGTCCGTTATACTTCATTGTGCCATAACAAACACCAGAACCTTTTGTTTGTAAGATTCAAATAGTAAAAATGGGCAGATACCAGAGAATCACACAGACGGATGTTTTTTTTAATGATATGTTGTATGATGTATTGTTTGGTATTTTAATATTAACATAGGTGTGACATCTGTTTGTTGCCCAGTTAACTGATACTAAAGTTAGCCTGGTGGTTATAGCAGCATAAAGTCACAGATAATGTCAAAACTAAACTAAATTTGTTTTTAAATAAAGAACCCCTTTATGCCCTCACAATCTAGAACATGAAATGGTTTAGGGTAAACAGAATGAGTAAAAGTATGTATTTGTTTTACTCATATTTTTTCTCTAAATTAAATTAATTTTTGTCATACATTTTTCTAAAGTTTGTAGCAGAGGAGGATGTGAGTCAGTGCTTTCGCTGCGCTGCTGGAATTCATCTAGAGATAAGGCTGCTTCAGGACAGACTGGGAAATATGAGGCAACACAGGTAATCTCCATTTTATGCAAGACTTATTTTGACAGCAGATACTGATGGGTGAGCAATCTAAAAGGATTTATATTAATTAGCATTTGTGACAGAAATATAAAGCAGGACGATCATTTATTCATGGTTCTTGTCTGGCGTTGAGGGAGAGAACGGGGGGATGGCGGTGCAGGTGAGAGCGGACTATAAGTGCATGAATAAAAGAGCCGTTTAACCAGGCTGCCCGCGCTCAGCTAATTTTAACTCCTCGCTTGAATCAATTGTGCAATGAATCAATTTAATAGTATGTATTGTCTTTTTCGCTACCTTTTCCCCTTCGACCACGCTATCCCGAGCGCACAAAATCAATAATTATGATTTGCTGGTTGTGTGTCAAAATGGAAAAGCTAACCGTAACTACAGTATAAATTAAAGGTGTATGTTTCAATTTTTACATTAAATTTATGTTGAAAAGAGAATCAAGGGTAAATAATGCCATCGGCAGTGTTGTGCCAGTTCACAGCTTTTCTGAACTAGTTCAAGTTCAGTTCATACATGCTCAAAGTGAACAGTTCACGTTCAAAGTTCACATTTTTAATTCTGAACTAGTTCAAAGTTCAGTTCATTTTACTTTTTTTGTGAGATACTTAAATAAATATTTTTTTCACACTACGAGCTATATATATATAGTGTGGGTGTACAGGAGATTATATATATATATATATGTATATGTATATATGTCCTGTACACCCACAGGAGGAGAGCCTTTTGACTACAAAACAGACCAGATTTATATGGTTTTCAATGGGAGCAAAACGGAGTTGCCCCATCTCTGCTTATAAACTACAGACAGTAATGCGCTGCAGTGCGTGTGTCTAAACTTTCTGTCAAATGTAAACGGTGTAAACTTTGTCGCTAACTCACCCTGTGTTTTCATCACGACTCGGGCACATGTGAAAAGCACCAGCTCACAGCGCCGCACCGCAACACAGAGTCAGGGTGCGTTCACAGACGGTGGAAACCGTAGGAATTTTTAGATTTCGGCGAAAAAGTGCGAGAATACAGGAGGGAGGAACTTTCTCTCGTTGCGTTTCAAAAGAGAAAACAGATTCCAACGTTCATAGTGATGTCTGCCGTTCATGACACATAAAAATAACTAATTCACGTTCAAGTTCTTTTTTTTTTAAATGTGTTGCGTTCAGTTCAACGTTCACGAAAAAATGTTCACGCACAACACTGGCCATCGGTCTGTAACACCCTACTTATGCTATGCTTTTTTATTATTATTTGAAATTTACAGGCTGCAACCTGTGCATTTAAAAAAAGATAGTGCTTTTAAATGATTGCTCAAAACTTACTGCAAAACAAATAAAAATAACTGATGTCACTTTCTAAAGAGTGAAAAATGTGAGGTAAAATTCCCTTGTGATTTATTGCATTGATATTGTAAATAATATGCAAAGCGCAAGCTAGACAATTCATCTATCTATATGCGTATCACAGGAATGTAATGTCTCAGTGTGTGTGTCTTTTCTTTTACATTTTTTTTTTTTTTTTCCATTGTACCTTATAAAGGCTCAATATGTCTCACTTAGCACATAATCAAAGGAGTCTATAACATATTAGTTTAATACTGCAAGTAAAAATCCAGTACTGTAGATTGACGGTTGAATGATATTCTGATCCTCTGACTTTCACCTGGAGTATGCATAATTATATGTCTATAAATCACAGTCCTACACATTGGAGCATAATTATGGAGGTTTTGCGCGTATACAAAGTGATTATCGCCCAAACTGGCAGAACAAGCTAAACCTGGCAAATTGCACACAATTTTACTTTGCTTTTGAATTCTAGCACCTGGATAGATAAATATACACCCAATACCCCATTGAGCTTTGATTGCTGCACTGTCTTACAAATGGAGTAAACAAAATATTCTTTGTTTCAGGTGAAGATCAGAAAACAAAAAGCAATTTCTTACTTGAAATTAGAATAGAAAGGTTACTCTGCTTTTTTCCTGTGGAGATTGTTGAGAGCTGAACAGAAAATAACGAGTATATTCTACCATGCTGTGATTCTATCATGAAGTGTTATAAGACATAGTATGTGTGCGGTTTGGCAATTTGATTCAGCACTCAAAGTAACAGCAGAATAATGGCTTCCATTATTACAACATATAAATGAGGAGACGGTTGTCAAGCCGACAAATGCTGGGGCGTCTGACCTTATAGCGACAGTATATATAGTTATAAAATGACCATCTATCTAACGAGTTCCTCTCTTTCAAAACAGTTTGGTTCTATCACTAATTCACATTCATGGATTTTTGGCCTTTGTCAAATTTTTAGATTAACTTTTCAGACAGAAAAGTGAAAAATAGAGGACCACTCACTCAGCCTTTTTGAAGTTTTTTTCACTCAGCCAAACAAACTACACATACATTCTTCATCTTATTAGATATTTGAATACTGTTTGCAAGAAAGAGCACTGTGAGTCACTAGTTGACTCTTTGGGCCGACAGCTCATTAGTGAATGAGTGAGGGTGGTTCTCGTTTTTTACCTTTCCATTTACCTTTTCTATCTGAAAAAGCTGATCTAAAGACATGACAGATGACAAAAAACATGCATGTTAGAGCCAGAACTAGTTAGATGAATTGTATTAAATAGTGAGTTAGGTAACCCAGCTTGAAACCGTTATCAAAATTGACACTGATTATACTGTACTGCTACTGTGTACTGACACGGAATCCTGGCTGTTTGAATAAATCAAAAAGAAAATCTTGCGCACTCCCATTGCTCTGTATTCCAGTCGACGGTAGGTTAAGGATACACTGGGCGTCGGCCTGGTAGATGGTCTGGTCCGGCTGGTTCACGTGTTGCATGGCGATGGCGTGGGGAAACTCGTTGAGCATCCGCTGCTGAAAAGCCTCCAGCCGCTCGTAGTCGTGGCCTCTGCAAACAAACTCCTTATTCTGTAGAGAGGGAAGAGAGGAGTGCAGAGTTACAGTGACACCCAGTGGTTAAGCTCAGTAACTGCAGTGTGGCCATTGGAAAAGTCCAAGGACAAGGCGTGTTACATCATTTAATTGTATTAAGTGGAGTTGAATGTCACCTCCAGCTTGAGGAGTTTTTAAAGCAAAGTTTAGACCCATGGTTTCTGTCTGTGGACTCGGAACACTTGGGAGAATGTTTAAAGAAAAGCTTTGACTATTCAAAAGCAGTGCATTTTGTTTGTCTTCAGTGAAACCAAGATAAAATATCTATGCAACAATTCATTTTAATACAATACATGTAACTTGTTCCTTGCTCTCAAAATTACATTGTTCTATCACTAGTATCACATGTTCTGTCTTTGTCACATATTCTTCAGACAGAAAAAGTGAAAAAGAGAGGACTACTCTCACTCTGTTAATTTTCTCTCAGTATTTAAAGATAACATTAACAAACTAAAATAATTGTCCTATAAAATGAACTTTGGGTTGTATGAATTGTGCAATGTATATAAACTTCCCTTGTCTCGCCTTAATGCAAATGAAAAATGCGATGCTCTGAGCTGTAGATTTATCCTTTAAGCAGATTTGACAACTGCATTTTGGTTTTGCTGGTATTGTAAAAGTAGCCACAACAATAAGAATGTTGACAGATCTATACAAAATATCTGTCGTTGCTTTGGTGAACTTCATTTACTCCTCACAGTAATCATAAAACTGAGAGAAAGACATTAACACATCCTGATCTCTGACACAGACCTCTGGCAGAAATCTTCCTTACCCTTAAAAAGAAAGGAAACTTCTTCCCATAGAAACCAACTCTGAAAAACTCCGGCTCCAACCGCTGCTGGTCCATGATCTTGTCGTACAGCGAAGCCTCCATCATCTGAAAACCGCACAGTGTAAAAATCACATTGCGTACAGTTCTGATGAGGGAAAATGTGTATATTCTGAATTAATTATCAGTAGAATATAAGCATACCCTCATTTTGCTCAAATTCCTGTAGTCATAATAGGACTCGTACTGATCAGCCAGCTCTCTGCAAAGAATAATCCCGTTCTCCCAGCACTGCAGACAAATACACATGCGCGCATTAGATTCATGGAGAAATTGAAGATGTAAATTGTAAAAATAGTTTGACCGCTATGTGTGAAGACCACAAGAACAAATGTTGTGTTCAAATACCAAAGACCGTACTCAGTATGATGTAAAAGATTTTTTAAAAACTTTATTTAACCAGGAAAGTCCCATTAAGATTAAGAACCTACAGATTATAAAAACAGATAGATTTCAATGAGGACGTCTCAAGTTCTCTCAATCTGGATCTAAAAGCATTCAATGAAATAGCTTCAGATAATTTCTTAAGTCTTTTTGCAACACGTTCCATGTAGAAGGAGCAGCACATACAAAAGCTTTTTTTTTCCCAATTCTGGGAAAAAGGAACAGAGAGCAACAAAAGATCATTTGTTCCAAACCATATGAACATGTCTTTGTGTGAATAAATGGCAGATGTCAGAGGGCAGCAGACCAAGCAGAGCCTTATAAACTGAACAAACAAGGCCATCTCCAGAATATAATCCACAGTGGTGAGTCGAGGTTTTGCAGTTTGTAATGAACCTCAGAGAAGCATGATACGAAGTGTCAATGTGATGAAGACTTTGAGTTTAGGCATTCATATATATCAGGTCTCCACAAGTGACAAGCCGCTTTTTCACATTAAAAGAAAAACAACATTTATTTCTAAAAAAAATAAGTATTATCTAATCACAGATTCTGTTACTACTCAAAAACTGAACGTAAAAGGAAATACCTGTAGTGCAAGTGTAAATCAGGTTATTCAAACAGTTATACCTGATATAATTATACACTATTTTAAAACAAAAGTATTTCCCATGAATTTTGGTAATTTTGACAGTAATTTTCAACTACATATAAAACAAAAACACATTCTACCCTCCCCTTACCCTTGATACTTGTTCCATATTATTTCTACAGAATATTTTATTTACCATAAATAAAGAAACAACAGTTTGTTTTGTAATAGTGCTCCTCTGCATCTGTTCCACTAGATGGCACTGGTGCGGGGTTCCTCTGCAGCTGGGACCTGTACATAAGGTAAACAGCCCTCTCACTACCCCCTGTCTTACCCCTGTAAGCCCGTAACCACACTGCATGTTGAGTCAAATTGGAATGTGAGTATTGAGAGGAGCAATTAAAGGCCAGCGTAGTGATTATGTAGTTTGTTAAGTAATTATGAAGTGGAAATTATTGAATATAAATTGTGTGAAGTTTAGGGTAAGCCTCCCATTTGATTCTGAAATCTAATTTTCATTTTATATTGTGGAGTTCATACTCAGACTTTAGCAATATGAGAAAATCAACATGTGAAAAGGGGACAAAATGACAACAGCACTATCCAAGTCAGTTTGTAGTAAAACCTAAGCCGAAAGGGTAAGTCAAGGGTTCATTCAAAGATATTATAAAGATTCCTTGATATTGGATAAAAACATGTTGAAACAACATTGCTGTTGTTGGAAAATTGATATTATCTGCTCTTGTAGCGATGCCTGTGATGGGAAAAGAGATCTGGCAAGGCGGACTTTTGTTGAATTCCCACATGAAGAGTGACAAATGTACAAAAGTAAAACATGAGAAAAAAGAAAACATTAAAAATTAACAAGAAAATGAAAAGGGAATAACTTTTTAGACATTTCTCACACTTTCTGTTTATCGCTGGAATGCTTCTCAACGTTTCTGTATTGGAATGACGTAGATTTCAAAACCCAGCGAAGGGTTGTCAAAAGTATTAAAAATCACATATGATATTGATACTAAAACTGTTATCAAAACTAAATACTAGATCTGTTAAAAATATATATAAAACATTTTAAGAAATAACTTTTCCAAAAAAAAAAAAAAAAAAAGGTTTACAACAAAAATATCAATATCGACTTGGAAAAAAATGCAGCCATGGAGCTTTGTGAAATGTGGATGCTAAAATTGTGATTTTGCCACACCCACTTCCAAATGAATAGAACAGAAAGACTTTATGTCAGGCTGCTTAGCTTGTTCAAATAATGTGCAGACTGCTGAACAACTCACTAGTATGTATTTGATGAAGATACAACATTGTAAAGAGGATATAATAGTTCATAAACCTATAGGACGGTTCAGCGATATTAAACGGAGGCTTCACTCACTGTTCCTTTCCTGAACAGACAGGCACAGGATATTGGGGAGATGATATGAATCCTATTTTAATTGCAGCCATCAGCCATTTATCTGATTAATCCAAGGAGGTGTTGACGCCTGCAGCCGCTGTCACAGTTTGTGATGATTGGAAATGAAACGTGGAACTGGCAACAACGGAAATGCCGGGGGATCTCAGTGTCATGTAATGAATCACTGTTGTTATTATGTTTAATATGTCATTCAGAAATACATTCAGTGTAATTATATGATCATCGCGCAGCCTTTAAACATCAGGATTTTCATATGACTGCATTTTCTGTCTCTCTTTGTTTTTTCTTTTCTTTTTTTCACTCCATGAGCTATAACAACACCAACACCTACTGATATATACAATTTCATGTAGTGATTATTTGAAGCAACCCAACATGCTAAATTAAAGTTAAAGCTGTTTAATAGAGAAATATGTTGTGCCATTTCTTCTAATATCACAATGTTTGCATCAAAAGAGGAAATTGAAAAATAAAAAACAAAAAATAACTCAAACAAAAAATAACTCAAATCATCTTGTGACCTCCGGCTAATATCCTACAATCCTCACTTTGGGAACCACTAAGCTAATGCTCAATTTGCTGGAATGATTTTGTATAATCTATCACAGCACTTAAGCATACTTGTTCTTGCATTTTAGTCCTTTCTTGTATATTCATGAGTGGAAAAGAGTCAATTTTTAGTAAGGTCTGAGTTTCAGGGAAATTCAAAAGGAGAAAAGCCCAAATACAATATGAAGGAAAATATCAGTGTTGTAAAAGTGTTAACACAAACAAATTCATTTGTATTGATAAATTGCTCATAAGTGGACATTTTGATCCATGTTATAACCTCCACTACTAGTCAAACCATAAAACATTATTTCTTAAACAAAAAAAAGTTAGGTAGCCCAGCTTTAAATGCTTCGTACACTATTTAACGCAGCTCATAGACATTAATCCTTTACAACGGTCTATAAAATATACAGCCACATTTACAACACACTCAAACTGATAATAACCGGGACACACTATTAATTGAGCTCCAACTACGTGTCATTATCTTTAATTCAGTAGTAAAAAAGGCAAAGTCACCTTTCCCCTGTCGAAGTTCTGAACGATGGTGAGGTGCAGAAACTCCTTCCGCTGCCACTCGCTCTGCATGGGGTAGTTGAGGAACTCTCGGAGCGGCCTGTCTGACCACTCCAGCAGCTCATCGTACAGCAGCAGCGTGTACGAGGCTTCTGCAAAAAGAGACAGAATATATGTATGTGAGAGTGCAGGCCATCACTACAAAAACGACAAACTAGAAGGTACATGCTTAAATCAAAGCCTCCCCACTGTTGTTCCCAGAGGTCTCCCATCACAGTATTAACCAGGCTGCTTAACTTCTGAGGTTTGCCTGTGCCATGCTTTCAAATGCAGGTGGCGCTCTACTTCAAGCTAAATTAGTTGCATGGGAAAGGAAGATCATACTCTCTCTAATGACAAGTATATGTTCAACTGAATTGATCAATCAATTGGCTTTTGAAAGCAGGAACAGGAGTAGATTCTCATCAAACTACATAAAAACTACTGAAATTCAGACAAAATGCCAAATAAAAAGATCAAAGCCAATGCTTAGACATGGCTACAAATGAGTCAAAACAAAACAGTTCAATCTCACCTGTGTAGTTTTGTGCTTTTAAGTGCAGTTCGTAAAGTTTGTGGATGTAGCGAATGTACATCTCCTCTTTGTTCAACTCTGTCTTGTAGAAATTCTGTGAAAGCAGCAGATAATTACTTCTAAATGAGAGATGACACTGGAAACAGAATGACAATGACAACATCAAAGCAATTATAGGCAGAGCTGTCCGGTTGTGGAAATCTAAAACATATTTTGGCAGTTGTGATTGACTTTCTGCTCAGTCAGCTGTGATCTCCATATGGTGCAGTTTATGTGGGCTTGGAGCAGGTAACAGGAGTAAGAAGACTTCTGCCACTGTCCTTATGGAATACATTTCTCAATCTGCTAATCGCCATATGGAAATAGTTTTACTGTCAATTTGTACAAAATTACAATCAATCAAATCTGACTTACTGAAAAAACGTGTGAAGCAACTGTTCTGTTTATTTGTATGTGTTTCAATTGCTATCAGGCCCGCTTGAATATGATTTTACGCCATCTAACAATGGGTGTCAATAATGAGAAAATATGACTGTAGCAAGAAAAGTAGTAGCCATAACTAGGGATGCACCAATACCGATACTGGTATCGGGTCGATACCATAGGCTTGTACTCTTACTCATACCATAGGACATGTGGCATGTGTTGCCATGGTTATCTCCTAAAGTCTGCAGCGAGAAAGTTTAGCGGCTAAGCTAGCGGCAAGCGGATGTCGGCCGTATAGAGTGGCAAGAGTAAAGCGAACTGGATCCAAAACAGACGCGTAAAATACCAGTAACTTAATCAAACATCTGAAAACTAGTATATCAGCAAAGTATAGCACCTTCGCTAGCACTGGAGCTAGCACCGGAGCACAAAACAACCAACCCTACAACATAGCATGTGTATGAGTGGAATGTGACAGTGGCTCTTATTGTTTACTCTTACAACAATTGCTAATATATTTAATTGTTTAAGCATTTTCTTATTGTTGGAAATGGTAGATAAAACATTTTAAATTTCAGTTGTATTAGTTTTATGAATTTTTTTTCCGACATCTTCTAATTCAACCACTGGTAAAATAAAAATTAGAAATGACTGTTTTTGTAGTTTTACTCACCAGTAGACTCACAGTACACCCAATCTTTTTGCCATCTACTTCGCCCAGCTTCATGCAGTCCCTGCAAAACATTGGAACTGTAAGCCATCATTCCCTCACAAATATGAACAGTACAAACTCAGACTAAAAGCTGTCATTGTCCTTGCACAGTTGTGTGGGGCCTTACCTGTAGTCCAAAAGCCTCTCCATGAGCCTTGTGACCGTAGCAATCAGCGAGACCCCACTCTCCCTCCATGTCTCCCTCTCGATCTTCTTCAACAGGCTACAGCACAAACAAAGCCATAATGGGAGGAATACATTTAAAACAAGACAAGAGCCGATCTCCCTAAAAAGATCTGTACCGCACAGAGTCAATGGGAAAAGAAAGGCGATCATGGGCCAAAGGAAAAAGAAGGAAGCAAAAAATACTGAGGTTCAAGCCAGTGTCACCTATGCTTGATGTCCAGCCTGCAGTGTTTACGAAAAAGAAAGATCTATGGAACTACAATTGAACCGATTAAAACTACAACTCTATGCCATTTCTGCAAAGAAGCCAGATGCAAATCACTACATGGATTGAGATAGAACTATACCAACACCAAGGAATTCAACAGTTTGATCAGACCAGATTAAAGGTCAAATCACACCCAGGACTAATTGAAAGTCAATAACTTAAAGAATACCCAAATGGCATTAAATACATGTCAATGCATTTTTTAAATGCATGTATTTACTAAAAGTGTTTTTCACAAATATTACTTTAACAAAAGAGTTAACAGTCAATTTTAAAGGGAGACATGTACCTGAGCATATGACCATGTAGTATCAGAAAAAAAGTATTTTTAAGTATCTACAATAACAGAGTAAAAGAGTTGGGACAATGGTGAATGGCCTATTCTGTAATTCAAGGATCTAAATGTATTCTGTCCAATCAGAAAGCAGTGGGGGTGAGAATGGGTGTGTCCCATGGGTGCTTGCTTTGGAAAAATAACTTTAACATTAACTTTAAAGAACCTCAAATACCTTACCCAAGACTAAACCATTTCCAAAACACAACCAGACGCAAAATTGACAAAAATTGGCTTTACACACCCTTCAAGAGACCAGACCAGAAAGTCCAGATTCCAACAATTGTAAAAATTATTGCAAATGAAGTAAATTTCCACACAGACGACACTGAGAAAACAGGAGGGTCTTACCTAGGGTACGGACCAAACAGAGGAATTCTATCCAGGCGGGAAGCATAGGTGGGATACATTAATACGATTAATACCAACGCACAAAAAGTAGGGGTTAGTGGAGTTAGCAGAAAAAATATATAAATAAAAAAGCTAACATCAAAGTAAATCGTATTTTAGATAAACTAAGATTCATGATGAAATGCATATTCAAATGTAAATGAAATTATTTGGATGGTCAAAATGTAATCTTAGAGTTGATGCATCAATGAAATGAAATAGATGCATAGTCAATATTCATGGGTATAAAGTGATCATAATATTTGAGGGAGGTGGGAGTTATGGACAAATGTATCAAATAGATTGTCAATTATTTCAAATAGTAAACTGATTTTCTGAAATAAATGTGTTCAAGAACATACATCCACACAGAGATTACAGAGACAATGCATGCAGCCAAAACATAGACACAGCATGGACCAAGGCGGAGAGGGGGTGGGGGTTGTCACAGAGGTTTTGTGATAACTTACCTGTAAAATCTGCATGTGCCTACAACAGGTTAACTCTACCTGACAGCATTGCATTTTTACTGGAGTCCAGGAAGTGATAAATTGGCGTTTGTCTGTTTCTGAGCCACATAACCCAAACATCACTGTCTGGATGGAGGACATTGTTTAAGGAATTGACCCTCTAAGGTGCTCTATTGTGACCATTAAAACAAATGAATGAAAAAAGTCCTCCTTTTTACTATTGCTTTAAGGGTGTAAACCACAGAGATCACACAGGCAGAGTGTGGACGTGTGTTTTCAGTATGATATGGACAAAGTAGAGGTCCAAACAAGGCCTACGTCATAGAACTCAAAAAAGTGGCCTGTTTGTGATCTACAGCTCTGACAAGTTCACATTTCACACACTATAGGCTGTTATTGCAAGGTTATAGATTTATTTTCATCAAAGCTTTTGTGTTTTTGTCCAATTTGGTTCCATAAAAACAATTGTCAAAATAATATCTGAAATTATAAATTATATAGAAACCTAAATAAAGTAGAGGGCGAGGCTGTTTAATAATGTTAGTTCTTTTGCTGTTGACTTTAGATCAAAATCCCAATTGCTGGGCGGCCATGTTGTTTGGGTGTAGTGTTTTGGGTCCATGTGTGGTGGCTCACATGCTGTTAAAGAGCTCCCTGTAGGTCTCGTCTCCTTTTCCTTCGGACATGAGGCTGTCCAGTTTGTCGATGAGCTTGGACTCCACCTGCCAGGCAAACCTTGTATCACTCATAGAGCTTTGTGTTGAAGAAGTACATAGAGAAAAATCGGGACTGTTGCACTGAGGGCTTTGAGGAAAGACTGAAGTCTGCTCAATGCAGTGTGTTGCAAAAAGAAGACTTTTCTACATTTGGAACACACACTTCACACACACTCTGGGCTCCTGCTGGTGCCCAGAGTGAGAACCAAACATGGGGAGGCTGCGTTTCAGATCCATGCAGCTAAGATCTGGAACAATCTCCCTGAAAATGTGAGGGAGGCGTCTACTCTGTCAATGTTCAAATCCAGGTTAAAGACTGTTCTGTTTGCCTGTGCATACAACTGAAGGATTTTATCTCCATTTCTAATGCACTGCTGTCATTTATTTATTTATTTAAATTTCTTGTGTAATTTTGAAAGTTTTAATGGTTTTATTCTTTTGTGTGATTTTAATGTTTTAATTGTGTTTTAATCTTTTGTGTGATTTTAATGTTTTAATTGTGATTCTGGTGTTTGTTTTATGTGATGATTTGTGATGTGGACTGTGAAGCGCTTTGTGTTGCCCTGTGTATGAAAGGCGCTCTACAAATAAACTTTGATTGATTGATTGATTGACTTAAATCTTATTATGGGTCCACCCCGACCGACCCGGAGTGAGATTGCAAGTATGTCAGCACACATGCTCATGGACCTTTTGGCTCCGGGACCCGTCCCCACTGGTGTGAACTATGAATGATGTATCATTACATTTTGGGTTTCTTGTTTAGAGATATATATTATGTGGTTGTTTATTCTGAGAAATTAGGCATAACAAATCCGTCAGATGGGAATAAGTGAATGTAATGATGTCCTGTATTTGTTTGTCTTTGCCTGTTTGAAGTTGCCGCTTCGTCGCTGCTCCCAGTCCATCATGTCGTGGAAAATGGGAATCATGACGTTTCGCAGGTCGGGCTGAGGAACCAGAGTCACCTCCAGGAACGGGCCGATCATGGCCGGGATGAAGTTCAGCTTGTGCTCGCCTGAAACACCACACACATCGCTAATGAACCTTTTTTGATTGGAGAGTTACTTTTATAGCTACTTCTCTCTAGCCTGGCTCTAGCCAGACCCTTGTAGTTCCGCCAGGCTCCACCAGAGGTGTTTTGCTTCACGCACAAGGGTCTGGGATCAAGCGCATAGCAAACTCCTTCAGCAGATCAGAAAATAATTGACCAATCAGGATCACCGGTGTTACTTTGGGTTTGCACCACCTTCTCTCAAGCGTGTGTCACGCGGCAGCAAAAGCAATCCAAGATGGCGGACATAAAGTCTGTGATTTAAAAAAAAAAGTTTAAATACGGACAAATTAAGACACGGATGTCACTTTTAATGCAATATGAGGCGAGATGTAGATGGTTCTATGTTGTTATGTGTGTTTTCAGAGTCAAATCTTTGTGTAAAGTTTGTTTTAAGTACTGGTTTAAGTGTTCCTGTTTACACACTACACAGCAGGGTTGCCAGGTTGGGTGGTTTCCCGCATACCTTTTTCAAAGAGACTTGTAGGTAATAAATAAACAGAATCATGATAGCCCAAGTTGATTAAATTACGTTTTTTGCCAAAAAATCATTCTGGGTGTTTTTTTTTTTGGACATTCTCGCGGGTTTTGGACTGGAAAATCTTGTCGGCCTTTAGCGACCCATGGGAGTCATGTGCTTCAATGTGAGTGTCAACCACTCACATCGAAGACGGCATTAAAGATAACGGACAAGTGGTTTATGCAATCACATACAAGGAATTTTTTTTACAATCCCCCTGCCTATTGAAATCCAACCCCTATGGGTTGGCACTGCCCCCGATCGCCACGCGATGTTGCAGAGACGTGTCAGCCAAGACAGTCCTACAACATCCAGAGACTTTAGATCAGTGTCTCCCAAAGTGGGGTCCAGAGGGTACTGCAGGGGGGCCGCGGGAGGTCATAAAAAAAATAAAAAAATAATATAATTATTTAATGTTAAATTTATAATGTTTTGTTTGTAATATTAAAATATTTGTGTTCATTATTTGACTTGAATAATCCACTGTAATCATTTTTGTATTACAATGTTTGTAGCAGAGGCTATTTCCCCAAAATAAAATAACCAGAAGAGCCTATTCTTAATGTTGTCTTCTTGGTTATTATTTTGGGGGGGCCACACAGACCCGACAGATTTTTAAGGGGGCCTCGGTGTTACTGAGTTTGGGAATGGCTGCTTTAGATAATCAGGGCGGATCTCATCCACACCCGGAGCCTTGCCACCATGGAGGCTACCAACCACCTTGGTGACCTCAGCCAGGGAGATGGATGTATCCGCCCCAACATCCTCAGCCTCTGCCTCTGTAACAGAGGACGTGACGGGGGGATTGAGGAGAACCTCAAAGTATTCCTTCCACCGCCCGACAATATCCCCAGTCGAGGTCAGCAGCTCTCCACCCGCACCGTACATGGTGTTGGCAAAGAACTGCTTCCCCCTCCTGAGGCGCCGGATGGTTTGCCAGAATCTCTTCGAGGCCGACCGATAGTCATGCTCCATGGACTCTCCGAACTCCTCCCAGTCCCGGGTTTTTTCCTCTGCAACAGCCCGGGCCGCGGCACGCTTGGCCTGCCGGTACTGGACAGCTGCCTCAGGAGTCCCCCGAACCATCATGGCTCGATAGGACTCCTTCTTCAGCCTGACAGCATCCCTTACTGCCGGTGTCCACCACCGGGTTCGGGGGTTGCCTCCGGGACCAGCACCAGAGACCTTGCGACCACAGCTACGAGCCGCCGCATCGGCGATTGAGGCAGAGAACATGGTCCACTCGGACTCCATGTCCCCCTCCTCCGCCGGGACCTGGGAGAAACTCTCCCGGAGGTGTGAGTTGAAAGTCCGTCTGACAGGGGGCTCAGCGAGACGTTCCCAGCAGACCCTCACTATACGCTTGGGTCTGCCAGGTCTGACCGGCTTCTTCCCCTGCCAGCGGATCCAACTCACGACCAGGTGATGATCGGTTGACAGCTCCGCCCCTCTCTTTACCCGAGTGTCCGAGACACGCGGTCGAAGGTCAGATGATACGACAACAAAGTCGATCATCGACCTCCGGCCTAGGGTGTCCTGGTGCCACGTGCACTGGTGGACACCCTTGTGCTCGAACATGGTGTTCGTGATGGACAAACTGTGACTGGCACAGAAGTCCAACAACTGAACACCGCTCGGGTTCAGATCAAGGGGGCCGCTTTTCCCGATCACCCCTCTCCAAGTGTCACTGGCGACTCCCACATGGGCGTTGAAGTCCCCCAGGAGAATAACGGAGTCCCCGGGCGGTGCACCGTCCAGTACCCCTCCCAAGGACTCCAAGAAGGCCGGGTACTCTGCACTGCTGTTAGGCCCGTAGGCCGTCACAACAATGAGAGACTTGTCCCCCACCCGGAGGCGGAGGGACGCGACCCTCTCATTCACCGGGGAGAACTCCAACACATGGCGGCTGAGATGGGGGGCAATGAGAATGGCCACCCCAGCTCGCCGCCTCTCCCCGCGGGAAACTCCAGAAAAGTGGAGCGTCCAACCCCTCTCAAGGAGTTGGGTTCCAGAGCCCAAGCTGTGTGTGGAGGTGAGGCCGACTATCTCTAGTCGGTATCGCTCAACCTCCCCCACGAGCTCGGGCTCCTTCCCCCCCAGTGAGGTGACGTTCCACGTCCCAAGAGCCAGATGTTGTGTGTGCGGACTGGGTCGCCGAGGTCTCCGCCTTCGACTGCCGCCCAGTCCTCTCAGCACCGCGCCACCACGGACCCCTCTGCAGGTGGTGGGCCCACAGGAGGGACTGCCCACGTCATCCCTTCGGGCTGGGCCCGGCCGGGCCCCGTGGGCTAAGGCCCGGCCACCAGGCGCTCGCATACGAGCCCCGACCCCAGGCCTGGCTCCAGGGTGGGGCCCCGGCTGCGCCATGCCGGGCGACGTCACTGCTCTCATTATAGTGCGATCCTAGTTTTTTTATCATTTCAAAAATATAAAAATTTATATAAAATTAAACATTTTATATTAATAGTCAATTACAGCCACTGTCATATTCCACTCTGGTACAATGGTTCAATTTTCTGGTGCCTTGGGCAAGACACTTAACCCACTTTTCCTATAAGGAGCGCGGAAGTGATGTTCGCTGCTTGCCTTGATGTGTATGTGTATAATGTATATGTTTATGTGCATGTGTATGCATTAAACTGAAATTTCCCCATTGTGGGCCGAATAAAGGACCTTCTTCTTCTAAACCCTATTGTTTAACTTCAGCCATAACCCTTTCAGTCAGTGAATTAATGTCAATGCTTCCTCTGTTGAAATATATTTTGTAACTGAGAATTTGACTGACTGAAATTAATCACTATTACTATTACTATACCTCGTGTGATGTTGAGTTTTCAGATTTTTTATAAAGTTGCTGGTGTTATACGTGTTTGTTTTGGATCCACCCAGTGACAGTTTTGAACGCAACACAAGTGGCTGATTATATAATTATTACAACCTTTGCAGTCTCTTTAACATTGCCCCCAGAATGATAAACATTGCAATTAAACTGCGCTTTTTGATCAAATCTGTAATTATTTTCCAGTCCCACAAGAATATCTATTGCTTCAGTACTGTCAGATACATTATACTGCATGGACTCAGTTCAATAACAACTGATAGCCTATAGTGTGTCTTCCTTCCTGGCTTTCAAACTACAAATAAATAACATAATGCACAGCTAAAACCGCACCAGCAAAAATACACTCACAAACACAACAGCTCACCTAAGTTCTGCCACATGCTGAAAATCTCACAGCCCATCATCACCCGCATGTCCCCGTACCTGCAGGAAAATAATGCAAATATGTATTTTAGCTTCATGTGGAATGAAGAGAGGCAGCAGAAGGCTGATATCTCATTATAACTTTGTTTGTGGCCTACAGGGAAATGATTTTTGATGCAATCACAAATTCATATTCAAACCTTATGAAAACCATATGCACTTGAGAGTGATCATCAGCCAAAAATATCACATACTTTTCGAGGATCTTCTTGCGTTTGGACGGAGAGAAGGACTCAAGCTGCAGACACGGCTGGTTGATGAATATTACCGAGAGATAGAAATACGAGTCCCAAACCTGGATATGACAACAGAGATGGCAGCCTGTCAGACCAGGGCAAAACACTGCTCCATCACCAGAGGTATCGCTAAAAATTTTGTGCAAAACGTAGATAATCTTTGACTGCTTTTTACAATATGTTTTTATGTGACTTGACAAAGGGGATAGCATAGTTTGAAAGCTTTCCTCAGCAAAGTGAATCCATTTATGTATGTTGCCCATTTCTGTAATTTCATAAGGACTAAATTCAATTATCCAAATATATATCATGAAACATTGTCTTTTACCTATGATACACATCAAAACCACAGCCATCCATGCTATTATCAGGAGTTTATGGAAAAGACGCCTCTTCTGTCCCTTCCTCAATCCTGGTTTGCAGATACACTTATGGTGCGTTCAGACCAAACGCGATTTCTGCGGCCAAAGCGGCGGGTCTACATTGACACAACATGGGGGACGCGCGCCAAGGAGCGGCGAGAGATCACGCGGCGCGATTCGCGCGGCCAGAGCGGCGCAAATTCGAGCGTTTCGCGCGATTCGCGCGGCGTGTTTTGAGATGTCAAGCGTTTTGACGCGCGTTTCGCGCGATTCGTGCCTCCAACGCGGCCGCCGCTAGAGTTGAACAATGTTGAACTTTTTGGGAGAATTCGCGTGTGCCGACCAATCAGGAGCTTTCTCCTCCAGTGACGTAGTGACGCATTTCACTACCGGAAAAACACTGGTAGATGACAGCTATGGAGGACACGTCAATTGCTCAGGTCGGTGCTCATTCTGAGCTATATAACACTGCGGACCACAGCTACCGGGACCGAAATAAAAAGGAGCTTGCTTGGAGGAGGGTTAGCGAGGTGGTTGGTGTCTCGGGTAAGTTATTTTAACTTTTCAATGTTGTAAATATTTCCCCGCGAAAAAAACTACTACTTTCCTGCTTACGAGTTGATGTGTTTATTCAGTGGAAGTTTGCAAAAAGCGGTGGAAGAATCTGAGGGACACATATGAGGTGCTGAAGGTCGGTGTCTTGCAGCAAACGGAGACCTCGAACAGTTGGAAAAAATACATTTCTTTCCTTTCTATTACCCACATTTTGCTGACTTTTACATTTATATTGCTTTCTGTGTATGCATTTCTTTTAATGCTTTCTTAACATCATGGCCAGGTGAAAATAGGCATTGGCTATTTTCAAACCAGGATAGATCTTGATCATGTGTTGTGTTAAATTTCACTTTTCCCTTTTATATGAACAAATCATTTAAATGTACATAATAATGTACATTATTATGTACATATAAATGTCATAAGCGCAATGTACACATGATATGAAATAATTGTATTTCTTGTTTTCTTCTGGCACAGATACTGCCACCACCACACAAGGTGAGACATCTTGGCCTGAGCTGCCTGCTGCTGCTGCTGCTTCCTCAGCCGGTTCTTCTTCTGTGAGGGCTGGACCTTCCCCTGCTTCTGCACCTACAGGTGTGGCTTTTTTTAATCATTGTTTTATTTTTATTCTTATTACAGGACTGTTAATATAAACAAAATGTTACTGCATAATATGCCAAAATTACCCAAGGGCTGTTACATCAGTGTAGACGACAAATTTACAGAGAAACGACAAGATGTCAAGGCACTACAGGTGGAAAGAAGCTTTGGTCTGATACAACACATCTTCCCTCTTTCTTTGATAAAAACATACTACTGAAATACCTTATGTATAAAAGTACTGAACAAATACATGCAATGGTTGCCACAAGATGGCAGCTATCCTGTTTAATGCAGACAATAGAGTATTACTTTTTTACAGCCAATTTCAAATTTCATTGCGAAATACACTTCAGAGATATTAGTTTGTAACTGTCGAAATTTGTGCATGTGTGAGTAATTTCATTGATAACTGCAATGTTCAAGTTAATTGTAACAAACACACAACTTAAAAGTGTTTTACATGTGTTTAACTATGTCTACACACTCTGGCTTTAATACAGATATTATTTGCTCTCTTCATTTTGCTTTTTTGAAATACATGTTCCACTTTTTAACACTGTGATTGCCCTGTGTTCTTTGTTGGCGGCTCTACGGACGTGGGCCTCTTCCGAGCCCTCTTCCTTGGTGGGCCTTCAGAGTGGGAGCGGGAGCTGCTGGAGACTCTACGGACCAAAGCAGCCGGACCGCCCGACTACTCAGAAGAACATCAGTTCCTGCTCTCTCTCTTTCCTCTCCTGCAAAGGGTGGCACCAGAGTCAAAAGAATTTGTGAAATTCAAAATGTACCAACTTTTATATGAAAGCAGCACCGTTCTGCTTAATTTGGAACCATTGGCCAGTACAGTTTTTTTTACCTAAGGTGACACCTTTTGCAGGGGAGGAAACAGACATGTGTCCCTTTCCTCTTCCACCGCACCTCCTCCAAGCAAGCTCCTTTTCATTTGTTTATATGTACATTTCATTTATTTTTCCATTGTTTGTTCCTTTTTTTATAAAGAAAATATTTTTCAAACCTCATGTGTTCTACTTCAAGCCAACCATTACTACCTTTCATATAATATTGACAGAAAATGCTATTCTATATTTGTACATTTACTTTTATAAGAGCTGACTGGGTTTTATAGAAGATGGAATAACAAACACTTAAAGAGCGATACAGTAGTTGACAGTATTTTTTATTCATTTCACCTTTTACTGTTTTAACAACCTTGTAATTATGGAAAAGCTTGAATGTGCATATGATTAACCTGAAGTTGGAGTGGAGTCGCAGTGGAGTCTGGCAGTCATTACCTAGAAACAGAAGGTATACAGGTGAATAGAATAGTGCAAATCAATATGGGTTTGGACTATGGCCAGATGTGGGTCAGTCTTGTGGTGGACATGACTACTCTGTGGGCTGCCACGGCAGTGCTCCCTCCTCACTGAAGTGGGCCATGAACACTTTCCTTATGTCCACTGCTGGCTTCCAGGCGGCCATCCGCTGCACGCCTGGAAGTGGTTCTTCACCGGCAGCAGCTCCCCTCGGTGCAGGAACCTGCCCATCTCCAGCCATCCTCATCCTCATCCTGGAGATGGGCAGGGCGCATTAAATTGCAGCGCAGTGAAAAGGCCTCATCTGCCACGAACACATGGGGCTGGGGTCCTCTGTGGTCAGCTCCAGGTATGCACTGGTCAAGAGGCAGGTCGAGTGTGCCCTCGCGCAGAGCCTCACCAAAGGCAGAGTTGGACACGATGCCTCCATCGCTGGATCTGCCGTACCCTCCCACATCAATCACCCTGAACCTGTACTGGGCATCCACTACAGCCAGGAGCACAAGGGAATGGTGCCCCTTATAATTAAAAAACATGGACCCAGAGTTGGGGGGTGCCTCTCACAGCCACATGCTTCCCATCAATGGCCCCACAGCACAGAGGGAAGTTCCATCGGACCTCCACTCCTCTGCTCCAGGCACAGCCATGAACTCCTCCACGAGGCAGTCCCAGATGGCTGCCACCACATCTGGGATGAGCATGGAGACGGTGGATATGCCCGCTCTGAAGCTCCCCGCAATGGTCCTGTAGGAGTCCCCAGTGGCAAGAAACCTGCAATTACAAAATGATATGAACATATTTATCACAATTACATTCATAAAAATCACGTGACAAAACTTGTGTAGCATAAAATACGTTAAACTAGTAGACAGTAAACATCATAGACAGTAATCATAGACACCATATTGTTGCATAATACTGTTTTCTGAGCAATTACATTGTGGATTGTGATTGAAAAATGACACACTTTGTAAGTATTTATGAATTCTGAATGGGGTAAAAAAACACTAACCGCAGACAGATGGACAGGCGCTCTTCAGCTGGAATAGAGCGCCTGTAGTTGGTGTCCTGGTAGGAGATCCTAGCGCCAATGCGGGTCAGTAGGTCGTCAAACTGGGCCAGGGAGAGACGAAAGTACCGCTGAAAGCGACCCTCATCCGAGCGCAGCTCCCGGAGCAAATGGTGAAACTCACCAAACTCCAACCATCTACGGACTATCTGATGAATCCAGACACGTCGTCGATTCGCCCTTTGACGACGTGTCTGGCTTTATTTATCAGATAAAGCAACTCCTTCGCTGACATCCATTTTGGGAAGCTACAGGCAAAAGAGACAAGCCCCGCCCCTAGACGCTCTCAACGCTCTGTGACAGCGGCTGCCCTCTAGTGTCCTGGCCGCGCGGCCAAGTTTCTCTGTGACAGCGGCTGCCACAATTTGTCACAAGCGGCTCAAGCCGCGCGATAGACGCGATTTGGCCGCAGAAATCGCGTTTGGTCTGAACGCACCATTATACCGCACTCGTGGACTACACATAAGAGTCACAGACAAAGAGCTTTCTTCTCTGACTTTATCAAAGAATGCGCGTGCAGATCCACCGCGCTCCATATAGATCAAAATGTTGTTTGTGCTGGATATTTTTTCTGTTCGCAGGACAGAGTTTCTGTGCGCTGAGACCCCAAAACCACTGAGCAATTGCGCACGCTTCCAGTTTAGAGAGAACACTGTACCCGAATGATATATACTTGACATTATTAGAGTAAAGACAACACACACTCACCTTGTAGTCAAACTTCTCATTTAAAAAGTTTTTTCTCAAAGCATCGGAGAGATACAGAACTGTTGTGATGATGACACTAAAGGGAAATTAAAGCTCAAGATAATATTTCCTTTGACATGTAAAAGCAACGTTTTGTCTACAATTACGACTTACTTGTTTGTGACCAACCGCATTACTGTCCAGTCTTTGGAAAACATCTCTGGTCGAATGAGGATTCTGAAGACTGTGAAGATTTGCAAAAGAAAGTCCTGGACAAAAACAGGAGTGTCAGTGTTTTTGTTAATGTAATATGTAATATGTAATGTATAGATAATTAGGTTTGTTTACACATGTATAAGCCACTTCTCACTTTGGGTCTTAAATCTGTATCTGCTCTGTATGGCATTATTGTATTGTGTTTTTACACATTTGGTATGAAAATATTCTAATATAGTTATTGCTGTTTTTGAATAAAATGTCAGAAGTTAGTCATGGTCCACGATACTGCAACCATGTTTAATTAGCTTTTTTACCCTTCAAGGCACTCAAAGTGCACACCTCTATGCACTTGTGGATGCAGACACAAAGGGTGATACAGTGTCTTGCCAAAAGGCACAAGGACGCACAGCATTCACCAATGGAATTAGGATTTATTTTCTATGAGGGACAGTTGATCTGACCGCTCCACCAGTACACGTCCGGAGCAGGATTCAAATTGCCAACCTTTAGCTCAACTTAATGAGCTTCTGGCCCCATATGTTAAAGCATTAGAATTATTATACTTTTTTTCTTTTAAAATAGTAATAGTAATAGTAAATAATAATTTACCCAGTGCATATTTCTCCCAAAACATGGCTGAGTAAGGTTTTTTTTTTCTTGTATCTTTTTTTGCAAAAAGACAGTATTCTCAGTTATCATTATCATCATTATCATCCTCATGTTGGTAAGATTTAAGCATATAAAATATGAAGGGGGCCATACCCTCAAGTCATCTTTGCTGCTGAAGGCCTGAAGCAGCTGCTGGTAATGTCTGTCACTCATTTGTCGGAACAAGGCCAACAAACACGCCACAAATTCCCCCTGCAACACAAAAAAAGACATGTGGTTGAAATAGCTTCCAAATTTCCACCTTGTGTTACAGCTGTGGTACGTAATATTCAATCCACACAAAAAGAACAAACAATAGTTAGTGGCTCTGAAGCATTTTGATTCTATCATCATCCATTATTCTATCATTGTTGGCTCACACATCTTTAGTTTAGAGAAGTGAAAATGATCTCAAAGCATCAAATAGTGATTTCCAGAGCTCGTTCTTACCAGTATAAAAAGATAAAATATTTTTCCTATAAGAATTAGAGAAATCACACCACAGTAAGGGTTTCGGTTGGGACAGACTAAATGTTTATGTTATGGAAAAGTTAGCTACCCTAGCTTTAAATTAATATATACTAACACTATAACACAAGGTTAAATGTCACCTTACATTGTGTGCACCATGTGCACTTGTATATTGTAAATAGTAACTGTAACTCTATTTTAAATTTAAATTTATTCTTTAGAAGTGTTTTTTATTCTTATTTTTATTATCTCTTTTTGACTGTTGCACTGAGCCAAAGCAATTTCCAAGTCTGTGACCTCCCGTTACTTACGTTGGCAATAAAAATGATTCTGATTCTGATTCTGATTCTGATTCTAAATACTCTGGCATAACGTGTGCTTTATTTATTCCAGACTTTTTTTGAATAGAGCCGAGCAAGAGTCTCGATAAAGCTGTGACAGAGGTCAACAAATACATGTATGTGAAACCTAGTGATAGGACCTGTTAACAGTTTAAACCCAGCACTTAAGATTGTTCTTCGGCTTCACAGTGACAATTATTTCTGCACTTTTATGTATGTGCAGTATTATGAGCACCAGGGACCTTTGCACATGTACTGCAATGTGGTTTTACTGCAACTGGCAAATTAAATGAATCTGAATCTGTTTTGAGAGCGAGGAACTAGATTGATTGATTTTATTGCACATTTGTTTAATGGTTCGAGAGTCAAATACCCCAGCTTTAATTGAAGAAACTATCTCAGAACTGAACAAATTCATCTGAAATTCTCGGCTGTCATAACACGCTCCAAATTAAATCTTAGTTGAAATCCGAGGCCTTGAAAAAGCTCTCGCTCCCGTTTCTGCTTCTTCATTAGTACTACTCCCTTTTGATCGGATCATTTAGTCACGATGGTTATCCCGTTAATTTCATCATCACTACCCCCTCTGACGCAGCATTCTCTCATAAATCTTAATTATCGCCATTAATGTTAATATTGTCTGCGAGATTAAGGTCTGTCGTGGCAGCGAGTCAAGCTTGGATCTTTAATTACTGGGACAATTACTTGGTCATGTCCCCCCGCACCATGAAACAAGACGAGACAGAGACTCACAGTGACGTCCTGGAACTGCAGCCTCATGGAGGGCCCGGCAGGCTGAGGTCGGTTGCTGATTTCCAGAATGGTTCTCATTAAAACTCCCAGTAGACTTTCCACTATCAGCTGCACCTCCTCAGAAACAACCGGCTCCTGAAGGACAGAAAAAAGACAGATTTTAGTTTGCATTTTCAGGAAAATGTTACATGTGGTCTGGGCCGGTTAAGCCCACCTGGGGCTTTGCGCAGCTGGGGCATGTGTTTCATAAATAATACATATTTCTTGTCCAACAGAAAGAGCCTTGAAAGAGTTTTGTGGAACAAATAAGACCACAACATGCTGTCTTCATCTCATTAGATGCATACTTGTAAGAAACTGTCCTGTGAGACACTAATTAAGACTTGGTGAAAACAAATGATGAAAGCAAATACATAGTGCAACAAACTAGTTACTGTAGATGTGGGATTACATGCTACATTATAATGGTTTTAAGTTGGGTTACCCAGCTTTAATCAAACTGTAAAACAATTGATTTTGGTTCATGGCCAGTCTTCCAACCAAAATAAAAAAAATTAATTCTGTTTACTTGCTTGATTGACATGTCTACTACTTATACTAATACGTTTACATTTGATTGAGATCAAGAAAAGATCAGATCAACTGTAAATTGTTCAGAGTTTAATGTATTAAGGATGTGCAGTTACATAAAAAATATGGCTGCACAAGATTTAGCACCATGCTACTTTCCATCCATAGCCCTTGACAATGTCATATGTAATAATCTGGCCCAGAAGCCCCAGCTTTCAATTGAATAGAGAGTTGAATAACTGTTGTAGGATAATGAATAAGTACTTGCATTAAAATATGCCAAACTCAAGTGTTTTTTAAATAGTTTAAAAGTGTAAGTGAAATAATGCTTTATTACACAAAGCTCTTTGACAAAGTAATGAAGTATTATTCCCTGCTTGTAATAAATTAATGAAAACAGCTTTTACACATCTAATTAGAATTTCCCAACACTGTTCAGCTCCAATTTCTAGTTGCCAGCTAATTTAACTGAAGTTACAGACATATAAATTCAATCTCCGCTTGGATGCAATTTGGAGATTTTGGAGATTTGTAGAAGTAGCAACAGATGCAATGGATGAATATAAATAGAAAAGATGAAAGGCAGTGTGGAAAATAAATTGTTTGTGCATGCATGTGTCACGCTCTCCTCTTTCAATTATTTTCCCAGACACAGCGGACAGATCTTGGACGCAGCCATAATGAGAAATGGAGCTTTCGCGAAAGTTCACCGTGGTAGACCCGGCTGTTGCTGCCAGGCCACAGGCTGCTCTTCCTCGACTCATCAATACCAGCAACGCCCACACCCAGTCAACCAATAACCACCAGGACAGCAAGTTAAAAGCCGGAGACGCCCACTTCCCGATCTTCTGAAGTCTGCAAGCCGCCGCCGCCCCACCTCCTCCTTCTCGCATGAAGCGTGTTGCCTACTGCCTCTGCCGTCACCAGTGCCTAGGCCCCGGGGGGGATCATGCACGCGAGCAAGCGCCGTGCTCAACAGCATCCCGCCCGGGCCTAGGGCGCCAAACATGCTCAATCAATAAACATGCTTAAATCTAATAAGTCTAATGCGTTTCCTCATGGGTCTCTCCAAGGTGAAGTAGCTTTAGACTGGCACATTGCCTCCTGCTGCTGTCACTTCCCAAGTGGGTCCCACAACCAAACCCTCCTGCCAACCAGAGACCAACCAGAGACCAAAGACCCAACCAGAGACCTTACCAGACACCCAACCAGAGTCCTAACTATGGACCTAATCAAAGACCTAACCAGAGGCCAAACCAGAGATCTAATCAGAACTAACACATGCACACAGCCACACACGTGCACACGTGGACTGCCCTGCCGACCCGCCTGGGAGCTGCTTCAGTCCTGCACCGGACCCGTCCATGTTCTGCGGCCACTGTGTGGTCCTGGTCCACGTTCTGTAGCTTAAGTCCTGGATCTATAGCCTGTCTGTCAGTGGGAGCGGATCCCTCTCTCAATGTAGATCTCCCTGAGATTTCTCACTTTTCTCCCACTGGGTTTTAAAGTTTTTCCTTGCCGATGCAGGAGGGTCTGTTAGTTAGTTTGAGATGCTGTATACACAGAGATGCTGCGAGAGTAAAACAATAGATTTGGCCGGATTGGATCGGCTACTGTTTAATGCAGAATAATGTTGGTGTATCTTTCTCAGACTTTGCAGTGGCCTGAGGACGTTGTTGTTGATTAAGAGCTTCTTTATTCGACCCACAGTGGGAAAATTTCAGATAAAGTGATTATACTGCTTGGGTTCATGCGTCTTGTGTTGTGGAGTTCCACTGTCCCCTACTGGCCGGGCACTAGAACTACATTGTTTTCCGCCGTCGTGTAGATGCTTAGTACTTTGAATACGGATCCTGGATGTTTATGGATGCCGTCTAATCGGGGTGAGGATATGTGATGTGAAAGCAAGTTTCATGAGATGATTTCAATCTGTCATGCTAGCTCATGTCTCATTTGTTGAAAAATAATCTATTAGGAATATATGCAAGCCTATCACCTTTCATATTTAAAATAAAACTAAATTTGGCGTCTACGTCATTATTGACACTGACATTTGCATTTAGTACAAGACACTTCACAGGAAAAGAAACAACCTGCTCATTTGTCAGAACACAAACAAACAAACAGTGTGTTGGGATAGAGAATAATTAATTGATTAATCTTGAATAATATTGGCTTAGTCAAACCTGACCTCTGGCAAAACGCTGCTTGACAATGATAAAGATAGACTTATCATGAACTATTGTCCTTTTAAAGATGCACCCATCTTGGTCATTGCATAACAAACTGTATTTGCCTGTGGGTAATACAGAGGTCATCTGTGGGTGTATACCTGCAGGTACACTGTGAATTGGTACTGGCCTTGGTCTTCTATTACTGGTTTTGTCTTTGTCCAATCCATGCTTAGCTTTGGTTCAAATTTATTAGTAGTATTTTATAATAGAGAAATGGATTTTGAGTAACTTTTCAATGTGTTCTCAAATAGGAGCCACAACTTGATTAGTAAGATTTAGATCAGACTTACTGCAGTGCCGTTGTCTTCCTTCTGGATGAGCGAGAGCATGCTGGTGAGGATGCGCGCACACATGACCAGGTCCCTCTGCTCCTGCATGTGCGCGTGCAGCAGTTTGAGGACCACTGGCAGCAGGATGCACCGTGACTCTGGCACCAAAGAAAAACACTGCACATCAGATTTATATTCATATACCCAAAATGGAAATGATAACAGGAGAAAAGGAAAGGGATCAAGTCAACTGATTTGGGCTGCAACACACACAATAATTATCAACAAATGCGGTATTAGAATAACAGTTAACTGGTTTTACAACTCAAATTACACAAAAATGACAGCGTTAATGTTCTGTAAATGCTTTACAGAAATGTCAGTTATTGTGGCCTGTCAAAAAATATATACATATAAAAATATACACAATACACTACGCCACATACTGTACAGTTATACGGCGTCACTAGGAATGTTTTTATTGATGTAAAACCAACAAATATATTTTTTCAACAGTAAAAAATACAAATAAATGTGTAGGGTGAGGAAAAGGTGAGCGCCAATCGGGTGTGAATAGCAGACCCTTTCCGTAAACATGCCCTCCCTAGCTCCTGAGACTTCAAAGCAACTGCGGGTTCAATTAAAGGCTAACATTCACCAGGAACACTACAACGAGACCCAGAGGGGCAATAAAACAACAGAACAGGACATCTGTGTGCCCCCTGCCAGACGGAGATCAGGAATCATTCATCAGCAATCGCTCATGAGACATTCCACAACCTGAGACTCTCCCACGGCGCTCTGGCGCTCCCTAGCGGACACTGGACACTACTGCACCCGAGGCGGACACTCGAAAAGGACATTACTCTGTAATATTATGTCGATAACGTTACGGACCTTACTCGTGTGTGTTGATGTCTGTGATGTAAATGCACTGTGTGTTTGTACGATGTGTTATGGGTGACTGTATTGATCTTGTGTGCTTTTCTTGATAAACCGCCTGTTGTGAGGAGGCTGTCGCACATGGATGACGTCAAAGGACGCGCCCCCTTCAGAAGTCAATATAAACTCTCACAACGCAACAAACTCTCTCTTGTCCTATCCTGAAATCACTATTCCAGCTCTCCCTGGCCATCTGCGTCCCGCGGTACGTGTCTCCAATACGGCCGCGCCAGCACGCATCGGGCCTCCTACTCCGCAAAACACACTCTCCTCGGCTCGGGACCTTACGAACTGTTCCATCACCAGCCTCTTTCCTTGGCTCTGGACTCTACGCGCGCAACCCATTCCGGACTGAGCTGCATACGCGTGGATCAGCAACTGGACCAACTCGCTGGCTTCGTACCTCCCGCCTGCCCAGACAAAGAAACCACGTGGGCTGATTCCCCAACCCAAATCCTTTCTCCATCCTCTACGCTCCTACAAAGTAAGACTGTTCTTGTTAAATGTGTGATTTGAATGAAATGTATACCACTTCTGCTTTAATGTGACCAGAAATCCCCTTCGTTATATTTTTACCTTCATTTTTGTAATCAATAAACCCCTTTTCTTTAACTCAATCCTATCAGAGTCGTGTTGTTAGATTTCGGTATATCCCTGGCCGATTTACGAATTAACTACCTTTTGATTATAAGACTGACTCGAGGCAAAGTTGGTTTGGGTCTGTCGTAGACCCTCAAACGTCTACTGGTGCCCAAAATAAATAAGACAGACCCATTGGTGGAACGGCGAGTTTCTGATCCGGAGACTAGCCGCTCCACACTACTAAATTTATAACATAATCAGCAATATAAGTAGTTACCCTACATAATGGTACCCTGTTTGTGAGATCCGCGTAAATAGACCAGATTTATCAACTCGTACTCTGTGACTGATCTGCAATACGCTAACTTAAGTACTGCTCCGCTCAAAGCGCTTCCCCCCACCTCCTCACCCCCACATCCCTGCTACCTCCGCTGCTATAGTGACTTCAACGACAATCGAGCTCCCCTACGCCCCACGCTTGCGATAAAGCGTCTCGTGCATGCACCAGACTATTAATTTAGTCTCAAAATCCTGGCTTTTCGCACAGGTACTACGCATTCTCTCCAACGTTTCGCCCCGCTTGGCCAGCGGGCGGCGTGAGTTTGTGAAAGTCGCTTCCCTCTGAAGAGAAAGCGCAAAAAACTTATCCTTGTAACCCACTGTACACCGTGTCCAGAACACGGGCGTACAGACCTACTCTGTGTCCCTTTGTGACCCAAGTCACACAGGATTGTAACCGAGTTTATGTGTATAAAGGCTGTGAAAGGCAGCTGCTTGAATGTGATGCTACTGTTCTGCTAGGCTACGCTAACCCTGTCTCACCACTCTCTCTACCGCTAACCTGCTGTTGTACACACACACACCAAGACTGTACTGCACAATACAGACAAACACCATCCCACCACTGTATACGTGCTTGTGCGAACTGTATAACTCGCTCCAGACTTTCGTTGTATAAACTACTGCTACAACCTCCCGCTCGGAGGCTAACGGCTAGCTACCCTCCTTTGTTCTAGCATAAGGCTAACTTCCGCTCGGGCCTGCTAGACCTCGAAGCTACACTCGGACAACGCCCGTTGCTCCTAATACTGCTCCCACTAATAGCTGCTCTCTCACTGTTAAAATTACTGCCGCTCTGTTAAACCAGACTGCATTCAGTTGCCTAAACTCAATGTTTACTGCCTAAACTACTGCTAAAACCGCTGCTTTCGGCAAGCTACAAGCTAGCCACAACACTTTGTTTTTAGCATACGGCTAACTTCCGGCCCTGGCGTGCTAAAAGCCAGAGCCGCATCCCCACTGCTAATACCATTCTGCTGCATTGCCTGCCTGTTGTCTAACAATAACGCTACTTACTATACTTTCGTACTATCCTATCTCACTCTGATTCTGTGTTCTGACGATCATAAGGCGCCAGCCGTCTCGGCATACCGCTAAACGAGCCGCACCTCTTTTATTGTCTAACACAGGATTGCTTTCCGGTCCCGGCACTACTTCCGGGACCACATTGCTGCTGTCTTGACACCCATTCTGCACCACGTCTTTAATCATCTGTGGCTGTGGCTCTAACGTAAAACGGCTTTGCTATATCTCCGTGCTGTTTTGTTACTCCAACTCAATAACCACATTACTGCCATGCATTGGTAAAGCTAACACTCTGTTTCTGTTTCTCCTCTTTGACGTCATTGCTAGACTACATTACTGCGTTAGCCAAGTTTAATGCTGTAAACTCTGCTCTCCTTCTGCTGCATGTCGCTGGTGAAACGCATTCTATGCTTTATTCCTGCTCACTCACTACTGCTAGTTTACGGTAACACATCTGTGTGGTGATTTAACAAATACTGCACTCCCACACACACAACCCCCCCCCTCCTTGCCACTGATAATACGCATTATTGTAGTAACTAATCCTATGCCGTGTTTCTGCTTCACGGATTTCTGCTGCATGTCACTTTCTTTTTTCGTTAGAACACATTACTGCTTTACATGAACAGAAGCTAACACTCTGCTTCTGCTCCTCCTCTTACACATAATTGTTGGACTACATTACTGCGTTGGCCAAGTTTCACGCTGTAACTTTGCTACTTCTAGCGCATGTTGCTATTAAAACACATTACTGCTATACATAACAAAAACTAACAATTTTAATTCTGCCCTCCTTCTGCATGTCACGGCTAGACCGCACTGCTGCCCATGGTGATAACATTAACACTGTCTGGCTGTTTGTTCCATGCTGTTTTGTTGATCCAATTAATGACCACTCTATTCTGCCAAACTCTACGTTTGATTGTACTACATCAAAACTAATACTCTATTTCTAACCCTCACTGTCACTAAAATTGCATTGCCTTGCCTCAGCCTGCTGCCTTTTTGCTACTGCTTACTTGAGCTGCGTCTAAAGCTACGCCGCGCCACAAACGCAAGTGCGTCACAAACGCAAGTGCGTCACAAACGCAAGTGCGTCACAAACGCAAGTGCGTCACAAACGCAAGTGCGTCACAAACGCAGGTGCGTCACAAACGCAAGTGCGTCACAAACGCAGGTGCGTCACAAACGCAGGTGCGTCACAAACGCAGGTGCGTCACAAACGCGTCTCTAACGCTGCGTCTTAAGCCGCGTCCATCACGCTGCGTCTTAAGCCGCGTCCATCACGCTGCGTCTTAAGCCGCGCCCATCACGCTGCGTCTTAAGCCGCGTCCATCACGCTGCGTCTTAAGCCGCGTCCATCACGCTGCGTCTTAAGCCGCGCCCATCACGCTGCGTCTTAAGCCGCGCCCAGCACGCTGCGTCTAAAGCCGCGTCCATCACGCTGCGTCTTAAGCCGCGTCCATCACGCTGCGTCTTAAGCCGCGTCCATCACGCTGCGTCTTAAGCCGCGCCCATCACGCTGCGTCTTAAGCCGCGCCCATCACGCTGCGTCTTAAGCCGCGTCCATCACGCTGCGTCTTAAGCCGCGTCCATCACGCTGCGTCTTACGCCGCGTCCATCACGCTGCGTCTCTAACGCCGCGCGCTAATACTGCTACTACCCCTACGTGCGCCAACGCCACTAACCCCAACGCTCTTCGCTTACACACAGGTGAAGAAGCACAAACGCCTGACCCCAGTCCTAGGCTGACTGCCCGCATACACCGCCGCACTGAGAGGACGCTGTAGTCACGGTTTTGACACACACTAAGGTCTACACCACCACACGACCAACAGCTAAACTACCCTCTCTATAGCACTGCTTTCCTCCTTTCCCTCCTCCCACCGTGTCGTACACACACGTTCCAAGTCATACTCGCATACACTCACCCACACAAATATGGAAATCAATGGCGGAAACTCGCCACGACCGAGCAAGCACGACGGTGTCTCAGAAGGACACGGCATAGTGGACAACTTTCTGCGAGACCTCACAGAGAAGGTATTCCCAGGGGGCTACGACACGCTTGAGCACAGCTCACTCTCTGACTTACAAGATGCTACCTCCATATTAGCATCCGAAGCTACTACGACGAAACTCCAAGGTAAGACCCTAACCCAGTGGCTAGGACGACTGGCCATAATCTCCAGGATAACCTTGCGCGACTCCGAAGCCCAGAAAGCAAGGCTACAAAACACAGTGCGTGACCTGGAACGACAACTGGCGGAAACTAGGAAATCCGCCGCGACCCGCTTACAACAAATCCAACAGGTAAGTAGGGACCACCAACAGGGACTGAGCATGACTCCAAGCGCGACCATGGATCTTGATCGCGCAGCGAAACTCAGGACCGCTATTTTGAACGAAACCGGCCGTGACAGTACCTCCGGGCCACGCTCCCCTCGCTCCGACCGCGGCGAACCATCGTCCAACTGGGAACGCAGGAGCGTGGCCGAACTGGTAAGTATCATGACGGGAAAGGACCACAATCAAGGTCAAGGGAACAATACACAACCCAACATTAGACACGTCGACCACTGCGACCCCCACGACGCCCCTCCGGGAACACACATGGACACGCGACACAGACAACATGACTATCCGACCCATGACCCTGGCCCACCTGACGTCCATACGAGACATGTGTCAGACTGCAGCCATTGGGACGGAAGGGCCCGCCCTCAACATAGCGGACAAACCTAAAAAGACCCCCCTGGCCCACATCTGAACATGCTACATGGACCACACGACTTACAGTGCCCCAAGCCTGGGCCGTCCGCATATGCTGCGACACAATGGCCAGTGACCCGCGATGGGAACGCCGGGGACCTCCCCAAACATGGAGGACAACCCCACGGCAACCCCCCTGACACACGCCAGGACTTGACCCTAGGCCAACGGGACTACCCGGACTGGGGGGGGGACGGCCCCCGACCTCGACAGGTCGGACTTAGCAACCCCACACTAGAACGCCCCTTCGACGTCATGATCGACACGACGCTCTGAACCTCCGGCCGTGATGAAGGAATACTGCCGATACGCCATGGGCTGTTAGATTCTGCTTCCGATACACTCACTTCGTCGGTACTCGTGGTGCCTCGAAGCATGAGGGGGGTAATGTTGGCACACGCCCATGACTCACCTACCGCGAAACAAACAGGTATAAACAACACACGTCAGGCACTACAACAGGTAGAAACAACGGACCGAACGGCAACCGAAATACTAAGGCACGTATCCCCAAACCGGAGTGGAGTGACGAGAACGTGAAACTCCCCCGGCGCCTGAGGACAAGCCAATACAGGACCGACCCGCAGGACCACCTCCAGGTCAAAAACCAGGTATGGTATTACACCTTGGCACACTCCCCAGGACACGTGGGGACCGGCCCCACCAGACTACGCCGGAAATCGCTACCCCGCTGGTCAAGACCATACAGGGTGGGAAACAAACTCTCAACCGCAGTGCACCAAATCGAGGTCACAAAAGGTAGAGAGCCCACCCTCAGATGGGCCCGTTACAGCCAAACCAAACCACACAAACAAAGCCCCATGGGACAAGCAGGGCACACTACAAACCCCAGTTAGGAACACACCACGTGACCTCAAACACGATTAGCCCAGCACTCACTAACACTCTTCTCGGCTGCACTAATCGAGTCTCTCTTTCCCCCTCTCTGTCTAACCCCTAACAATTGTTTCACGCCTTGCAGAACATGTGGCCCACTTTCCTTCTCGTGCTGACCTGCATACTGTGCCTCGGCACCCCAGAAATTATTGAGACCGGACCAGCCTCCGGGATCGTTTTAAAGGAACAACCCGGGCTCCTCATCACGGACGTCCGACTCCACACACAGCGAATCTTTGTCAGACTCAATCCTAGTGAAGTCTGCCGCAAGAACCTGCCCTTGAAGGTCACACTCAAAGATTGGGCAGGCGCACGCTGGACCCAGACGGTCGTGGAGCATGCTGAGGCAGACATACAACACATGCTGACGCAACTAGAGAAGTTCACGATCACTAGGACAGAGCTCAGTGACCCTCGCCCCAGACCCAAACGATTTATTGGGGCTCTCCTCGGCGCGGCGTCCGCCCTGGGCACCCTCTTTAGCTTAGGGATGTCCACGGTAAACGCCATCAGCCTATCCTCCCTCAGACGCCACCAACAAGAAATGGCCTCTGAGCTCGAGGATGTCAAAACCAGACTTGACCAACAACAGAACGACGTGGTAACCTTGGGAAAATCCCTGAAAGGAACCATGCTAGTACTTAACACACACGAGGTTGCGATTAAACGCACCTCCGCTGCGGTCAACCAACTCTTAGACGTTCTCCAACTAGACTACGCCCATACTCAGCTGACCACACAACTGATGGAGGACATACAAATACAACTACAAATGTGTTGTGAAGATTCCCAGGTGTAATGTGTGCTGAGATGTTAATGTCTGTAAGACGGATGTGTTTTCCTGCCCAGTGGAGTCTTTGGGGAAAGGAATGTAAATAAACGCTGAACACAAAACTGTAATTAGCTTTTATTTAGAATAATTAAGTGACAAGGAGCACTGTGGGTTAGTGTTTAGCCGAAGTGGGTGGAAATCATTGAACAGCAGGAGTGAGCACCTGAGGATGGTAATACGAACACGCAGCAAAAGTATGATCAATTATAGCAGACCCCATGTTTTAACGCTTGCTATTCATTTGAGTTTATTTCCAGCTGTGTTTCTCTACTGAACCCCCAGGAACAGTGGGTGTGACAAAAACATGCAAATATCATTAAAGTCTCCCTACATTGATGTGCAAGCGCAGGTGCAACAGGATGTTATTTGTATAAGTGTCAGCCAATTGAAAAATAAAAACCATAAAGCGACTGGAAATGTGAAAGATAAAAATAAAGATCTCTACATCATATTTGAATGAGCTCCACACTCAAAACACATTTTTATTTTTAAGTTCAATATAGATATGTTTGCTTTATTAGAGAGCCTTATAACTAATTTCCAGTGAAATTTGTTAAAACCCAAAATGTGCTTCAGATCCTATCCCCAGACATCCTGCTTTATATTTACCATGCAAAATGTTGGCAGATTCCGGAGATGTATTTCTTGTACAGAGCTTGTTCTCAGACCAAGTATGGCGCAATAGGCTATCTAGAGATCTATTTCAATTGGAGAGCAAGCACCAGTACAACTTTATGGGGAGTAAATACTGTACATGAAATAAAATTATATTATGATTTGATAGTCATTAGTTTATCAAACCTGCAATATTATTCTTATGTCTGAAAGTCCTTTCTACTGACCAACTACATGCATGTTATTGAATAATGCCACCACTGCTCGACACCTTTCAAATAATTAATCTATAAAAATATTATTATAACTCATGATAAAATAATTAGACAATAGTTGTTTTGGAACTTTGTAATTCCTAGATCATGTAAAAAACTGTAACAGAATAATTAGCTATAAACGTAGACAAGAATTCTGACTTTTGTTGTTTGCCATAGTTACCAGGAAATATTTTTCAGCTTCCATCCGCCACGATTTTAAACTAAAGGCTTTTTGGAATGCTGTGATGTTACACATTCTTACCTGGGTTAACGTAAAGCTGGCTCTCCACAGTCTTGGCGATGCATTGCAGTTTGATGGTGTCTAGAGGGCTGTCTGCTTGAACAGTGGTGGGCAGACTGGCCAGAGTCTCCCGGACAAAACCAGCCACCTCACGCACCGTAAAAATCTTTAATAACTCTCCATAAATTGCAGGGAATGTGCGAAGAAATACAGCCTGAAGGGAAACAAAGAAAACAGCTGCGTTAGAACTCCAGCTGACCACAGAGAAAACGCTTTGGTGCTAAAATAATTGCCCCTTTAAGACACAAATCAATGTATTGACACTACCTATCAATGCTGATAAGAAGAACCTTACAGCATCATGTGATCAATAATATCGGTTCGGGACAATCCACAAAAAGGATTAGAGTGAAATTGCATGTACTTGTAATAGAATATTTCGCTTTTAAAGATTTATGAAAATAAGAGAAACATTCATGAATGGGCCTCATTCACAAACTGTCAAGAACCAATTTGTTTTTAATTCCTACTTACAAAGATTTTTACAAAGATTGTGGTATTCATGATTTTCATGAAGAAGAAATTGAAGAAGATTCTAAAGAAGATATTGGTGAATGAGGCCCAATCTTTGTAAAATTCTCGTAAGTAGGACTTACAAAGTTGTGCTTACGAACAGTTTGTGAATGAGGCCCATTGTCTTTTCAGTGTTACCAACCACTGTTGCATACACTTGCCTGAGTTTGTGCGACTGGACTTGTGCCTTTGTTTTCTTGTGAGAGGAAGAAGCGGATGGACATGAAGAGCTCATGGACGCACACTCTGAACTCCTCCTCACTCTGCCCCCCGGTGGCCAGAGAGAACAGGCGCCTGGACTGGATGATGTATTTGAAGATGTACTCGCTAGCCTGAGGAACAAAAACAACATGTACTGGCAAGACAACTGAAAAGATAAATAAATCATACATTGGGTCGACTCTGCTCCCAACAGATATAATTTGTTTATGATAAGTTTAATTCAATTGTTGGACATTGCAGGCAAAATGTTAGCATTCACAAGGAACACAACAAAGAGCAGATCCTCCACCAAGATATTAATGTGTTCGATTATATAATTGCATCGTTTTAAGACATTCAGTAAATGTGTAAAGGAGGAATTTCTTCAGGGACATTCACATTTATAAATTATATGTATAAATATATATAGAAAATATATGTATGGCTTTTATCATTAACAATTAACATGAAGAAAAAACTCAATTTAAAGTAACCTACAACAATAAGGATTGCCTGTTAACCCTTGTTTAACCTTTGTGCATTTGAATGAAATGAAATATGGTTCAGAAACATCATAAGCTTCCCCTGTTTCACCTGACATCTGGGATGCTATTTACTGTGTGTGCATTGCTCATATATTATTAACTGAAAAACAAAAGTATTATTTACAGTCTTGTCAGATGTATATTGAATGAGAAATGAGGTGAGAATGCCCCCTGGAGAAGCTGCTTCTTTGAAAAACCACACGCCCAATACATGTAGTGTGAGATTGAATAAACCAAAGGATTACGGATGGCTTATTAACGACGCATGTGTGTGAAGCAGATATCATAGTGTTCACAGAGGAAAATAACAGCAGCGCTGTCTTTACATTGGTATGAAGCTTACTACATCTAGCAGCACCTATTAAATGCTTACTATCATGATTTATCTAGTTCTACAGAGCAGCGAATGCATCCTGCCAAAAAGAGAATGTGATACAGAGCAAAAGTGCACGTTAGTAGCGGTCAGAAGTAAAATTGAGAAATATATTGCCTTGTGAAAAGTGTCTGGAAAATCTAGCTCATTTTGTCATGTTTGTAGATGTTTTGTGTGTGTGTGTGTATAAGTGTGCATACAGGTTTGTGTGTGTGTGCATGGCTTGTCTCTCACCTTGAGCACCTGCTGGATGTGATCTTGGTGCTCGGCGTCCACAATGCGGTCCACGTACCACTTCAGCACTTTGATCAGATCCCTGGGGACAAAACGCAGTCATTTACCATTCTCCTCCAGCCGCTGCACCAACAGGCTCGCACACATGCATCACACCACTACAACATTCACAAGACTCCTGCATCCATGCAAAACCAACTCAAATGTGTTTCTTTTATTTCAGCACTAATACTTCGTTACAGCATATTGCAGCCTGTAGCCTGCTGGAGGAAGTCAAATGTGGGTACATCTCTTTTGTGTAGTGTGGAAGATAAAGAGTGCTATGGGTTTTCTTTTAAATGCTTAAATGCATTTTTATTTAGAAATTGGTAATAATGGAGCAATCATTGGATTCAAGATTATTAATTTGCTTAACTACAATTGATTTATTGTTGACATATCATGCGCGACAGGAATTACACTATGTACAGATACAATACAATACATTACAATTTATTCTTGTACAGCCCTAAATCACAACAGAAGTCATCTCAGAGGACTTAACAAAACCATTGAAATCACCAACTCAGAGAATCAACAGTAAAAAAAACATCACCACAGTCCTTCTAGTTAGCTAGATGTAATGTTATAGTGTCATATTACCCAAAAAGCAAAAAGACTTGGTTTGATATTAACAAGCAGAGATAACATATTCCACTTATCAGGGCTTTTTGTGTCAGATAAGTTAAAAAAAAAACAGAGTGAAAGTGAACGTTCTTGTGAAATATTTAAAGGTGCCTCGAATGCTTTAGTTGCTAATCTCACTGCTGAATATTTTCATTTATTTAAAGGGAATTGAAGCCAAAGCGACACATTACACATGATGTGTGTGAGTAAAATAACAACATGAGATCAGCATGGCTCTCATAGCAGCTACAGACAGTGTGAAGAGGCAGCCTGCGTGAACAGCAGGTCCTGAATATGGAGTCTGAGGAGGAGGGATGAAAGACTGACCAGTGAAGGACACTGTAACTCTCAATACAGCCACCAGGGGGCAGTGCAGCCATAGCATTGATACTACATCTTCTGACAAATCACCAGCTCAAAGTGACCAGCTTGATTCTGACAAACTGAGATAAAAATGTGGACAAACTGAGATTAAATTCAGTAATAGGAATATGAATGTAACAATCTGCTATTTAAATGATGGTGGGAGGTTGGCAAACAGTGATATTGTCTTAGCAACATATTTTCTGCAAAGATTAAAAACATACAATTATAAATGAGCAGTGTTCAAACTGTATCTCTCTGGGGATATCTATGACATCAATCATAACAACATATATGATTGATGTGCCAACAAATGATGTAATGCTAACTAACATTTTAATGAAAGTAACAGTACCCAAACTAACTAACTTCTCACCCTTAACAGCTTAATAGAGTAGCTGTCTGACATTTTTGTCCGGGGAAAGTGGCTCTCCTTGTAAAAAAGGTTGGAGACCTTTAGAGCAGCCATAGAACAAGATGTTTACTGCATACAACGTTATAACATGCAGACGATGACAACATACACACCTGTACGACAGCGCTCCTGCAAAGTGGCTCTCGATGTAGGTGTCCATGACAGGTTTAAAATGTTGAAACTTGCTGTCTTGAAGGAGGTTGATTATGTGAACCTAAGAAGAACATATACACATTAAATTTACTCATTCGCCACCAAGACATTTTTGTTTAAATGCAATACTAATTCTTAAAGATGGGGTTTCTTAATAAATGGATAACAAAAATGTCCCGAGAGAAAGAGTCTTGTAATAGTGAAGATAAGATGCTGTGTTCCTTGTGTTAGAAAACAAATTTGGCATACTTGTGAGTCACCATTAGACGCTTTTGGGCAGAGTGGGTAAGACACAAAAGGTTATTGAACAAGTTAAGTGTTCTTTTTGTAAGTAAAAAGGAGCCAGAGTAGGAGAAAAAACCTTCCCTGTCTGGGCTTCATTGAGCTAGCGGGTTAGCATTGTCCATCTATATACAGTTTATACATTATAATCATAGATTAATTGTATTCAGAGTAAAAAGGTGCACAATATTACATAAGACCCAAACCAGTACATTACGCAACCAAAGATATTCTGAATCTATTACCAGTTCTCTTTGTGCGGAGACTGCTGTAAATTCTGCATTATCTCTGTGACCACTAGATAGATTATACATGTGGCAGGCTTGTTTGATTGATTCAGGGCTGGAAACAGGGATGGCTTTGCAGTCTCTTCGGACCCCTTCATCAGCAATAATGCTTCACTGGGGGGAAAAGGAGCGTGTTTTGTGGCAGCGTGTTGCGAGTCAAGTAGAGAGAGGCGTCCGATCGATCCATCTATCTGCGGTCGGTCTGTCAGAGCAGTGGGCTGTGACTGCAGGGAGACCGGCTCAGAGAACTGAAGTATGACTGCACCAGCCCAAAGCTCTCCAAAGACAAATAATACTCTGGTCTAGGAATGACAGGCACAGTAATATCGACTTGCTTATATATACTTTCCAATTTTCACCAGATTTAAGAGAAAAAAAGTTAAGTATTTCATGAAGAAATACACAGACACACATGAAAATAATAAACTAGTGCATTGTTTATCAATTAGCTGAGTACAGTAAGGGTGGTAGAAAGGTTGATCTCAAGATGTGACAGAGGCCAAAATACATGATAAACACTAGTGACAGAATCAAAAAGGTAAACTAAAATATGTATGTAACACTGCTAATCTTGTAGTTTGGATCATTCTTAAAGCTGCAGTTCTAGGGACAATTCTAGGGACATAAAAGAAGTTAAAATCATACTATGGAACATTCTTTGTAGAAATATATGCATTTAAAGCCATACAATTTAATAGTGTAATCCAGACTCTACACTTGAAGAGTTTAACTAATCATGTGTTTTTGAAAATATTTTGAGGACCATTTCCCAAATATGCATAATATGTGGATGTTAAATTGGCAAATGTTGTGGCAATGAGACATACTGTTTAATCATTCTGAAAGCTATTTTAAGCAGTTCTGTTTTTCTTTTGTCCTCATAAAAAGCCAAGATCCAATCAGTCATTTTTTTATAAGGAATTACGATTTATAAATTTAATTCTCAAAGAACACACTATACTGTAACACATGTAATCATCTACAACAAAACAGCACTCAATCAAAATAACCCATCCAATACGTTTAAATTAGCAACCTGGGCCACCAAAAAATAACAGCAATTTAATTGGGGAAATCATATAAAATATTATTTCAGTTTACGTAAAACCCCAGTCTTTTAAAAGTAACATGTTGTGAAAAATGCTGCCAGAACATGCTGTCTTCACTATCTTAGGTTGTGTTTTATATCTTTTTCCCAAGACTGAGAGCTGATTGGCTACGCAAGAGTAGTCCTGTCTTTTTGATTTTTCCGTCTGAACAAGCTGTTCTAAAGATATCACATGAGTGAAAACTAGAGATAGAACCAAACTATGAGGATGTAGTATTTTAAAGCAAAATTGTGTATATTATTGTAGTTTGAGAGTTAGATACCCCACCAGATACATCTTAAGGTAACTTTACTCACCAGTGAATCGAAAACCTTGAGGCCGTATCTTTGGCTGCTTTCATCTAGAATCCCAAAAAGAGTGTCTAGCGTGTCCTGAAGAAACTGAGAAAATACAAAATTGTTTGAACACAACACCACGCAGTGACCTTTTTACGCTCAGCTGCAAAACCGTATGAAGCCAAATCAAATATGAAGCAATCGATACTCTCAGTGGAGCAGAGGCAATTTTGGGGATCTGATAAGAGTGCAACCTACTTTGACAATCTCTGAGCCGTCAATCTCCTTGAGCTTCGACAGGCTGTCATTGATGCGTTCAGGATGTGCACGCCATTTCAGCAAGTCCAGCATGTCGCCTGGAGGGGGCACAGTCAGCAGGAGACGTATGAGCCATAACATCATTCTTACTGTTTATTTTTTAAGGGTACTATACTACAACATTAACTTGTACCATGCCTTACCCCATAAAGGAGACTGGTACCACATATGTCAGTCTGTATACTTTTTGTGTGTGAGTCTTATATCTAAATGTTTAAGGGGTCTGTGAGTTACAATATGGACCGAATATGGTGATGATGATGACGACAACGATAATGATACATACATGTTCTGAAAACGTGTTGGATGAAGCAGACATGTACAAACTTCCAAACCCCTGACTCATTCAACAGATAATTTGGAACAAAATTGTTTAAAACCAGTATCACTACACAATTATATATGGCACCACACACACTCACACAAATATTGAAAAGTTTTGATCAGGAGATTTTTTTGGTTGTCGGTCCAAAATTATGGAATGAGCTGCCCCTGTGTGTTAGACTCTTCCTGCTTTAATGTCTTGTCTTAGGACTCACTTGTTCTCATTGGCATTTCATTGATTTTGAATTGATTTTGAATTGATTTTCTCTGTAAAAAGTGTGGGGTTATGTCTTTTTATGTACAACACTTTGGTCAAAATTGTTGGTTTTATTAGTGCTTTATAAATAAACTGGACTGGACTGGTGATGATAGAATATACAGGGGGAGAAGTAAAAAAGTAGTATAAAAAAGTATTTGAAAAAACTTCATCCTGGTGTGTGTTTTGTGCTCACATATTTCATAGTAATTTTTGGTAACCCGGTACTAAATTTGGTAAAATTGAGTCCAGACAAAATGAGAAAATGAAAACCCAGTAAAGTTGGATGTAGTGTACTGTAATTACACTGTTCCAAACACATTTGTCGTAAGCAAGCTGTAACAATGGAGAGTGTGCACATATTGTATTACCGTTCTGTGTGAGTTTGGTGGAGCAGAGGAAACTGGTGATCCAGAAAGACTCCTTGGTCCCTTTTAAAGTCTGATTGTTGGCCGGGAGATTGACCTTGGAGAAGGGCTGCTTGAGGTACCGCGAGCAGTCGGCTAAACTGGTGTTCTCCTCACACTGGGACAGAGACAGACAAAGTAGAAGATTAGTTTGGTTTGTTCATGCTAACAAACAGCAGTCAATAAAATGAAGGGTTATTTTCCAGCAGTTGTAGAAAAACATGAATACAAAAACCGTTCCTGCCCATGTTGGCATAGAAGGTAATATGCCAGACATACTGGCAAAACACGCTCAGTTTAGAAGCGATGAACATACATGTCTCTATGTATAAATACAAAAGTGTTTAAAATATGGCAACAATGTTGGGAATCGATCTGGAAAAACCTGAATATAGTGCGAAAGGAGGTTAGTGCGAAATATCATGTAAGAAGAGAAGAGAAAAGAAGTGAAGAGAAAAGAAGTCAAAGAGAAGGACGGAAGGTAGGAAAAAACCACAGAGGAGAATGTGACTACTGTTTGTGTCCAAAACAAATCTTCAAGGGTTGGAATGTTAAGTAAACATTCAGAACCAAAATGTTTGGCTACAGTAACCAACACTCAGAAGCCACCATTTACATTAACCTCACTACATGCACAACTGTTTATGAAAAACAAAACTTTTTAAAATCAGATTTAAATAAAAAAGCAACATCAAAATGCCCACCAAACCCCATAAAGAAGGAGGCGGTATATGTACCCCCTGTTGGTTACCAGCCTCCAATACATCAAAAAAGAATAACGCATTGATTTTTATTTGCCTAATCTTTGTTTTACATTACTATGGAAACTGGGGAGAGCAAGGTCCTAATGTAGCAGGACACCACACATGCCTGTTGTAAAAGGTGGTACAAACTGAACTCCCTTCAACTCTATTTCACTCATTTATATGGAAGAAAACCAGCATTGCGTAGAATGAGCTTTCAAGCGTTTACGGACATTATTATGATTCCAAGTGTAAGTTGCGATGTATTGACGTTAAGCATCAATACAGATCAATAAAATGCTGGAACCAATAAGAGCTGAGGTAAACAATAGCATGCTTCAGGTCTCACTAGATTCTTGGTATTCTGGTGCTATTTGTGACTCTTAAAACACATATTGAAATAAATATTCAAATTTGGGGCAGGCATCGAAAATGGAATTGGAGATAAGGTAAGCATTAGTTGCTAAGGTAATGCTTAATGCTTACCTTATCTCCAATTCCATTTTCTAGCCTGCAGATGAACAACGTACATTGTAGACGGATATACAAAAATACTAGTCTTCCCCTAAACCCAAGGAAATAACAAAAGGACATCTATAGTGAACATAAATTAGAGAACTTTTGCTCAAATAATTGAAAACATGGTCACCGCTCTGCCTCTCAGCCTGAGATGCAGCAACATACTCTGCAATAGTTAGTTTCCCGGCCTTGGGGAAATGTGCCTGTCCTCAGCAATTATTATAAATTACACCCAAGAAAAACTCCCAGTGGCTTTTACACAAGGATGCAAGGCTGTTTTATTTGTTGGAAGCTTTTGATGTGTCTAACAAAACTAAATGTGTGAAAAAAGCTAAGACAGGCCCTGGACCTCAGTGGGGATGCATTAAAAGAAACAACCCAAAAACGATTGCCAATGGCGAATGAAGAAATGTACATTGGAAACTTTATGTTTATACACAGTGTTGAAAGACAATGCAAAAACATTTATGAATTTGTAGATAGTGATAAATTGTACATCTTTATTTCAGGCTTTATTGGTCCATATATATAAATAATTAATAATAAATTACACATCTAGGTACTTCTTGAGCCTCTGTCAGTGCAGCGCCTTAGACCAATCTTCAGATGTTGCTTGTCTTAGTCAGGACCTGAGCTGATGCATGTTTTTGGTGCTGACTGTAAAATGTTTTTTTGAAATCTGAAAAGCGTGCATTCGTCATTGTGATGAGATACACAATAATTGGTAACGTAAGAAGAGAACAGTGACAGTGTGTTATTGAGAAAGAATGATTCACCTAATGATGAACTGCACCAGACTGAATTTGCTGAGATGCTAAAGTGTCACAAACAAGAAGTTGTGATGTGAAGCTTGTATTCTTCTCTGCTTACTTGTTTGAGTAATTGTGAAAAATACTAAGCATTGTTTAGACCCATCCACTCCAACAAATGTACAGTCATCTGAGCCGAAAGTTTTTGCTTGTATTGACTAATTAACCTGTGATACATTTACTATCGACTCATCTTGTTTTGCACACAAATCAAGATTTTTTTAATTTGATTCTCACCAATTCAATTCAGTAAATGTGTTTAGTTTTAAGAGAGTGCATGTAAACAAAGATTTCTGCTAAGACAGGGATAAAAACAAGTGTGGATGCAAGGTCAGGCAGAGGTGCTGTATTCTTACCTTGTGGATAATGAGCTCATGAGTGCCATCTGGAAGAGTGCGGCCATCTTCCTGCATCAGAGGAACAAAGGAGTAGCCAAACAGCTTCTTCTCCCCCTTATCTTTAGCTGTACAAACACAAAACACACAACATTTGTTAGAATCTGTCAGTATTTTTGTAATAATTTTTACATTAATATTTATAGATATTTGTTCCGACCGGGATTCAAACCCAGGACCTTCTTGCTGAGAAGTGAGAGTGCTAACTACTCAGCCCTCGTGCCGTGCCGCTCATCTGGTCTGTGAAAGGCGCTATATAAACTTTACGTACCTACTTACTTATATGTTCAGGAATTATGTGTCATTATCAGTTGACACGGACATGAGAGCTACCGACCTGCTGTCGCGTTGCTTCTCCTAAAGGCTTTGATATTGGTATAAAATCACAGTCTTTGTTATTGTGACTCAATTCGGCTTCCTCTATATACTTAATACACCTGGAGGCGTTTTATCTGGCTGTTGAGTTTTGTGCCTTTTGTGTCATAAAGAAGAGCTAAATGAATTCTCTGCTGCTTTTGCATTATGCTAATGTGGGCACAGCAGGAAGTCACAACGACACCCTCATGGAAGAAGCACTTTTCCTATTCTGAGCAGAAGCGTGTTTGTTTTGCTGCATAGTCTGCGAGGCCGGCGGGAGCAAGCTACAAGTTGGATCAGAACTCTTATATTGCATTGTAACATCTCCATGCAAGATGCTTTTTGTGTGGTAGGTCTGCAGAGCGGATAAAACTGCAGAGCCTCAGGTGGAGAAAGAAAGAGAAGCAAGACTATAAACCATTATGCTTTTGTCATCCAGAGTTGGGAAGTATTTAGCTTGATGCTTCAGCTGGGTTCATTTTACTTCATTGAAATAGTCTGAAATCTGATCTTTATGATTAGTTCTCTCAAAACCTTTTGCTTTATCCAATCACTACTCTTTGGTCGTGACGTATGTTGGAAGGGGGTAATTAATTATTTCAAACTCTGCAGTCTTCCCCTTTGTTCCGGCTTTAAATCCTCAGACACAGAATGTATGGCTTGGTCTACGCATGGAGGTCTACATCCATTACAGATTTGTTTATTGCTTTGTTGAACTACAAAGTGGCGCCGATTCGCCGATTGTACTTCCTGGTTCTCGAAACCTGTCTTGCTGCATTATTGGCACATTGATAGAGCTGAGGAAGTACACTCACAGGCCACTTTATTAGGTACACCTTGTTAGTATCGGGTTGGACCCCCTTTTTCCTTCAAAACTGCCTAAATCCTTTGTGGTATAGATTCAACTAAGTACATTCCTCTGAGAGTTTGGTCCATATTTGATTAGTTTCTGCAGATTTGTCAGCTGCACATCCATGATGCAAATCTCCTGTTCCACCACATCCCAAAGGTGCTCTATTGGATTGAGATCTGGTGACTGTGGAGGCCATTAAAATATTGTGAACCTATTGTCATGTTCAAGAAACCAGTCTGTGATGATCCGAGCTTTATGACAAGGGGTTTTATCCTGCTGGAAGTAGTGATCAGAAGATGGGTACACTGTGGTTGTAAACTCTGAAAGTGAAAGTTAAAGAACTAATTAAAGTTTGTATATGTGTTGGGAAAATCCAGGAAAGGTTATCGGTTAATTTGTATCTTACTGCACGAGAGGTAACTATTACATGATACCTCTAGTCAGCACAACACTAGACTTCCAACACGGTAAATATATTCAATTACGCTCCAGAGAATGAACTTTTGGATTTTAATTGAAATGACAGAGTTTAGCCGTTTCATTTTAACAGGGCCCAAGTCTCTGAGCCCTAATAGAACATGCAATAACAGCGGCCATAGCTGGTACCACCACAGGCCTAAATTAGACCTTTAATAGGCAACCCTGGCCGTGGAGCCAGATATGCCTCCAGTAATAAGGCTGCAGTGTCTATTACACACATTCACACAGGCTGCACTGCAAACAGACGAATATCGGCTTGTTATGAGAGAACAGCCTTTAGCCTGTCCCAGTACTGAATATATGGAGGTAAACTGTGAAATGCGGTTAATAATTAGAGCGTTAAATCATTAGCAGGTTGGAAGTTTTACAAAGGTTTGCAAAAGTAAAAAAAAGAAAAATCTTGCAAGCAACTTTTTTGGGATAAAGTTATTTTAGGCCATACTCGTACTATAAGCGAGGTGTCAAACCGGTCCTCAGAGGGCTGGTGTGGCCGCTGGTTTTAGTTCCAACCTGAGCAGGAACACACCAGATTTCCTCAAATCTTCAGGTTTAAACTGGACTCTTCTGAAGAAATGGGAAATGCAAGCTATTGTTGAGTCCTTATGCAAGACACTTCTCCTTCTTTGCTCTGAGTGGTGGTGATGGTAAGGGAGTCTAGTGGAACTACAGTGCCTTGCAAAAGTATTCGGCCCCCTTGAACCTTTCAACATTTTGCCACATTTCAGGCTTCAAACATAAAGATATAAAAATTACAAATTTTGTCAAGATTCAACAACAAGTGGGACACAATCGAGAAGTGGAACAGAATTTATTAGATAATTTAAACTTTTTTAACAAATAAAAAACTGAAAAGTGGGGCGTGCAATATTATTCGGCCCCTTTGCGCTAATACTTTGTATTAGCGCAATTACAGCCTTTTGCTGCAATTACAGCTGCAAGTCGCTTGGGGTATGTCTCTATCAGTTTTGCACATCGAGAGACTGGAATTCTTGCCCATTCTTCCTTGCAAAACAGCTCGAGCTCAGTGAGGTTGGATGGAGAGCGTTTGTGAACAGCAGTCTTCAGCTCTTTCCACAGATTCTCGATTGGATTCAAGTCTGGACTTTGACTTGGCCATTCTAACACCTGGATACGTCTATTTGTGAACCATTCCATTGTAGAGTTGGCTTTATGTTTTGGATCATTGTCCTGTTGGAAGATAAATCTCCGTCCCAGTCTCAGGTCTTTTGCAGACTCCAACAGGTTTTCTTCCAGAATGGTCCTGTATTTGGCTCCATCCATCTTCCCATCAATTTTAGCCATCTTCCCTGTCCCTGCTGAAGAAAAGCAGGCCCAAACCATGATGCTGCCACCACCATGTTTGACAGTGGGGATGGTGTGTTCAGGGTGATGAGCTGTGTTGCTTTTACGCCAAACATATTGTTTTGCATTGTGGCCAAAAAGTTCGATTGTTGTTTCATCTGACCAGAGCACCTTCTTCCACATGTTTGGTGTGTCTCCCAGGTGGCTTGTGGTAAACTTTAAACAAGACTTTTTATGGATATCTTTGAGAAATGGCACTCTTCCATAAAGGCCAGATTTGTGCAGTGCACGACTGATTATTGTCCTATGGACAGACTCTCCCACCTCAGCTGTAGTTATCTGCAGTTCATCCAGAGTGATCATGGGCCTCTTGGCTGCATCTCTGATCAGTCTTCTCCTTGTTTCAGATGAAAGTTTGGAGGGACGGCCGGGCCTTGGTAGATTTGCAGTGGTCTGATACTCCTTCCATTTCAATATGCATGCACAGTGCTCCTTGAGATGTTTAAAGCTTGGGACATCTTTTTGTATCCAAATCCGGCTTTAAACTTGTCCACAACAGTATCTCGGACCTGCCTGGTGTGTTCCTTTGTCTTCATGGTTCTCTCTGTGCTTTAAACAGAACCCTGAGACTATCAAAGAGCAGGTGCATTTATACGGAGTCTTGATTACACACAGGTGCATTCTATTTATCATCATCAGTCATTTAGGACAACATTGGATCATTCAAAGATCCTCACTGAACTTCTGGAGTGAGTTTGCTGCACTGAAAGTAAAGGGGCCAAATAATATTGCACGCCCCACTTTTCAGTTTTTTATTTGTTAAAAAAGTTTAAATTATCCAATACATTTTGTTCCACTTCACGATTGTGTCCCACTTGTTGTTGATTCATGACAAAAAACATTTTTTTTAGCCTGAAATGTGGCAAAATTTTGAAAGGTTCAAGGGGGCCGAATACTTTCGCAAGGCACTGTACTAGTGGATTGGAAGACCCACTTCTGCTGGTCTGCCACAAAGGCAATTGTGTCTCTGGAGCATATATGGAAAGTGCTATATGCATAAAGACTAGGATAAGAAAAAAATACAAGGGCAAGGCAAGTTTATCTGTATTGCAAAACTCATACACAAGGCTACTCGAAGTGCTGAACAAAATATAATAAAAACAATCACACAAGGCATTAATCTCATGAATAATCCTCTTTCATTAACAAGAGTAAAGATAAAATCCCTCAGTTGTATGCACAGCGAAACAGAACTGTTAAGCTCTTTAACCTGGACACCACAATATACTTATTGTCATCATTGAGAGAGCAAAATAAACAACTAACAATTGCACCATCAAGCTCTAGGACCATTGAAAATTTAGTTTTTTCATCACACTAGAGACCTTATGGACTGGCACTTACTGGAGCAGTGTCGGAATTCAAAGCGGACATGGGACCCCCGGAACATGTCCACGGGGATGGGCAGTTTGATTTGTTCTGACCAGCGCGGACTGTTGTTGTGGTACAGCACCAGAGAGTGGTACTCATCCGCCCCCGGCTCTCCAGATCCTGCTGCCACCTGACTCTGAGGCACAGAAAACACAAAAGACAAGATGTGAAGAGGAAATTAAGGCCTCACAAACACAGCCTGTCGAAAAGCCATATGAATTAATGCAACAAGAATATATTGAAACCTACCGGGACCAAAAACCAATAAAGACAGAGTGGCGTGTTTTTTTCCTGTGTGTTTACATGCGTTGCCAGGGAGCGTGCCGCGCTTGTGGCTGTCAGCAGCAGTGGCATGAGGGTTATATTTGAGTCTATTTTCTGTCCAAGGCCAAAGCAGTGCAGGGAAACCACAGAGAAAAACTGCCACAGCTACTACCCCCAAAACACACATTTGGATGGCCAGATTTAAGAGTGGCCTTTAAATACCGATTTAAAGCTGGGAGACCTAACTTTTTTCCCATTATTGACACATGTTTTTTGTCTGAAAGAATCTTGTAAAAGTAAATTGTTGCGAATGAATCTGACCACAACATTCCATCTTGAACTTATTAGAAAACATGTTATCTTGTGCATACTTGAAAGAAAGAACCCTGTGAGTCACTATAGGACTGAGGGTGGCCCTTTATTTAGTACTTTTATGTCAGAAAAATATACAAGCATGTGAAAACTAGTGATAGAACCAAAATGTTTTGAGAGTGACGAGGACACATAATTACATTCTACAATTTTTTCACAATTTGAAAGTTAGTTGGCCTAGTTTGTGTTGCATAATGTGATTTCAGGCTGGGCGGGTCCACTCACTGCATGTACTGTATGTATCGAGATGTTTTGTCAGTTTTAATTCTCATAAATCCTAGTTTAGTTGTTAATGTACAGCAATCCCAGTTTCAATATTTTCCTGATTCGGTTGACAACTTTTAGATCAATTCAATTAAATTAGATTAAGCTGTCGATTCTCCAACACAGATCAGTGAATTAAACAGTTCAAACACAGGAATAGATGTCAGTGAATGAGTGTCCTGGATCAACACCACTGCTCTCAGACCCCCCTGCATTGTTTTTGATTGGACTCATCATCAAAGTTTTTAGTATTTTTTTTACCATGAGTATCTGTCCATCCATGTCCAGGGCGTAGACTGTGATTTCCACGTTCCTAGCCACACTTTTTCCTCCCTTCTCGAACTCGCCCCTCTCCAGAGTGATGTAAAGGTCGTTCCTCATCTCTCCTATCACAAAGAGCACAGAAGGTCACCATGTGTTATGCAGATAAAAAAGCATTATTAATGATCTTTCCTTTGCTTCAGTCTGTTGTGTAATTCATCATGACACGGGTGAGACGTATTTACATTTGCAGAGGTGGTGTTAAATGAAGTGCGGGTCAATGTTTGGCCCTGGATACGTGTTGTAATGCAAAGGGTAATTATACTTCAAAAGCAGCAGAATGCAGTGCAATGTTCATTTGGGAGAGCTTAGATCATGGTAGAGGTGGATTTGCCTCTAATGTTGTTTGTATAGTATTTTAAAAATGCCTGGATAACACGTATCCATCCCCATTGGTCTTACTGTAGCTAACCAAGACTGACTATTGCTTGTGATAATGAACAAACATGATTTGATTCAGTAGGGACAGGATAGATTGTAAAAATTGAAGGGGAGATGTATGTACAAAATACAGGGCAATTTTGGAAGAAAACATTTTAAGAGGTGGTGATATATTCGATGCTGGGGCGGGCAATGACCATAAATATGAAGCCAGTGTTACACATTCAGATTATTACATAATTATAATTATTAATAATTACTGATTTGTTTGGATGGCCAAGTCAAAGTTCAGAGCTATCACGAACGCTCTACATCTATCTGACAGAGCTTGAGTTGTTTGTCATATCCCAAAAGAGTTCTACACAGTATTGACTAAAAATTTAATGGATATACTACCATTTATCATTTAAAATAAGCACAACAAATCATGTGGTCCTTTAAATGAAGGACCACAAATGCATCTTCATACCTGAGCCCCAGCCCATCACATATCTGTATCTCTGTATAACTCAAGGGTCAGCATTGATTTTTCCTCATGAAGCGTGCGTCCATGGAAACGCAAGCTTTGTCTATGAATGTTGTGGCTATTGGCTTACAGCCCATTGTTTGATCGCGAAGAGGAAAGGAACATGGGAGAGTATTTGGCGTTGGCAATACAATAGGAAATGAAGGAAGCAGCTGGAAGGCCTACTGAAATGAGATACAACAACATTTGAAATGTATTAATTAAATGGTATGTATGCATACATGCATACATACACATATATATTTTTTTTTTGTGTAAATATAAATATAAACATAAAATAAAGAACTAATAGTCCATAGTAAAATAGTAAAATCATTAAAACCCCCCCCCAAAAAAAAACATGTAAATGCATCAGTACCCTGTTTTGTTTGGAAATATTTTAAGTTATTGTAGTCTGTGCGATTTGCTACTTGCAACTATGAAAATCAAGAGCGGTTCATTGTACGGCCCTAATACTGAGCCTGTCCTACATCTGTCATGAACACGATAATGAAGCATCCTGAAAATGAGTAGTCTGGATTAAATGAAGAGGGCCCAGACAGGAACGCTGTGTGTTGTGGTGAAAATGCAGAGAAAATTACGAGGAGATTTGTGAATTTGTAGCCCAAGGGCAGAGTGCCACGGATGGGCTGAGTGAGAGGGTTTTATGGGCAAACGCAGACAAAGACCGAGACACTGGGCGTAAATCTGTCAGAGTACTTCCTGCTTCTCTGCAGAAAACAAGAGCTGCCCCTGTCCCCTCATGTGTAGAACAAAAACAGACAATGTTGAGATGTAGCTTTAACCTGCATTTCATACCCACCAATGTACTACTTTTTAAGAACTACATATGTAAATACAGGCAGACAGTAGCCGTCTGGTAAACCTCCAATGCAAATGCAAGTGTATTTGTTACCATAGCGACCTCGTTCAGCCTAAGGTAAAATGTCTGTGAGCAAGGAGGGAGTCTGAGGAAAGCATTACTGATGATCTTATACAAGGCAATGTATGTGATAAATCAAATAAAACCCACAAACCTTGGACTTGTTGCTTGAGTAGGAAGCTGCTCAAAATTAGTGCTTTTTTGTTGTTGCAATTTTACAGTTCACCATTATGGTTTATGATAAATCCACTTTAATTTATTTTTGTCACTTAATTACCTTTTCCTCAGCTAAGTCTAAGGTTGAGACCAGTGGGGGCGGGTCCCGGCTCAAAAGTGACCAAAATGACGTGTGCTGACATGCTAACATATAGCATCTTCTTACCTCTCGAAAACACCTTTAAAAGTTGGCCCTTGGCCCAAAGCTCCATTCCACATGTGTGCCAATGCTGAGGGGAGTGAATTTTTTTGGACCAGTCTAGTTTACTCGCTGTGAATTTATGAAGTCACTTGTTTAAATGAATGGAGCTTGAGCCGGCTGATGCATGCGCAGATGCAATTTTTCACATTTTCCAGCCCCCGCGGCCATTTTGAATCACTCCATGAAAGCCCAATTTATGGCCCATCATTTAGAACAGTGGAGATAGAACGTCCTTTAATATATACAGTCTATGGTTGAGACTGAATTTTTTTTAGTAAGTAAGTAAGTAAGTAAGTAAGTAATGTTTACTTAATGCACCACCTGCATGTGAAATCAGATGCCGTCAGACCTCTATAACTAAGCAGGGCAGAGCTGTGATGGGAGACCTCTGGGAATATCAACTAGTGCTGTGTCCTTTGGCAATCCACTTTGCCTAGAATGAGTCTGGTGTGTGTGTGAATGATTTGTAGGGGTCTGAAGGGCCAATGGCACAAACTGGTTGCATCGCCTCCGTCAGTGTGCCCCAGTGCAGCTGTGGCTACAGTAATAGTTTATCACCACTGTGTATGGAATGAAAGAATAAAGTCTTATGCAGCGTTCTTGAGTGTCCAAAAAGGCACTATACAAAACAAAAAGGAAGAAAAAGGAGTGATGATCAGCAGTATTTTTTTGTATCGTATAAAAAAACGTATGTAAGTGTTTGTAATTATAGCAATCATAACATAAAGGAGAACATTTATCTGTTTCACAGTGAGGACACGTGTATGTAACTTACAGCAATAACTCAAAGAAAGGCTTTATATTTAACTATTATCTCACCAACTCCAACATAGGGCTGGACAATATGGCAATAAAGTTACATCCGGATTTCGTTGCCCCATTTGGACAATTATGATATGAACAAAAGTCACACTATTTTATGAAAAAAGCTAAAGATTCACATTTTTTATTTCCATCCCTAACATTCATAAAATGTTGGACGCTCACATCTCTAACACTATCTTTGCGGGCTGCCCTGTTGTATACACTCGCTGCACAGCTCAGACCCTACAGACCCCCAAGAAGATTTGCATAAAATCCTACTTAGGCCCTGTCCACACAAAGTCAAGCTCAGGCCTAAACGCAAAAATACTTTATCAATCCAGTGTATCGTCCATACGAGGCCGGCGTTTTGGGGGGGTGTAAACGAACATTTTTGAAAGTAGGTCCCAGAGTGGAAAGATTTCAAAACTCCGTATATGCCGCTCCGTGGTTACTGCCTCTCCGCAATGTATCTGAGACGCTTGCGTCATCGCCCCGCCTCTTGTTAAAGCACGCATGCGCCGCACTCATCGTCCGTCCATACTAATGTAGTACCAGCTCGCCCACTCGCCATGTTGTCTGTTTACAAAATTCCGCGCATGCCCACGGAAGTTTGGGCTTGATCCCGTCATTGCGTCACAGCGCCACCAACAGGTCTGGCATAGTTTCACAGCGTTTTCAGGCGTATTGACTACATTCATATGGACGCACACATTTACTGAGCTAACTCCGTGTTTACAGAAAAAGTTTCTGAAATTATAAGCGTTTTGTCTTCGTGTGGATATAGCCTTAAACTCTATCTGTAATCAAAGCAATATATGACCAACAAGACACACCTTGACCCACATTTGGAAATCAATGCCAAAAAGTATAAAAAAAACCTGACTAAAGCATCTATGTTTGAAAGTCACGAATATAAAAAAGAACCAAATACAATGGTATGCTTTCCAGATTCACTCTGTCAAATTATTAGTTTTGTTTATGCATTACCTGGCATGATGACATCAGAGAAGCCCAGTTTCCTTGTGATGGACACTCCGCGGGTAAACAGCACCATGTATTCACGTCTCAGCTGTTCGATGTCACCGTGAAGCAACTGCAGAGCCACCGCTAGACCTGCAAAAAACAAACAGCATTTCATAAAAGACTACTTGTACGCTACACTAAAAGTAGTGGCGGGGGTGACTTTCCAGTATTTTTGTGAGCATATACTGCAGAGCTATTTAGTAGTAGATAGCACAAGTTGACAGCCAAAAAATGGTCAGGGGTTTCTCAACTGATTTAGACTAATTTTGGTGTTCTGAGTCCGAATATCACATGCATTTTGCTCTATCAGGTCAACTTTTTGAGATGCAGCCATAGTGTTACGGATTATGTACGTCTACGTTATTATGAATTCTGCTTATCAAATTTGATGGAGTAAATAAAAACTGAATGACTTTGGATACGTCAAGGGTTTCTCAGCTGATGATCCGCAGAAATTTGTTTATTACGCAAAATCGATTTAAAAAAATATTTCTGTAGCAAAAAATCCTGACCTGATTGAGCAAAACCAAGGTCATTTTCGGACTCAGAGCATCAAAATTAGTCTAATTCAGCTGGAAAACCCGACAGTGGCTCAGTTGGTAGAGCATTGGCTAGCGTTGTGTCCTTGGGCAAGACACTTAACCCCACTTTGCCCAAAGCCCCCACTGAAAGATCAAGGCTATGCTCACACTCAGAGAGCAGCCGTCCTCCTGTGGACTCACCACCTGCAGAGGGTCAGTGAGGGGCTGGTGCTATGAGACTTGGGTGGCATCTCTGACTGCCACCCCCCTGACCCAGAAATGGATTAAAGGGTAGAAAATGGATGGATGGATGGAACCCTGGACTATTTTAAAAAAATATTTTTTTGTTACCCAGTGTAGTAGTAGCAGCATTAGCCATAGTGGAAATATGCAGTTATAGTGGAGGGATGCACTATAAGAGTAGTAAGTAATCTTTATTTTTTATATATACACACCGCCTTTTCACTGCACATCGGAGTCTCAAAGCGGTTTACAATTGTTATTTTTGGGAGTGGGGGTGCCAGTACAGGAGGCACATGCCAGACCTATTGTACATATTTTTTGTGGTAGGGGAAACCGGAGCACCCGGAGGAAACCTACGCAGACATGGGGAGAACATGCAAACTCCACTCAGAAACTGGTCTGGTCAGTTATAGGAGTGTGGTGAATATTCAAAGTAACATAAGTACTAGTAATTATAGATAAAAAAGCCTCTTGTAAGAACTTTACTATTTATTCTTATTCATCTTCTCCAAGTCTGAAAATGCAAACACAGCACCAAAACGTTTTTTCAATGCCTTTTTTTTACAGCTAAAATTATCACCCCATACCAGATACAATATTTATGTACTGTAAGTAAAATGAAAGTCTAAGCCTTATACACAAATCCATTTTATTAAGGGAAAATCCTACATGAAAACCACATGCCCGAATCAATACTGCTATACGCCAACCTTTCAAATGTCACTCCAACGTAATCAATCTCCTACGCGTATATATTTAAAGCGGCACCTTCTTCATATGCGCCTGTCTGGATCCGTCAGGAGGATTGGCACAAATTTAAACAAGCAAACATGAAAAAAAGGAGAATGGCAGTGGTTATTATTGAAGCTGATGAGGCTGTATTTAGATTGAAACGTGACATGTCAGTAAACATCATTGACACAACAAGAAGAATTGTAAACGGAGAGAAAGTGTGTTGCCTCAAACATGAACTGGTTTTCCATATGGGATTGAGTATATTACAGTGAGATAAAAACTTACAACTACAATTTACTCCCACCAAAATTATTGTTTAACTATAGGAGAAGCATATTTTAGCAGGAAACGGTGATTATAATGTTCATTAAAAGGACAATTTATTTTCATAGCACATTTCATAGGATTGTAACTAAGTGGGCTTCATAAACAGAAAATATTTAAACACCAAGAGGCAAGAAAATCCACAGAAAACTATTGGGTTAGGGTTTTAGCTGAGATTCAATCACATAGATAGTAATAGTTATCTTAGATTGCATTACATAATTTACATTTACAACGTACTAAATATAATGCTTACAATGTGTATAGTAGTAATACTAATAGTATTTAAAAGAACATGGTTCCAAGGGATACCCAGTACTTGGATTGTATTATTATTATATTCAAAATAATTTGATTGTAATATTACAATTTAATTACTTTGAATCCAAAATTGTGCAAATTGTTTGACCAACTCTAAAACTGAACCTTTGCATTTGATGGTTTTATTACTTGTTAATGACAATTATAAATATTATACTTATTATATTTATTATTATCATTATCATTACTATTATTATCATCATAATCAATGCCAAACTAGTAACAATGTATGCATAGCCTCAAGTTTTCCCCAGAACACAATGTGAAATTTCCATATATTTCCATCGATTTTCTACCCCTTAATCCATTTCTGGGTCTGCCACCCAATTCACAGAGCACCAGCCCCTCACTGATCCTCCTGCAGGTGGTGAGTCCACAGGAGGATGGTTCTGTTCTGTCGGTGACGTTACAGCCTTGATCTTTCAGCGGGGGCTTCAGGCAAAGTGGGGTTGTGTCTTGCCCAAGGACACTACAACAGAAGACTGGGCTCGAAGACCAATGCTTTACCAACTGAGCCACTGTCCCCCCACAATGTTACATTTTCTTAACAAAAATACATATATTTTAACATAAAGAGGGTTTATCAACACAGGATAGACACAACATGATAATTATATGAACAATCTCCTCAAGTCATGTTATCCGTTCCCTCTTTTTGACTCAATTTCCCTGTCATTGTACGAACTTGTGCAATGAAAGCCGCAGCAGTGCTAAAACAAATACTGCCTCATTACTATTCAGGCCAGTACTGTGCTGATTTAGACACAAACAGAGTGGACCTTCTGCCCTGTGCAGCCCACCCAACTCCCTACACAACTCTCCAGGATCTAAAACAAAAGCAACAGCAGCAGACGGTTCTCTGAGGCTCCCTTTGCTTAAATGCTAGAAAATGGCTCAACTGTGCAGTTAAATAACTAACTGATACTAAAGTTATTAATATACAGCTACTTTACTCAAGAAAACAACAACCAATTATTCATATTCTAAACTTAAGTTATTCCATTGTTACAGTTTAATTAAGCATATACACATGGCGTATCATTCTCCAAAGCTCAGCCTTTATTGTCCAGCTTTGGTTCAATCAAAACATATCTACCGAAAAATAATATCCAAACTGCAGATATACAAACGTATTTGGACAAAATTCCCACCATAAAGTAAAACACAAATATTGAAATAACCACAGATGTAATAGATTAGTTTCAAACACTGAATACCTTTTTTATAGGTCTATTTTTTTACCAATATGATGTTAACACCCCTGCTTTATCCTGTCTCTTGAGACAGAGCTCTTCTTTGCACTGTGGTGAGCTCAAACGAGAGAATGTCCAAAAAAGTCATGGCCTTAAGACAATGGGTGAGGGGGCTTCCACCGTATGACAACAATATTCTAGGCAAATGAGATAAGTTTCTTAAGGATATTTTTTTTTTATCCCCCAGATTATGAAAGTCAAGGGCAGAGTGTAACTATAACTTGAATAGATCTCTAACAATCTGTATCTTGTATGAGCCAATACAATCAAACAGATCATTTATTAATAAAAAGCATTTCACAGACCAGAGTCAAGAAGCCCTCTACAACAGTTGTTGGCTTTTATCCTCTCACTCCACACAAGAGCATGTACACCAATTGTACATATATTTAGTGGTAGAGAAAATCAGAGCACCCAGAGGAAACCTACCCGGACACAGGGAAAACTCCACACAGAAAGGCCCGGAGGTGGAATTGAATCCAGAATGCTATGGTTATATGGTTATGCGTGATTAAAATGACCAATCACATTGCATCTTTGTCTGACGGTAGTTTATTGTGCATTCATTTCTCCCCCTAATTGGCTGCTAATAGGAGACTTGTGGCAGTGAGCCAATTCTGCACTGAAGGAGCGGCACAGAGAAGGTAAGCCCATGCAGACAAACATGTATACACTGCCACACTTTGTTTTAATTACCCTCTAGACACGACTGTAATAAATAGCCATGACGTTAATTACACACGGTGGTCGATAACTTATGCACAGACGTTTTAATGGGCAGCAAACACTGACCCATGGATGAAATAACCACTCGGGTTTGAGAGCAAGGAGAGTGAAAAAGGAAACATTTGCACTATATAAAATTCCCGTCTGCAATAACATTGTGTTGAGCAAAAGGGAAAACCTGCTCATTGAAGTACAGCTGATGGGTGAGCAACCTTCCATTTTTCTGAATGATCCCTGTACGACTGAGAGCTTACACAAACACTAAATTGTGTTAAAGTTAGACAAAGTTTCATGTGAGAAGTTGTGTGTGCGTGCGTGTGCGTGCGTGTGCATGCGTGTGTGTTTGGGTGTGTGTATTTGCTCATATGTGGATTTACAAACACAACATTAAAATAGAAACACAATCACACAGTACAATTTTTAGGCCCAAAATGGGGAGTGTGACACAATGTAGTGAATGGAGTCAATATTTAAATGTCGGCTAAAAGCAGTGTTTTACTATGCTTACAATTTGAGGTTATTTCATTTATTAGTGTGTTTTTTTTGGTATTTTAATGTATTTTTATTTTATTTTTTCAGCTTGAGTGTTGATGTTTTTGGTAGAAAATGTCATATTATAATGATTGTGGTAATTAGTATCATCACTTTACATTGTGATGTTTAATGTATTAGAACCGCTTTGGAACACCTTGTGTACAAATTTCACTTCACACATGAACTTTGAGAGTAAGCAAAAAAAAGCTCATTAGTACAATACAAATTACAAATGCAGGATATCTTGATTACTGTTTTGAAAGAAAAATATATATTCATTATTGTAATAAAAAAAATAGAAGAGGGATATAATATTTGTTCTAGCGGTTATTTTTTACCTATAACCGGTACAACGGATAATTGTGAAAGCAATGAAACAATATTGTTAAACACATGACCAATATTTCCTCTGTACACATTAAAACATACAGTACATGAGTATGATGGAGCAATTGCATAATGGAAAAATGGAAAAAGACTAACCCATGCTCACTGTGTGCCAGCTCCTTTGCAATATGTGGAACACCTATTTCCCCATTTGTAAGAACAAAATTGTCAACTTCTCTGCCAATATTTTTGACTCCTTCACTTGCAGAAGCCCATGGCAAAGACTTCATTCAGTCGTCTTTATCAAGATCCTTATCAAGTGTTAAGTGGTGAAAATGTAAAGGTGAATTATTAATGGCAGAGTCTGAAGACAAAAGAGCCATTGCACCGGCCAAGAGAGCGAACCGAGAGTCCGAGAGTCTGGATCAATGTTTGTGTCTACGGATCATCAATAAGCCTCGTTTAAGGGTTAGCGATAAAGTGCAAGCTCCAGCCAACACTACAGTCTGATTTATGTTTAAGGAATATACAATGAAACAGTGTAAGCCGTCATCAGTGGACCTGCTATGGATATTTATAGCACACGGTTTCATAAAGAGTTGCATTATGCATATCCAGTGAAGATTAATAGCTAGCAATTATTCTATTTATTTTTTTACACTTTATTGTATCTCATTTATTCATTTGTTCATCTTCAATTATTCTTAACAATTCTTTATTCTTAAGTTGCTCAGAACACAACATAATTTTGCTATAGTTTGACCCATATCAAACTTGAGTAAAACAACTGGAGGATATCTGATCTCTGAGGTTTTCCCCAGAAAACATTTACACAATTTCTGATTATTTTTGGTAAATCTGTTCTGTTGAAGTCTTCAGTTTAAATATTTTATTTCAGCATATGTATGTATTGGAGCCTGAAAATAGAGCATCTAACTTTTATAGTTGATTATTGAAAACAAAAATGCACAATTTTGATGTTGGAAATAGAATGCATGCTGTGGGAAACTGCGAATGCTAACAGCCTTTGAAATATCCCTGACCTTAAAAAAATCATTGAGGTCCTTCATTTGAAAAAGCAAAACCTTGAAAATATATTGAGTTGAATTTGCAACAAATTGGCAAAATATATCCAGAGTTAGTATCCATTTCTTCTACTATAAGTACATCAATATTGGAACAGATCGTACCAAACTATTTTACTTTTTAGTAAAATACAAATGCATCAAATGCATGTGTACAATTCAAAAGTTTTTCATTTATGTTTGTTCATCATTGTCAGAAATCCATCCTGTCCAACCATGTTGAAGAAGAACCAAGCACACATCCTCGAGTTACTTCTTTGTTGTTTGAAGTACTCAACAGTCTGACCTGTTGCTATGGGAAACCACCAACGATGTTGCTTTGTTGCTTGTGATTGAAAGCTGCTATTTTAGGTGATCTGAACAGCTCACACTTCCTGCATGAACACATTTCAACAACATTCACAATATTATTGTTGTGACATACTTCCAACCTGTTCATGCGTTCATGTAGCATCACAACACTCCAAAGAAAGTATAATTTAACATTTTGAAACAAAAAACTTGTTCTACATATTTTGTGTCCGATTTTCTATAATTACTTTATCATGAAAGGTTTCTAAAAGGGTGGTGTCTAAAAAGGAGGTGACAATGGCTCAGTGAGAACATTAGTTTTTGGGCCTGATGGTCGTGGTTTTGATTCTCCAACAAGACCTAATGAAGATTGGGTGGCAGCTTGGATTGTCACCCCCTGATCCAGAAATGGTTTAATGAAGGGGATGAAAATGAAAGAATGAATGGTGTTAAAAATGGCAAAAAATTTAACGTTTTACTTTTTCAATATTATTTTCTTGTTCAATATTTCTTAAAAAGTACTTCTTTCTCACCGAGATGTATAAGCGCCTGCTCTCCAATTGAAATAGAAGTATACAACATAAAATCAACCAATTTGATCACTAAATCCAGTGCAGGAGTAGAACTATATGAAATGGATTAAGTCAACAGTCTAACACACAAATATTCACATAAATGGACAGTGGAGACTCACCGGAGTTGGAACCAGACAAGTTGTATCTCGAATTGGCTTTTTTAATGATGTTGTCATGGATTTGGTGCCACTCACTCTCCGTGTTGCACCTGAGTCGAAACATGTGGAGAGAAGGGAAATCAATCAGTCAATATTATGGATGATACTTGCATTGAAAAGCATTATCTCACGCTTCATCTAAATGAATATTGATTCTCCTTTTTTTCGTCTAAAGTGGATCCACATTAAAAATTACTACTTTTTTTAAATACCTCAGAGTATCTACACAGTAAACAGTATGACAGTCTCAAAATAGACAACGCATTATTGTATCTTTGAAATAACCCATGTTGTCAAATTGCAAATATTCTGTTCAAGACTGACATATCCTAAAAAAAACTGTGGTGACAGTTTTTGGAGTTATTACATAAAACCAGCCGCAGCAAATACACGGACGTCAAAGGCCTTTTATCAATGCAGAGACGCCCTTCTGACGCCATGCTGAGCTTTGTGAGGGCCCCCTGCTGTCTGTCACACCCTTGTGTCTTTCGCGTCTTGCATCCCTTTCGCCTCTTGCATATCTATCGGTCTGTATGTGTGCATCTTCTACATCCTGCTGTCTGTCACACCCTTGTGCCTTCCGCGTCTTGCATCTGTATGACCTGCATTTAGACCATTGTCTGTCTGTTCGCACCTCGTTCCCAGACGGCGCCAAACGCTCCCCATGCGCCTCCTCACCGGTGGCCCCCTCCAATCTGTTGTGGGCGGGACTGTCTCTCGTGTGTGTCTTGTATACAGGAAACTTGGGGCTCTGCCCTCAGAGCTGGGACATGCTGCCTTTTGAGTGTATGTGTTGGCTCTCCGCACGTGCGTTAACAATAAACTTACGCTTTTGATCAGACAAAGGACCTTTGAGTTTTCTCCTTCATTGGGTAGAAACTTCCTTAACAATTTGGCGTTGCTGACATGTCTTGGCATGGATACTTTCGGCGGGGACGAGCGGCTTTGTTTGGCCGACCTGGATCACCAGCCTCTGTTCCTTTTTGGAGACAAAGGAGGGCGCGCTCGTCCCGCGCACGGAAGGAATCCTTTTGCCACACAAGACCAAAAAGAACCTAATCTGGTGAGTCTTGTCTTTTCATCTGCGTAACGAGCCCAGGGCAGCCCTTAAGTCGACACGGGGATTTGTTTATTTATGTATTTTTGGGGTATTTCATTCATTGCCACAGCATAGTCTGTGTGCGGGATTTTTTGGGGGGCTTTTTGTTCTAGATTGAAGCTAGCGGCTGCGCGTTAGTATCGTCCTGTAGGCGAACCTGATAATTTCTCTAAGTGTCTTCAGCCAGAACCGCTCCGTTTTCAAGAACGCGCGCTCGCTGGTTGAACCAGCGGGGGGGGGGAACGGAGCGCCCCAAAGTGGGTAGGAGCAGGGAAGAGACTAAGCGGGTTAGGCCCATTGTTCGTACGAGAAAATGGGTAAAATCAATCTACAGATGCAAGCTATGAAGTGTTTGCCTATGGTGCAGGTCATCTGCGTGATAATTTAGAAGAAGAAGGGAAGAAAAAATATACTTGGTTTTGAGAATATCACGGCAAAAGAGGTTAGAGAAAGAAATATGTAAAAACAATAGCTCCTCCGCTTTTCACCGAAGCGGAGAACACACAGGCGGACACACACACACACACACACACACACACCCCCACCCTACCGCCCTTTTTCCCCTACTAACAATAAGTGTGCACCCAAACAAGGCGTTGGGTTTTTAAAAAATGAGCAGACTACTGTTGTCTCTTTTCCCTCTCCCTTATCCAGGTCTGTCGGCGCCTTTCCTCCGCGCTCTGTCCTCTGCCTCAAAGCACCAGCCCCACGCCCCAACCACAGGCGGCGCTCGCACCAGCTGAGACCCCGCGAGAAGTGGGCCCAAACCGCAGAAGAAGAAGAGGCGGAAACAGACACACGCTCAGGAAACCACAGAAGAAGAAACGGGGGAAGCAAATATGTGAGACACCGACAACTGCTTTGGAGCACAGAGAGAAACTGCTCCAAATCCCGTGACTGTTCTCCACGGAGGGGGCAGCGTGATATACCAAACGCACCCGCGGAAACCCCCTTGAAAGTTGTTCCCGCACCGCAAACAGAAGAAGCCATTGTGACCGGCACGTTTGGGTTATTCACCAACCCTCATGGACCACATGCTAACGCTTTGGGCTACCTGGGCCTCCTGCGGACTTTGAAAAACTTCCAAAGCCAGGCGGAAAGACTGTGTGCTCGACATGGGTCGAAGGACTGTTACCGGAGGAGGCGTTAAAGGCAGAGGCTCACACGGGGCCAGAGGACGGCAGAGGCGGGCGTGGAGGAAACACGAGCGACTGACCAAACCCGGGTTCACATTCGTCACCAAAGCGACCGCTCATGTAAGTTGAACAACAACAAATTGCAATTGGCACTTTTTAGAGATAATTCATGCCCGTAATATACGCTAACAATCTGTGGTGTACAAGTTAAAATTCTGGATGACTCCGGGGCAACAAATTCTGTGCTAAAAGTGACAGCCTTTCTGTCTCCCCTAAAATGAGTGGCCGTTTCACATTCTCATTAGCAGCGGGGGGGGAGAGACGACCAAAGAGCAATTTACGTCACCGCTAACGTGTTTTGATTCTCAGGGCAACCAGCTTAAACATTCTTTTCTATATTCCCCATTGTGCCCGGTTAATCTACTAGGCCGAGACCTTATGTGCAGACTCAATTAAAAAATAGATAAATAAAAGGAGGCACCGGTCCCAAAAGTTAATTACCACTGGAAATTGACACCAAACCCTGAGATTGCTAAGTTATTAGCCACGACAGTGGATAGAGTTACGCCCGCACAAAATTTGGAGGCCAACCACGCGAACGACCTAAGCTGCTCTCTCCGGTCGTTCCCAGACAATAACTTAGAGTTTGAAAATTCATGGCTTCAGTGTAGTGAAGATAGGCTACAAACGGAGTATGTTTATTGGGATAGGCACCACGCTATGGTATTTGTGCTACTTAATGAGCAACAAAAACATTTTTATTGTGAAACAAAGGTGAAGTATTAAAGTTTGAGACTAATTTACATTTTTAATGAACCCGACCTGGCTTTATTGAAAAAGAAAAAATAAGGAAAATAAACATTTTTTAGGTGACAAGAGCTCATTAGAGATATAGGGGACACAATCTGTGATAAGCCCGAAATACAGACCACGTGGTAAACACTAAAGTTGGAAATGGATTTTTTTTTTTTTTTTTTTTAGGAAAAATCTCTTAAAAAGCTTTGCATGTTCTGCAGGCTCTGAAAGTTGCAACAATAGGAAGAGCTCATGAGACAATTGTAATTGGACATGGAAAATATAACAAAGTTAAAATTACAGGCCTTCTGTGTGTGTTACATGTTTGTGTGTTATATGTTTTGTGTATGTTATATGTTTGTGCGTCATGTCAAAGTACACTACGCTGACCTTAACAAACTCTGGACCAATACTAACGTGGGGAATCGGCCTGTGATGTGACTGTGATGTGACTGTGATGTGAGTGTGGAGTGAAATGAGGAATGCTGAACGGAATCATGGAATAACAAATGTGTCTGTAATGTTTTAATGTGATCATGGAATAATTCTTTTTTGTCAACAGCATACGGTGTAAGTACTAGAGATTCAAAGATAACGACCTTTATTGAACAGGTGTAAAAGTGAGAGTACTCTGGGATGAGTACTCTGAGAAAAGTACTCTGCGGAAAGTACTCGGAGATGAAATACCTCGCTGAAGATATTGGGAGTTCCTCCCTCTGCTGTTTGCCCTGACAGTGATTCGGTCCAACCGCAGTGAGCGGTCATTGGGCGGAGGACAACTTTGGTTTGTAAACTCACATTTAGGGGAGTATAAAATTAGAAACATACATTTTGTTGTTCTGTATTTGGCTACAGCCTCCGCCCTGATGCCACACACCACCTGTCAATGCAGTTATGTTTTGCCCAATTGGAAAAAAGATTGACAAGCGAAAGTGGGCATTTTTTTTGTGTGTTTTGTGTTCTGATATTTCTTTTTCAGATGAGAGATAAACTACCCCTGCTCCAGGGATGACAGTAGTATGGATCAGGAGGAAATGAGCCTCCACTTTGGCACAAAAGCCCACAATATGAATTGAGGACGATCCGGGAGAAAAGCAACTGGAGATGAAACGGAACAGCAAATCTACACACACACACTAGGTCTCCCTGACCCAACGGCCATTCACTCAGACCGTGGATGAGCGATGTGGGTGCATGGTGTCGGTACTTTTGCAGCCTCACGGAGGGCCACTGAGACCCACTGCTTACTTCTCAGCAAAACTCGGTCCCGTGGCAGCAGGGTTGCCTCGCTGCCTGCGGGCTGTGGCTGCCGCTGAGAAAGCGGCCCTAGCATCACGTGACCTTGTGGGATACACTGAACTAACTTTGCTTGTGCCCCATGCTGTTTCCCTGATCCTGCTAGAGCAGAAAACCTCTCACCTTTCTGCGGCTCGTTGGCTGAAATACAACACGGTGCTCCTTGAACTCCCCAATGTCACGGTGAAGAGATGCACACAGCTGAACCCCTCCTCACTGCTGCCCACGCCAGAGGAAGGGGAGGCACACTGCTGTATCGCCACAATAGAACAGAGATGCACTCCCAGGCCAGACCTGAAAGAGGTGCCTCTGACTAATCCTGACTTGATTTTTTTTATACAGACGGAGCCGTGTCACGTGACAACACTGGGAAGAACCGAGTCGGCTATGCTGTGTGTTCTGATTTTGATACTATAGACTCTGGTAGTTTGCCCCACTACCACTCAGCACAAACCGCTGAGCTGGTCGCGCCCACCGGGGCTTGTGAGCTGGCAGCGGGCAAAACTGTTAACATATTCTGTGATACGCGCTATGGTTTCTCTGTGGTGCACGACTGGGAAGCACTGTGGAAACACCGCAATTTTATGAAATCTGATGGTAAACCAATTCTTAATTCCACACAGGTTGAACGTCTGCTGAAAGCTGTAATGTTGCCCTTAGAGATCGCTGTATGCAAATGCCAGGCCCACACTAATGCCACTGATCCCATCTCTGCAGGGAATCGGCGCGCGGACAAGGCAGCGGCATACGCACCTCTACACACACACACACACACTACCTCACTCAAGACGTTGATATTTTCTACTCCAGCAGAGACGCTGCTGTGGGAGGGGAATGGGGCTCAACGACGGCATGGTGTGTGTGGCTGGGACCAGACAGCAAACCGTGCCTACCACGGCATTTCTTCAGACAGTTTGCAATTTTAGCACATGGTCGAGACCATGCCTCAAAAGGAGGGATGATGTGTGATTTAATCACACAAAATTGGTATACAAAGGGGTTTACGGCATTTGCACAGAGATTCAGCCAAACATGCGCTATATGCCCCGCGCACAACCCAGGTAAGTCCCAAAAGTATCCAACAGGCTGCTCATCCTCCGCCCCTGCGCCCATTTCAACATGTCCAAAGGGACTTTGTTGAACTCACACCATGCCAAGGTAAGTAATACTGTCTGGGTCTTGGCGGATCTCTGGTCCAAATGGACTGAAGTATTTGCAGGCATACACGCCACGAGCAACGCGGTGGTGAAAGCTCTGCTCACAGAAATCGTGCCACGATGGGGTGTCCCGAGGGAAAATCTCTAGGGACAATGGCAGTCACTTTGTAGAAAAAGTCATTGAGGAAGTGGGTGAATTTCTGGGCATTGATATACGTAAACACTGCAGTTACGCCCCCTGGTCCGGAGGCACGTGCGAGCGAGAGAATGGCACTCAAAGCTCTGCCGCTAGCCCCACGTTGGGCGCGGGACCCCCGAACAGAGATCTGCCAAGCACCTCTTTGTGTGATGACGACATGCTGTCCTATTGTAAGGAAATTAATGCACTTTTGTCCTCTATTTCTGCCCAGGTCAGGAGCGCCCTGCCACAGGCTGCGCAGGCGACTGGGTCCTGATGAAGGAAACGAGACGAAAGCATTGGCGGTCCAAGCGCTGGCTCGGCCCATTCCTCGCCCTCCTGGTGACGGACACTGCCGTTAAGGTCGCGGAGAGGACAACTTGGATCCACGCCAACCACTGTCGTGCGGTGCTGCCACTGAGGGCCATAGACGAGGACACCGAGGGCGCGGACGGACCAGGCCCATCCGCGGCTCCCTACGCTGAAGAAGTCGGCCGGCGTGCGGCCACCGTCGGTGAAGCAGGCCAACAACAACACCCAGAGAATCCCAGCGTTCCCGAGGCGACCCCCCTTCTGCCCAACTCCCCAGCCCCCGGATCCCAAGGCTTGGGAGCCATGAAGGCCCTGAGCGCTCTGCTCAGCTGCAGCAAGTATGCAGAGCTGCTGCCCATTCCAAAGATTTCTCCAGAGCTTGCTCCCTCTGGCCATAATGCAGATTTGAGCTCTGCTGGAGTGCCCCCTGGTGTCTCGTCTCCCGTGTGTCCGGAGGAGGTGGAGATGAGGGCTGCTCTACAGTTCCTGATGAGGCACATGGTGAAGCGTGCTGTCATGAGGTCTCCCATCAAATGAGCTTTGGGCCTGGCCGATCTGGAGCGTGCTCAAGCCATGGTCTCCACACCCCAAACCCCGAGCACTCTGCCCAACCGAGTGCTGAGGCCAAGGCTTCAACGTAATTAGAGTCTTACCGCTCCAAGACCAAACATCGCCATGGCCACTAACGCTCCACACACGCTCATAGGGAGCGGTGCCACTGACTGCGAGACGGCACTGCTCGTGAGTATTCCCGCGGAAAAGACTACCGAACGTAGCCCGGCTAAGACCGGCATGGGCCCTTGGACTGTTATGCTGGCCACACTGACACTACTTTCCGTGCTGACCGTGTTTATTATGTTAATATTGCCTTCTCTTATCGCTGTCCGGATCCATTGTGTTATTATAATGTGCTCTTTCTTTTATTGACAAGCATGTTTCTTTTCTTGTCCACTTTGGACAGCAATAATTTAAGTGTTTCAAGCTTGAAGGTGGTGTGATTACGATGCCTCTGGTATTTGACTGATTAATGCAAAAATGGTTTTGAATTATCAAAAGAGGGGAGTGTGGTGACAGTTTTTGGAGTAATTACATAAAACCAGCCGCAGCAAATACACGGACGTCAAAGGCCTTTTATCAATGCAGAGACGCCCTTCTGACGCCATGCTGAGCTTTGTGAGGGCCCCCTGCTGTCTGTCACACCCTTGTGTCTTTCGCGTCTTGCATCCCTTTCGCCTCTTGCATATCTATCGGTCTGTATGTGTGCATCTTCTACATCCTGCTGTCTGTCACACCCTTGTGCCTTCCGCGTCTTGCATCTGTATGACCTGCATTTAGACCATTGTCTGTCTGTTCGCACCTCGTTCCCAGACGGCGCCAAACGCTCCCCATGCGCCTCCTCACCGGTGGCCCCCTCCAATCTGTTGTGGGCGGGACTGTCTCTCGTGTGTGTCTTGTATACAGGAAACTTGGGGCTCTGCCCTCAGAGCTGGGACATGCTGCCTTTTGAGTGTATGTGTTGGCTCTCCGCACGTGCGTTAACAATAAACTTACGCTTTTGATCAGACAAAGGACCTTTGAGTTTTCTCCTTCATGGGGTGTATAATTCTACAACAAACTCAAATAAAATTAACTTGAATCAATATGATAAAAAACCTAAAAATTCCACAATTTAAATTGGCATTGTGATACATCTGGTACAGGCATATTTTTAATGCAACTGCACATTGCCCTTAAAATAAATAAAAAATCAATACTAAACCTTTTTCTTTATCAGTTGCAGTGTTCGCAATCAGTTTGTCTTTCTTCCCCAAAATGCTAGAATACTCATACTTATTACAATGTATGGAGCACTATTACACACAAAAATAATAATACGAAATTTGCAATTGAGTTATTCATTATTATTTAAATATTTAGCTCAATAGAAAAAAAAAGTCCTGTTGCATTTTATATTTAATACAAACATTATTTTTATTTTCCTTTGTTATAGGAACAATCATCTATGAAAAACAAAACATTGTGTCTGCTGATAAACAACCCGTCTACTTGTGCAAACTCAGATCAGGTTATCTCCAGCCTGTTTCTTAACGCGTCCAGAATCTGAACAGTATAATCCGTCTGATCTGTCTGAATGTGTGAGGGGAAGTGGTGTTAGCTCGTGTGGGACAAAGGGCACTGGGTGTTCCGATCCAGCTGTAATGTAGGTCGCTTCACTGTGGCAGCGCTAGTTTGTCTGGGCCCTAGGGCATTGCAATCTGACTGAGTGTGGACTGAAACAGAGGCTATGTGCTGCAAAGTGGAAAGTTACATGACACTCTACTTTAATGTTGTTTGCACTGCTTTCATAGTGTCCCATAATGCACTGCTTTCATAGTGTCCCATAAGCACGAAACAATTATCTGTATTAAAAAGCATATCATATACACACTGTCATTTGTCAGGGGGAAAAAAAAGTATGCTGGAGTAATGAGATTGATGAAAAATGCTCTGATTGGACATAAATATAGATTACATAAAAAAAGACTAACAATTGTTACACAGTTACAAATACTCAGACTATGTAAAAAATTTACTGTTCTATTATAAGGGGGATTTCTCTATTAAAACTAGAACAGTTCCTGTAATGCAGTTTAATTCCATAAATCTGGGGTACCTTCTTTTTTTAACTTGTAATCAACAGATTTTGTGTGTCATTTTTTGGAAAAATTTAATTTAATTCAGACACATAAAAAGGTCCAAATGAAACAACAAAAGAATTGTTTATGTCTTTCTTGTCAAATTGTTTAAAATGTTCTCACAAAAGGTGTCTAAACTCAAAGACCCCACCGCTCAGTCAAGATATTGAAGACAAGTAGCATCCACAAAGTATACTAAACCAGGGGTCTACAACCTTAGATATTAAAATATCAATTTTGTGTCCTTGTCTGCCAAAGGGTAATGATCTTGAGTCGGAACACAAACCAAACTTATATCTAAAAACGCATTAAAACTTATATTCATTTATATAAAAATTCTTTGTAAAATTCGGCAAAAAGCTGAAATAGCTGCATTGCACGTTGGCCAACCCGCGGCTCGTGAGCGCCTCAGTGGTGGCGCTGCCATTCCTTCGAATCGACTCAACTCTCCCTGTTTGCAGGCGTTTCTACCCGGTACTTTTTTTAGTAATGGTGTGGCCCTGGTTCTTGCCGAACCGAGTAGATGACAATCTGACGTCGGCGAACGTCAATTCTGATTGGGCAAAGGCGCTGTCAATCACTCTTCAACTGCTGCATCAGCTGTTGCTAAAATCATAACAAACAAACCGTTCAGAACACTTCCGAATGGAAAAAACTGCCTTGGTCGCTGGATGCAGTCAACACCTTCCTCAGTTTGAGGAGAGGACACCAGCGTGAGCTCGATAGTGCCACCAGAAACCAGAAGATGTTTGTTGAGGTAGCACGAAGGATGGAGATTGAATATCCACAGACATCATCACAGCGAGGGGAAAAGTTAAGAAGCTTAAAAGTGACTACCGTGAAGAAATAGATCACAACAGGAAAAGTGGACAGAACCGAAAAGTCTGGACGTAGTTTGATCGGTTAACACGTTAACACCAGCTAACATGCTAACACCAGCTACACAAGCCCCGGCGATCCAAGATGGCGGCGTATTCACATGAATGGTTTGTGGTCAGTGGTGCTTTATGCCGGCATGGTCGCTGACATATTAGAATTGTCATTCTGATTCCATCATTAGGGTGACGTTTTTGTGTGCCCATTTGTATGATGTGGCACAGTAAAAAAAAAAAGGCTCTTTGACTGGTTGGCCACCCCTGTTCTATAGACTGTATTTTACACACTTATAGTCGCTACACACTCATAGTCCATAGCAATACAAACAAAAAACAAAAACACAAAGCAGACCTGTCACAAAACACATTAGGCAACAATCAGGAAATTGAGTGAACTATTAGTAAGGACGTATGTGGGTGTTACAAGATGTGACAGGCCAAAAATGCATGTGAAAACTTGTGAAAGAATCAGGAAAAGGAAAATGGTTTGCTGGTTTGGACACTTACGCATAGACCTTGAGCAGATGGTCATCTTTGGAGTCAGCCGTGAGAAGATCAGCGATGCTCACCACCGCACATCCAAATGGCCGTCTGTACTGCACACTGCAAAGGTTCTTCTTCTCCCCTGCTCCCATTCTCCCTGTGAGCACCACACGTCAATGCAAACATATGAATAATAATATCATGTTGTGCGCAAAGTTAAAGCATTTGGAAAAGTACCTATTCTGATGATGTGAACGACTATGTAGACGTCTTTTCGGAGATCGCTGCTTCCCAAATCCTGAGAAAATAGTGTGAGAGTTAGAGTTAATACTGGAAATAAATGTATTCATGTAAAAAAAATAGTACATAAGGGTTGGTCCAAAAAGATGTCTTATTCTAGAAAACCTTTTTAATGTGAATACCTGCAAGAAAGAGCATTATGAGTGACTGATTGATGCTTTGGCTTAAGAGCTGGTTGGCTGAGTGACACTAGACCTCTCTTTCTCACTTTTCTGTCTGGAATGGTTCATCAACTGTATGCGACAGAGGCCAAAAAGGTATGTGAAAAACATGTTGGGAGTATTGGTTTTTGGGTTAATCATGTTTAAAGCATCACTGTGTAACATTTTGAAAGTGTCATGTCAATTGAAACAGTCAATGGAATTTTTTCCTTTAACTTTTTTATACATAGTGTTAATCATAATAATCATTTTATTGGAACATTTGGACAAGGACAAATACAGGTCAAGTTTGTGGAGAATGTTACTTTACAATTCTACATGTATACTAAATGAACAAAAACAAATATTTACCCTGTGACAATGTAAGCACTGGAAATGTCTAGGCTTACTTCCTTTTATTTAGTTGTTGTCCAGGTCGAGACCATTTACAGGTGAAACTCGGAAATTTAAGATATTGTTCTCAAGACAATTTATTTTTGTGATTGAATTTACAATATGAAACGTATATATACCTGATTGACTCATTATCTGTATATATGATAATGTTTTAGGTGGACTGTAAGCCATGAGCCTTACAAACACTATATAACAGTGCTACAAAAGATTACTCAGCGTGGTGATGAGTTTTATCAAGTTGCTGATGTTATGTGTGTTTGTTTTGGACCCTCCTCGTGACAGTTTTGCCTTAACACACGACGTACAGTCCACTTTACTCTTGTCACTCTCGTTTGATTTAAACAACTGCCATAGGGGCAACATTTTGTCTACTTGCCGCTAGCTTGTTTACCGGTAGCCTGCTTGCCGGTAGCCTAGCTTTCTTTCTCGCTGCCGACTTTGGGAGATCACCATGGCAACACATGCGCATAGCTGTTTGCTGTTGTGACGCAAACTGTGAAATAAAATGTGGGTATCGGTTGCCGGAATCATGTCTATGGTATGAGCATACCATAGATAGCTTATGGTATCGACCAGATACCCGATATATCCCAGTATCGGTATCGGTGCATCCTTAAAATTAATCATTGGCCAGCATTAAAATATAACAAATAAAGGCTTGGAATATGTCACTTAAATTGGAATGAGTCTAAGTTTCCCCAGTATGCTTTGTTTTTTTGTTTACTCCGTTCCCATTTTAACTTTAACAAGCCCTTGACCTTGTTTAGAGCAGACCAGCTTTGATTGATCATTGCTTTGTCCTTTTTGAAACTTTGAAGGCCAAACACTTTTTGGAAGCTCAAATGGTTTATACTAAGCAATCTACATAGTGTTAAATCACTAAGCTGCTCTATGTTTTAAATGGTCTACTCACCACAAATAGCGTGCATTGTCTTTCCGTCTTCTCCGGCGACTTCGGCAGCCCGCTCTTATTCAGCCGGACAAAGAAGCGTTCACTGGGGAGAGAGTAGGGACACACATGGAGATAAAGGAGGTCAGAAGTGATGGTCGCCTTCATTGTACACCAAACATATATAGGCAAACCGCTGCCAACAGGAGCGGAAACAAGATTAGAGAAGCGTCAAACGTGTCAAGCTCTCTGCTGTAGACACTGGAGAAATGGCTTCAAAGTTTAAACTATAAAGCCAAAACTGTCGGAATCTTTTCAAACAGAATAGAGCGCAGTTATAAACAGACTGAGACAACAGAGGCACTGCAGTGGGAGTGGAGCGGATGTACAAAGTTTGATTTACTGAAGCAAATCTCTCACTGAGACAGTCTGTAACAAGTCTACACGGAAATGTGGCTGGATGAAATATTCATAGTGTTGTTGCCTATTGTCTCGCTGACATCTTTAGCAGTCAGCAAAAAGGCAAGAAAGGTTTATATGTATTGCACAATTCCAACCAAGGGCAACTCAAAGTGCTTAATAAAACAAGAAAAGACACATAGAAACCACACAAGACATAAAAACATAAACATTAAAATTGCATAACAAATAATCACATTCACGCGATAGCATTGGAAAGTAAAGAGCAGAGATGAAGCGTGGTCCCATAAACTAAGCCAAAGAGGCTCTCACGTGCTGCACATCAGCTCTGAATGATTGGTTGTTGGCAGTCGGTCCATAAAAATATTGTCTGTGGTCCATGGCACTATGAATGAATATGAAAACTAAGACACCATCAGCCGATGAATCAATAAAATGACTGAAGCCACACAAGCAAATCATCTTCATTACACACAATTATAATATTTTGTCACACCATGACTCCAAATGCTGAGTTAGAAAAGAACTTCAAAGACATATTAGAACACTGTGAACATTTTTGGTAACAATTTACTTGGGTCAGACGTTAATTAACATGAACCACATTTTAGTCAAATTGATTCTTCTCATTGAGAGCGAATGGTAGTTCAACTTGTTCTTTGTGTGAAATGAGACAGGCTCGATGCACCGCTGGAGCTAAATGACATGCGTTTTTAAAATAGGATGGATAGCTTGTTCTTTGTACTTTTCTGCAGCTCTCCATCACTGGCTCGGCACTGGAGGCTTCCTGCTGGGTCAGTCTGGTCCTGGCCCAAGAGCTGAAGGCTAATCCAGTTAGGTGACTTTCACACTCCCACGATAAGCAGACTGAAAACCTTGTAATGCACCCGTCTCTGACAATAGACCAAGTTTCTGGCGCGGCAAGTGGCCAAAGATATAGCCATTCTCACAGGACCAAAACTACTATTATGTAAATGGATGAACATGCCAGAGAGTGGTGTTTCCCAAACGGGGGAATGTGGACCCATGGTTAGTAAGGGCATTACAGGGAGTACATGAAATTTCAAGTTTTTTTTAAACTTGTGTAGTAAGATGCCAATATGGATTACTATGTTGTGTCAGTGCCATTTCTCTCAAAATAATAACCATACCAATTTAACTCAGAACACAACTAATAATAATAATTGTTTTGATAGGGTACAATAATAGGTTTTGGTTCAGTTTTGGTTCTGACCAAGCATGAACTCATTTTGTTCAGAAAAATCCAAAACTGAAGACACAAAAAATAGCAATATGTAAGATTGTCCTCATTAAATGGCCCTAATCTGTCAAAAGGCAATCTCACTGGTAAAGTAGCAGTACTAACAAAGGTCTTGCTATGAGTCTCAAATCATTAATGACAAAACAAGGAAAAAAACAAGGATTTCTATCGGGGCCTTTGTGAAAAAGGTGTTGGTTATAGATTGGTTTCAATTCAGTAAATATGATTCCAGCTGGATTCGTCTGCATATCTGGCAACCTGATGGCACGTTCACACCGCCGACGCCGGAACGCTGACGCCTCGCGCACCAGAGGAACATTCTCTAATTTTCAGACACAGGGGTCTTCAGACCAGAAGTCCTGACCTGAGGTGGCGCCCGCCGGAAGTGGTGGAAGTAGCGGACATTGCTGCTAACGGAGTTAAGCTAGCGGCTTTTTGTGTAAAGTTCTTCTCCAATAAGGCAGCTCTGCAGCGTCTCTGTGTCCAGAGACCTTCCAGAGACTTTATATAACAACAGTATGTGTTCATGGAGGTGCGCCATAAGTTAATTTTATTATCAAACGGTACTTCCGCATCGGCAAACATGCTCAAAGCAGTTGCATAAAGTCACGTGAGCATTAAAACACATTATGTTCACAAGCACTGTGTCCTCCATTGTCAACCCCTGTTTTAGTCCTGGTGTAGCTCCTGTTTTGGCTGTTGAGTATGAGCTGTTGTTTGGCTGTTGAGTTCACACTGCTCGCTCAGACCGCTAACAATTAAAAAACAACAAATCAATGCCATTTACAATCAGACTTCCATTTACTCATTTCCAAAATGGCAAACTTGCAATACACACAGCACCAACAAATAACACATGTAACAGTCTGCACGCTATTACGTATTGAACTATTTATTATGGAAATCACTGTGTTTGTCAATGAAGTAAACACAAGACTGTGTGTATATCGGCCAGTGGGTGTCCATGTCTGAGTTAATTAAGCCCCCACTCAGTTAATTGTACAAATGCTCATGGGTTTTAATAGATGTATTCCTTCTGTAATCTCCTTTTTATCTAGTGCATCAGAAACAAACCATTGGAGAGATGGTGGACTTTAGATACGACTCTGCTCATTAGCTGCTCCCAGTTACTTTCCACTTCACTGAGTGTGTTTGAACATATGGAGCCTCCAGATTCTGGTGCATCAGGCTGTTAATTGCAAATCTATTGCCGAGAGCCCACTGCCTGTTAACGTGAATATTATCATTGTATCAATGTTTTCTTCATGTGTTATTTCCATTATGATAGTAACTGGTTATTAAACTAATAACTTTTTTTGTAAACTTTACATTTCTTAATAAAAATTGTATATTCCAGTCTCTTTACATGCATCTGTTACAGAGATTATTTGCTTTTATTTCAAATAACTTTTTTGCATTACAAGGCAAATAAGCAAAAAGCAAACGTAATGGGTGAGTAGACAAAATTGTGCAGGGAGAAGGCAGTTCAGTCTCCAATACTTCAAAAGAGCAGCAGTGTTGTCTGTTAGCACTATAGAGCAGTGTTTTTCAACCACTGTGCCGCGGCACACTAGTGTGCCGTATGATATTGTCTGGTGTGCCGTGAGAAATTCGTCTACTTTGTCTAAAAATAACTGCATTCGCTGTTGACGAGCGGTGACTTGTTTTGAACTGTGGAGTAACCATGTAATACTTTTTCAAATCAGTAGATGGCAGCAGATAGCTAAGTACTGTGAAACTGAAAAATTGGATGCGACCACTGGCTGTATCAGGTCAGCATTGTGGCGAGAAAGGTAAAATTGGATGCGACCAACAAATGTGGGAGGGAGCGAGACAAGAGCTTTGTGGCGAGTGAGAAGTGAAAGTGATAGAGACGTTTTTGAAAATGAATTATGCCGTTTCTGAACAGGATTAACATCCTCCGCTCTGCCCCGGGGCAGCTGTGGCCGCGTTGTAGTGGTTTAACTATGAAATGTACAATTTTTGTACAACAGCTCTCGCGAACGCACTTCTGAACTGGGTACCGAGCGCAGACCGTAGTCGAGTGGACAGAACCACAGACATGCGGACCGGACAGAACCATGGACTCGCGTTCAGGACCTCCCGTGTCCCTCATCCAAAACCTCTGAATTTAAAGCTCAGATACCAAAATGTTTCCCATGCACTAACAATGCATGTTCTTTGTGTGAGTTATTATTTGACTATTTGGGTAGAGAGTGGATTTTCTTAGTTTTATTCCACACAGTTAGTGCCACTTTATTCCCAAACTCTTGTTAATTGTATCGAGAAATATTAAATAAAGCTTAATATCAAGGCCTGGACTTAAGCATTTTGATGAGAATAACTGTATATTGTGAATATAGGCTACAGAGTATACTGTATACATTATAAGATAAGATAAACTTTATATATCACACAGAGTATGTACAGTATATATTTTTTTACATTAGTACTGTATACATTTTTACATTTTCTCCTGGAGGTGTGCCGCAAGATTTTTTCAGTGAAAAAAGTGTGCCTTGGCTCAAAAAAGGTTGAAAAACACTGCTATAGAGGCTTGAGTCGAAGCCTCTGTGAAAAAAAAAAAAAAACACTCAGTCTGTATGGAGCTGCCAGAGTGAACAGGGGCGTCTGGTGCTGGCACAGGCTGAGACAGAGAGGTCGAAGCCCCCCATCTGGTCCCTGACAATGCAAACCAGCTCTGCAGAGGAACCAGCTCTGCCAGGCCAACGCAGGCATCCATGTGTGCCACTGTTTACATGTGTGAGCAAACATTTGGATCAGTGCCCGGGGGGAGGGATGGGGTTTCACATGATAGCTTTCACATGTTAGATTAAGAGACAAAAATGGGAGATAGTGAAGCGGGCTGATGCAACATGTAATAGTCCATCATGTATCAGCTGATATTACAGTAATCTTAAAATGGGCTTTCTATTGTGTTGGATGTAAATGCAAAAGAAAATGTCATATTGTGTTTACAGCAGTAATATTGTAAATGTTGTGCATTGGTCCAAAATTTTAAATCTTGCTGATAACAGGTATGCACTTTCCCCACTGTGGGACAAAAGGATCTCTTCATCTTAATCAACGCTGTATGTACAGTAGCTGCTCTGACCAGTGTAATTCCCAGTCTCTATTTCAGTTGGAGAGTAGGTGCCAACTCAATGGGAGAGAAGCATTTTTTGAAAGTAATATTGAAATATAATGTCCAAATATTGTTTTCCATATCAAGACAAGAACTATATAAAATGGAAACAAACCAAGAATGACAAAGATAGTAGTTCTGAATTAAGACTAGAATTCTAATTTTTGACCCTTCCCGTAATTACCAGGAAGGATGTTTCAGTTGCCCTCCACCACAATGTTAAACTAAAAGTTCTTTGGAATTTTGAGATGCCACATGAACGCAACCCATTGAAGAGGAGTTAAAGGCTAAAACAATGGCTGCATGTTTGCACAATAATATAAATATACAATTGTATAAATGACGTGCAAGTGAGTATGATACTGCAGGAGAGTGAAGTGAAAAAGCATGAGTCATTCAGACTATCACCAGATGACTATTCACCAGGTACTTATATATAATAATATATACAAATATGTTTCATAACCATTTGCTGTCACAGAAGTAAAACAATAGTTTCACATTTTGATTTTAATTACAAAAACAAATGAAATTTGAACATTCTTGGGAGTTTCAAATGTATTTTAAAGGGAAAACGTCCATGTTAAGCTTAAAAAACAGGATGGATACTATGTTCTGAAATCTGCGCACATGAAAAGGTGTTGCTATCATGAAAACAGTTTGATGGTCTTCATTCACTTGACATAATGGCTAAATCAGACAAAATGTGTGCAATGAGGACAACCCTTCAGCCTCCGCTACTGGATTAAAATATTTTAGATTAATATTTTACTAGAATAGATGAATGAATGGTTGGTCATATACTGTAGATGTTAAATCTGCAGAATTATTCATTCAACAGCCGTGCTTGTAACTCTGTGAATAAGTGATATATTTAACGGTACTGTAAATACAAAAGAGTTGCTCGTTCACTCCTGTCCATGTCCACTTCAGTATTTACTTGTACTCCAGGCCAACAATGTGGTGTGGAAAAGAAGGGGCCACAGAGGGACAGGTGCCACAGAGGGACAGGTGACGAGTGAAGCTTCACCCACATGGTCTAGTATGACTATGGTGCGTCACTGAGTGAATGGTGGTGGTTGGGGATCCGGTGGTGCCACTTGTTTTATCAGCCCCGCTTTCCTGAATCTGTCCCTGGGCAGCTGGGACTACAGTATTAGCCGTGATATACAAATGATAGACATTGTACTGACTTTAGAAATCTCTGTATTTCTTATAAAAAGGTTTCCTTCATTGATTTTTTTATTATTTTTATTTAATTTAAGTAAGTAAGTAAGTCATCTTTATTCATATACCGCCTTTCACAGACCAGAGTCACAAAGCGGTTTACAATTGTTATTTTTGGGCATTTGTATCTCACTCCACACAGAGATGGGACCGGGGTCGCCAGAACAGGAGGTGCATGCCAGACCTATTGTACAGGTTTTTTGTGGTAGGGAAACCGGAGTACCCGGAGGAAACCGGAGTACCCGGAGGAAACCGGAGTACCCGGAGGAAACCGGAGTACCTGGAGGAAACCTACGCATTTCAGTTTTTATAAACTGAAGATTTACTATACTGTATATACTGTATGGGAAGCAACCAGGCTAAATAACAAAGCAAGCAATGATTAGTATAAAACCAGTTATCACAGCCTTGAGTTGAGTCTGTTTATCTGTACCTGAGAGGCTTGTTTTCTCTCCCGTCGTAGATGTGGAAAAATACTTCCAGCTCCTCTCCCAGATTTGCGCTCATCAGGCTCTTGACGTGGACAAACAAGTGATGGGTGCTGGCCGGAACTGCTGTGTCCTTCTTCCGATGCCGGTGCTCCATCTGCAATGAATTCAAAAGCGGAAGTTGATTATGAACTATAGTATTTTGGAGTTTAACTGAGCCAGTCCTCATTGGATGAAAGTATGAGGACTGTATAAAATATACATAACATAGTCTGATTATTGTTTAAGATGGGAAACCTAACTTTTCCTGATCATAAGTATGACATTTTGTTTGTACTAACAGAAAACATTGTAAAAAAGTAAGACAAATCTGAACAAATCAAACCACAGGCTGTTTTATCAGAAAAACATGGTATATTTTGCATTCTTGTAAGAAAGTAAGTCACTATTGTAAGCTGTGGGCAAAGAGCTGAGTTGGATCCTCTCTTTCTCACTGAGAAATCTGATCTAAAGATGTGAAACGGTCCAAAAATACATACAAATTGTGAAAACTTTTATACTTTTCATTGCTCTCCGAACAGTTTGGTTTGAGAGCGAGGAATAATAGCCAGAACTATAGTTAGATTTTATGAGTTATTTAGTTCCATGTATTGTGGTTTGAAAATGTGGCACCCCAGCTTTAATGCAATTAAGTAATTCAGTAAAATGTCCGCACATCAACAGATCAAATACACTCTGAAATTTGAAGAGATCCCTTTTGAATTGATTTGAGAAACATTGTCTTTGTCTACAGAGAAACAATAGTTTGACTAGTTGACTGTTAAACCAAGATTTGCCCCACTTTAAACTGTATACTGTAACCATAAATGCACAGTACTGGATGTTCTGGGTAGATTTGAGTAGATTACAATCCATAAACCCTAATCCTAAAATAATTCCTCTGAGCTCATTCACTTAAGTTTAAATAACAGGGCCAATCACATGTCAGCACCATTTAGTGGACCATTTCAGCACAGATTTTGAAATGATTTGATCTGTTTATAGGTATAAGTACAGTATATAGAAGTGCGTCGTCCAAATCTGCTGTCAACGTCCAAAGGCAAAAACACAACAGAGCACAGAAACACACACTCACGCACACACGTACACAAAACAGCAGATGGCCAAGGCTCCAATGTGCCAAATGATGTGCCACATTTACGTGTGCGCCTTCAGAGGAGAGGGCAAGAGGAAGATGAGAAGAAGCTAAAAAAAGAATCGAGGAATGACATAAAAACATCGGCTCGGTCTGAGGTCTGGGGCTCGCATTGATTGGTGTAGCCGTATTTTCATAGCTTTGCGTATTTTTCCCTTTTTTCATATTTTTTTTCATATTATGAATAAGGTTTCCTTATTTGAAACCTTTTCCAAACAAATAGTTGACAGGCCAATAATGTTTCCAATATAATATAGGCTGAGTGCTTACAGATACAAACAAAATACAAATAATAATGACAATAATTTGTTTATACATTTTAATGTGTTTGAAGGGACTATGTTTCAGATATTTAAGTACACAATGGATAGTCCATTTATTGTTCAATCAAAACGTTGCCGTTTCTTGGTTTTCCTTTAGATGCTGTTTTAAAATCTGATGCAACAAAGTTCTACGTTGTTGCATCACAATTAAGTATGGGTTTTAAACCCAAATGACTCAATGATCAAACCCATTGTATTTTTGTTTTTTTTGGGATGACTTGTGGCCAGAATAAAAAAACAAACAAAGTTGAAAGTTATTAATTTCATCCATCCATCCATTTTCTACCCTTTAATCCATTTCTGGGTCAGGGGGGTGGCAGTCAGGGGGGTGGTTAATTTCAGTAACAAAGAATTAGTTTTCATTTCTATCGCGCACAAAGCACATTAAAGTGGTAGTATATAGCTTTCAACCTACAAAAAATGTAACTAAAATCCCCCTGGCAAGTTCTGTCACTAGTTTTTGAATGTTTCTTTGCCATCTGACCAACTTTTAGACCTGCTTTTTTAGACAGAAAAGGCAAAAACAGAGGACTACTCTTTCAAGCCAATCAGCTCTCAGCCCAAAGTGTCCAATAGTGACTCTTTATAACAAGATCAAACGTTCTAAGGCAAAGTAGACGGATATTGTGGTCTGCTTTGTTCACAAAATTGCAATTTATAAATGGTGAATGAGTGTGTGTTTGTGAGTGCGAATGTGGGACAACGGATGGAAATTAACCCATGGCTACAATCCGGAGTGATGTGCTCATTAACATGTACTGTCCCAACCAAGTAAACAATAAAATGATAAAGACTGCTTTTTTTTTTCTTAGGTACCCCAGCATTAAAGAGAGAAACTTTTCCACTTGAACATTTTGTAACTAGAGCCAAAATGCTATAAGAAAAAGAATTTAACACATTAAACACTATACAAATCAGCTGCGGACACTGCAAATGTTGTTAGATGAATCCAGGGAGTCTCTGAGGCAGTAAAATTACACCTGTAAAGAAGAAATATTGAGTCTCATGTTGGTTTATTTCTTGGGTACTACATTAGATTGTTATCACTCCCAATAATGAAATGCCTCCACCATCAATACATATCATGGCATCTCAAACAAGTCCAAAGACAGTGGAGTAATCTACCAGGCAGACACAAAATCCGATCACAAATCATTTTACAATTGCTGTATCTGTCAAAGTGATGAATATGTTTGGCTAGGTCCAGACAGCGCTGCCCTTTCAGAGCTCCCTAAAGACAACAAACACTGTGTAACAACCTCTAATAACACGGATTTCAGTGGAGTTTTCCTCTCGGTCTGAGCAGCTTTATCGATATGACACAGAACGACTGGGGTTAGAAAAGTCTTCATTTTCTCTGTGGGATATGATTATGGGGTTGCTTTTGGGTGTAGCAACAGGGAGCACCCTGTGACAGATTCAGCATGACGAGGCACAACACTAGACATCTTCTCGAAAGGTTTCAATAATAACAACACAGTGCACGCACAGCAGCAGAACACGGAAGAAGAGGTGGTTTTTTTTGTATTTATGTATTGTATTTCTATTAGGGCCGGGACTTTAACGTGTTAATTAAGATTAATTAATTACACAAAAATTAGCGCGTTAAAAAGAATGGATGAGTTTCAGACGGACCGATTGTACTGGAGCACCAACTGGAGCCCCGTGACTTTTTTTGTTCAAAAGTACATTATTACAAGCATAGACCAAATTTCAGAGTCTTTATAATTAGAGCTGGACACCGTTTAAGGTTCAAAGTAGGAATTGACTGAAAAGGATTCAGAATGTGAACCAGAATGTAGTAACTAAAGCAGACTAAAGCATGCATTTTGACGAAAACTGGTTAAATATGGAATTTACTCCTGTTTTCTTGAATACAATTACTTCATTTGGAACCGCTGAGGAACTGGAACCAAAGAAAGGTATCAAAAAAGTACCTGTACCCAAAACAAAATCTCATGTTACACAACGTTTAAGGCTTTAAAAAATGTAATGAGTAATTCCTAAACCCTACCTTTGTGAAAGCTGTAGACACGGGAAATGGGTAAAATCTAAGTCATGGATCATTTTGCTTTTAAGTGTGTGACTTGTGGAATAACATGTGGGTATGAATACTTATCAAGATACTGTATATAATGTGTTTATTCAGGCATTGTACATCTGCATTTCCTGATTTGCATGAAGCATTTCCCACACAGGATTCAATAGAGTTTACAAGGTCCATTACATTCACCCCTGATGCATTGTGCATTAAAGACTTCAGACTTTATAACAGTACGGTGATGCAGCGGCAATGGGAATGAGGTTTAAGAAGCACACAAACACGTCAGAATGTATCAGAGACAACTTCAGTAGCCCTGAACCATAATCCTGGGTCAAAACATCAGCACAAGCACTTAAGATGTGTGATGCAGAGAGCAAAGGGAGTGAAATGGTTCAAAAAGCCAAATGCAAAAAAAGATTATGGTATGCAGTTGAGCAATAGTGAATTCAGTTGTTGCTATAGTGTTGTTTTGTGTGAGTGTGAAGGGACTGAAAATGTGAAAGTGTTTGTGTATCTGTATCAGTCATGTGCAGGTTTGACATTGAAAAGTCTATATTAATTAGGGAAACGATTGGTATAAAAAAAATGTAAGATTGCCATTTTTCACATGTGCTATGCAGAAGTATGCAGCTTGAACACATTTTGTCAAACAAAAACGTTTTTTGTTTTTTTGTATTTGGTTGAAGTATATGTATGACTCTCTAATGCCTCTAGGGACACTTTTTTATCTATTGGTACATGTTTTTAGTGGTAGGGAAAACCTGCCATCAGCATGCCCATCAGCTTCATATTTCTCATTGTTGGCCCTCCCACTGCCAGCACAAGCAGGTAATCCCCATCCCAATTCAATTAAGACGCTCTGTGGTGGCAAGTCTGAATAGAGCTACTGCGGAGACTGACAAATATTGAAGCCTTTTGGGACTCATTGTTGATACTGTGTTTTGTATTCTTTTATGCAGCCTATGGTAGATTTAGTTTATTTAATCTATCTTGCACCCCCCATATCAAAAACATCCCAATCCCATTTGCTCATTCCACATTGAATCAAAGCGATATGCCTGCTTTTGTTTTGACTGGCGCAGAGAGAAAAAGCAGATGGATTAAGAGCCTCAATTACCCCATGCGAAGGAGATGCCTTGTTTTGAGTATGTGTGTAACCGTCTTTCTCTGCGCTGTACCAGGGCAGAGAAGTGGTTGCCACAGTAACAGCAGTTCGGGGTGAAACGGGACGATGGGAAACAGAGGGGGATAGAGATGGAGCGTAGGGGGGGTGGGGGGATTCTTGTGCTGTGGGGGTGGTGGAAGAAATTATGTAGAAATTCAGTCTAATTAGGAAAATGATTGTAGCCTGCTTTGAAATGGATGTGTTAAAAAATGGTAGTTGGATTATCTGCTAGTGTAGCGCTAAAGAACTTTGGAAAGGACTTTGGACAACTTTCAACTGAGAAGAGTAAACCATGTTTTTTTTTTTTGTGTGCATTTATTTGCTTAGCTGATCAGAAAGCCCGGTTTCATCGGCTATCAGAAGCTCAGCAAGACCTGGAAAATCTAGACCCAATACGACAATCACAAAGGCAAGGTACTGTATGTACTGTAGCTCGCACAGCATTCAGCTCTCTGGACGAACTGCATGTCCTTTTCGTCACACGCCTGCATCAAACAAGCATAACTCACACAGAACAGAAGCACTCTAAGGCCTGCGCACACACACACAGACACACACACAAACACACATGGACAGAGGGGATGCATAGCCCTAACCCTAACCCCCATGCAATTCCATGTTCAACCAAGGTCAATTAACTATTTAATAAAAAAAGAATCAAATTGAATTGAATTTCAAATATTCTTCATTTCCATCCCAAATAGTAATATATAATACTAATAACACTGACATGTACTGTACAAACCATCCTGAATGATCTATACAAAAGCTACCAAAAAACAATTGCCCTGAATGTTTATACCAGGACCAAGCCAGAACCAAACCATGTCAACAAGTGCACTATACAGTAGGCAAAACTAGAAGCAAAAAGGGAGACGTGTGAATGCATCCGTGTCTCTTTGGGAATCCCCTTTCATGCACTCCAAAAGGATGAAGTAGTATAATTCACTCTCGTCACTCCCACCCCTCCACAATCGTGTGTCCTTCTCTTTAATCTGAGCTGCAAAGTCAATAGTCACTTGTTTGAGAAGGGAAGTGGACAGGCTTTGAAGTGGGCTGCCATGTGAAAGAAGCCATAATTCTCCCGCTTCTCCTTGGCATGAATAGATTAACAGTGAAAAAATAGAAAAGTGAAACCTAGCTACACCGTGTCTGAAAAATATATAGAGATATCTTAGTGATAATATATGTTAATGTTGATAAATATAGGTTTTATACATTTTCTGAATCTCTCCATAATTGACCAGGTTCAACTAAACATGAACTGTGAATTATCAGAGCAAATCTTCGATTCTTTGTTATGATTCAAGTTTTGTTTTCTCTCTCAAAATAGTTATCTTGTATACTGTATACATATATATACATATATACATATACATACATCTGTGAGCGGGCTTGCATGTGCACAAACCTAGGGCCTTTGTAACTATATAAATACATCAAAATAAAACATCCCTTTTGACTCCTTCATAACTTCAGGTCACATTTGAGCGGAAATTGAAAGTCATTAAGATGTTTTTCTTCCATTTCAAGTAAAGAAAAAAAACATTTTAGGACTTTAAGGCCAACCTGACATATTCTGTTTGCAAAAAGAACATAACTTGTTTCTTAGACAAACTCTCCAAAATGCATATGTGCAGTGCTTTGGCAGAGGAAACTAGGTCCAGGTGCACCTGCGTTTCTGTGTGAAAGTGGAGCAGGGGAGATGGTGGTGGAGATGAAGAGCAGTCTGTCACGTACCAGTCTGTAAAGCTCTGTGACGCTGATCTCCTCTGGGTCCACCATGCTGAACTCCCTCCGCGGCACCAGGTCCAGCCCCAGCTGCCTGTCACACATAACAAGACATTTCAGGGCTCAGCCAGACTAAACATGAAGGACTAAAGTAAAAAGGGGATCGGAGTGCTTGCACTGCTCATGTTAAGATGTACCATATCCAAATCCATTTACTTTTGTAATTTAACATTGTGAAAGTGATACAACACATGTAACTCATTGCATGAGAAGTGAGATATATCAAACCTTTATTTGTTTTAATGTTGATAATTGTAAAAACAGCTTGAAAAAACCCTAAACAAAAAACCTCAAGAAGTATACGTGCATCAAGTGTTCGGAACTTCCGGTTTGACAGCACGGCATTGTGGGTAGGTGGGTCAAAAAGGTGGGCATCAAATCACGACTGCCGTATTGGATTACTTGTTGAGAACGTGAACTTTCTCTCTTGTTTCCTGCCCATAGATTATTTTAAAAGCTAAAAAATTCCCCAATTTCAGACATTTTGAAGGTAAGGTAAAGATTATTTCATTTAACAAAAAACCAATACATTTTTTTCTTGTGGTTTTAGATGTAAACACAACTGACCGACTGACTACAGAGCTACATGTAGCCTATGCGACTTACGAGGATCGAATGCTTACACACGAGCTTTATAAACTTGCCCAAAGCCGTACATTTTCAGTTGTAACGCCCCATTTCTTTTCTTACAGTGCGATACCGTGTCCATGGTTTACGGGCAATACGGTTTCAGTGCCGCGTTCTTACAGCCATGAAGATCGCACATCGAGACACTCCACTCCAGTTCCCGAGTCGTTGCCCACTGTTAGGACAGTTAAAAACAACACAATTCCGGTGCCCGGTGTGCGGTGGTGAGTTTGATCAAGTTGCTGTTGTATTTGTTTTGTACCCACCTTGTGACAGTTTTGCCTTACACAATGTACAGTCCACTTTACTCTTTAAAAAAACTGCTATACGTGCGACATCCACTAGATTTTTTTTCTTGTTGCAGATTTTGGCGATCACCATGGCAACACATACCCACTTTTTTAATGTAAATTAAAAAAGTGGGTATAGGTTGCCTGGATCGAGTCGTATGGTATGAGTACGAGTACAAGGCTGTGGTATCGACCAAATACTCGATTCTAGTAGCCAAAGCATCCACATTACAGTGAGACCCTTGACACTTTCTATGACCGCTGTGTTGCCAGATCTGCTCAGTTACATATTCAGACACATGTGACAGATGGTCCTCGCCCAGGCATAAGATGAAAGACAAAAATGTTTCCTTAAGCTTCCCCCCTCCCGCTAGGACACGTTATCCTTCCTTCCCAAGCTGCTAGTCTTCCTCCTCTGTCCTTAAATCCTTAAAACCGTTCCTCACCGCTGACTGCACCCCACATGTTTTATCTCCTTCCTGGTCTATTGCCATCTCCCTTACCCATAATATTAACGTTCTTCCCTCCTTTGAGAGTGCCCTCCCAGTGGAGCAAAACGCCACTCTGTTGCTAAAATAAGATTGACCAAGCATCCGTGGGGTTGTACCAAGGGAGAGAAAGAAAGCCTGTGACAGGGCGAGTTCAATTGTTATTTACATTTGAAATACTAAAAACTAAAATGGAATAGGGAATGTGTTAAGAAAAAGTGGCGTTCATGTACTTCAATTAAATAGTAGGCTTTAATTACTTTCCCAATCGCCTGTTTTGATGGCAACCTTTGCGGAGGTCCCTTGTAATGCTTCTGAGGACCTCACTTTGGGATATACTGCTTTATAGTATCGCCAAAAGTTATATTGTGTGAATTACAGACATTATGCTGGTCTGAGTGTGACTGGATTGGACAGCTGAGGACAGCCGAAGGGAATCAGAAGTGATGAAGGACATACAGTGCAAACGCAGTAGAACATATACTTTTGGGATATTTTCTCCTCTGCGCCCGGATTGAGACAGAGACGAGTGAGGGACTGAGGCTGCAGGGAAGATGACCACAACAAAAGGCACAGGATTCTCCAGTCCAGCCGGGACCAATGAATAATGGACAATGTACCGGGCTGCAATAACTTTAGATTACTCAAGAAAGTGCCAATGGATAGAATTTGAAGTGTACACTGGAGGATGTCTGAGGAAGTCTCTCGGTTGATAAATGTAGGCATTTTAGGCAGTTTTTTTTAGGGAGGGATAACATCATACCAATTAATAAAAATAAAAAAATTGACTAAAATGGGTAGAGCTGTCACCCGTTTTCACACTGTATAAACACATAACACATTAACCTGCAGGTTTAAAGTTGAATAACTTTAAACAACTTTTAAGCTGTTTATTGATGTACTTGTCCGTCTACTCAGACTACACCTGCTGGTATGCCTTTCAGTTGTATTTAGTTATCATTGTCACATAAATAGATTAAAGCTATACCCGATTTTTTTGTATGAGTTCATAAAAATGCTTATTACTACACATAAATTGTATTATAATCCATCATTTAATTGAGAACATGAGCTCATCGATTCAGCCTGTGTATGAATTCCGGCCGTATGAAAGTGCAGAGTAGAGACTTGGCGTAACCCCTACTCTCCACTCACAGAACTAGGAGCGGCGCTGTTCACGAATAGGCCACGTCCTCTAGCCTCTACAGCGCTGCTAAACGCAGAAGCATGTTAGCAGAATTGGCTATAACTCCTCTTGCAGTAACTGCAGACACAGCAAAACAGCCCAAACGACACAACAGTGAGGAAGAGAAGAGGAACTAAAGCAAAAAAATGCTCAAAGAAGAAATCAAGCCCGGGTGAACATAGCTAGCTTACATCGTATCCTCTGGAGAGACTTATAGTCTATGGGAGAGACCTGTGGGAGCGGGACCGCCTCGGACTACATTCGGACGCGAAACTAGCGGTAATCTTTCAGTTATATATTTTTTTAGCAGTGCGTTGCTTTTGTACCATTTCAGTGATTGTTGTACAGCTTACAAGAAGTTACATAAGCTCAGGCAAATGTTTACATATGCATCAGATCGCAAATAAAACTGATGGCTCCGTGGCAGGAGAGCGTAGGGGAAATGAAAAGCCTCTGAGCGAGTTGAGGGGCGGGGCTAAACATTTAAACCTTGCAGAAACGGGTATAGCTCCTTTAAGTGTAAAAAATTTCCAACATGTAAAAAGAAAGAGCAGTGACGTAACTTTACAGAAATTTATGTTCGGACCAAAATATCTTAGCAACTCAGAGCAATCAAAACAAAACACTGGAGATGGATCAGTCAGCAAAGTATAGAGAATGTTTATGCGGACCAGTTATTTCCCAAAGTGTCTTTTATGATTTCATAAAAGCTTTCGTGGATAACTGGATACATTTGCATTGTGCATCCAAATGTTTCTCAAATGCTCTGCAGTGTGAGATATAGATTGCATAAATTGTTGACGTGGCTGTGCGTGTAATGTTATTACATATTTAAATGCTCCATGGTGCAGGTCCCTGGTTGAGTTTAGGACAGAACTTCATTAACTCTGTAATAATGGCTCCGCTGTAGAAACAATCAAATGTAAAAGGAATTCTCGTTCTTACAATGAGATTATCTTGAAACTTGTAACACAAACCCAAACAATGGAACTTTGCATCTAAATTTAACAGAAAGGGTGATACCAAAATGTATGTTAGAAAATACATAGCCTCAAGTTTTTTTTAGCTCATGTGATTACCTAACATTTCAAAGAGGGCAGCTGACAAATCCTGGAAACTACGGAAACTGTCAAAAGTTTTTGTTAATTTCTCTGTAATTCCTTGATCAATCCACACGTAACAATGTCCCACATGTTCTTTGTCAGCACATTATGTTCTGATGGTCTTCAAGTGGTGACAATATGTTGTATTGACACCTGCCCTCCAACTGAAATGTCAGTACTCGAACATGAACACAAGTTATTGTTACAGCAGTAAATCCAAGAGGATATAAAGTGATCAAACATGCATGAATCACTCTAGAAACAACTTTAAGTGGGTACACGGAACGAAAAATCAATTATAATATGGTGAAGAGATGTGGGTGTGCACTCACTCGTTTCCCCAGTCCAAGCGGGCCGTGATGTGCTGTTTGACGTCCCTCATGCGGTCATGCGTGAGGTGGCCCACCAGCACCTGCCGCCTCAGGTCCAGGATCTCATTCATCACGTGCCACAGCCGGTGGAACAGGTCGCCTTCATTTTTCTGTGGTGGGGTAAATCAGCAGTCATAAATAAAATACAATGACAAAGTCTGTTTCAACAGATGACCACAGATCAACCCAGCTTTCGCCTCCATCCACCTGGAAGAAGATACTGTATGATTTTACTGCTGGTTTAGATAACAAAACTAGACACACAGAAAAGTGAAAAAGGGCCAATTGAGTGAAATTGTTTCTAATTAATAGTGTCTGATTTGTTCACAGAATTGTACTTACAAACGGCACGTATTATTCATGAAAGTTAAACTTAGGTACCCAAGCTTTAACTTCATGTAGCATTTATGAGTCGCGTTATGCCAGTGATAAAATATATTTATGAACGATGTCTTTGGACTAGGATCAGAAGAATTAGATATGGCTCTCTGGGCGATGTGAGACAAGTAATAATATACATAGGAGACAAAAGTTACTGTTACCGATGGGTGCCATGTATTTACAGTGAAACTAGTAACAAACAAGACAACATTTAGTGTATTGAAAGGGGTGTGTGGAGTGGACAGACTACAACAGCCTCCTACTCTGACTGCAGGAGCATGTTGGTTGTTCTGACTTTGGTACTTGCTCGCCATTGGGGTTCAGGTTGTGTCTTACCAAGACACAAAAATGGCCAATTCCCCCATATATTGACTGCCCAGCGGTCACCACGAAACGCAACGTGATTCGCTGAGGTTGTTCTCGCGATGGTAAATGGGAGCGCAGAGAATTAACAATATTAAAAGTTTTATTTCATCACAGAAATAATATCTCATGTGGTTTACATATACACCAGAATGCCTTTGTGCTTCACAGGATTAGACAGAATTAGTGTGCGTTTTATCTTGTAATTTTTGTTATTTGTATGTATAGCTTCATGTTTGTGATGTGTGCCAGTTATTTGTTTTTTTTTTGACTCCTCTGCTTTGGAACTGCTCCCGTATAGCATATACTCAAATGAGATTTTCCCATAAAAAGCGAATTTGATCTTCTCTAATCAAAATTGCAGAACAAATTGTGACTGTGCAGGTAGAAGAACAAGCATGAAAAAGGCAGAGAACAAGGAGACTGGGAATCAAGCAGACGGACGACTCAAATAGATCATTGCAAATTAACTCCACAGTCCTGCCAAGGCGGATTTATTCACTTTGATCCAGGCGAGTCTCTCATTTCAACATAGACATCTTAATGGGCTACCAACACCATTACTTCCCCTAATGAACGTATCCGGGCGTAGCTTTCGGCTGTTTGGGGTTGCGATTGTTTGGGGCTTACTGAAAAAGAATAACCTGTACAAAAGCAATTGAGCTGAAGCACTGGCGATATCTAAATGAACGCAGTTAGTGGAATGATTGTTCTTACCACATAGAGCTGTTTCCACATGGCGCCCCAGTCCCGGAGAGTGGAAGTCATCTCGGTGATAACGGTGTCCTCCACAGGAATGACGGTCTCGAATTGGCTGCGAAAGATAGTTGGTTTTAAGACTAATCATTGAAACAGGGTTCAATGCTGTCGTTGATAACAGACTTGCTGGAGACAAGTTATGCATCTTATTGATATGTTATCCGTGTTACAAAATTGTCCATTTGTCAGTCACCAACTTGTTTTTAGATCCACCCACACTAATACTTTTGTTGAAAACATGTAACTCTGCCATTTCTGTCTAAAGCTCTCTCTCAGTAATAGCCCCAGACAAAAGCTCTGAGCATGATGTCGTAGTGGGACAATGATATCATGCTCAGAGCTTTTGACAATTTCACAGTGAAATTACATTCTTTACAGTCGAACGGAGAATAGATGTGTTTGCAGCCAGTTATTTTCAAATTTGGAGAAAAAAACATTAAACCAAATCTATCTCCTTCCTCTGATGGTAACAAGGTACATGAACTCCAAAGACTAAAGAAAAATAGTGGATCTGTACCATTGTGTGATTGTGAAGTCTGAAACAGAACGTTGTTATACTGGAAAGTGGTAAAGGCATACTCTTACCCTTTATTTTTGATGTGGGCATTCCTCAGGTGGATGAAGTTGGCCGGGAATATTCCCTTGAGACAGAGCAGAAAGCATGGGTTAACCAAAAAGCACATGTCTTCCATTCTCTCATTCTTAACAGCAGTGCAACTCAAACACAATGAGAGACGATTATTAAACAGGAAAAAAGAACTTACAATTCTCACATTATATTGAAATCCTCCAAGACATTTTGATTCCTACCCTAATAAGGAAAAATATCTACTAAAAAGGTACGCAAATTTTACAGTTGCTCCAAATGATAAAACATGTTAACCAATAAAAAAATCTGACCTTTTTTAACAATTGTTTTCATAGGCTTAGATATTGACTTATAAATGTCCATGAGGGCTGGAGGACTCCACATGTCATAGTGCCATCTTGAAATACAGTGACAAAAAAAAAAAAAAGAGTTTGACCGGGAGTTGGGGACCACTGTCAAAGACGACATATTGTACTGCGAAGCTACCTTAGCACTGAAGATTGCAATATATGATTTCAATACTAGATGGGAGTAAAAACTACACATTGTACCTTTAACATTCACTACAATAAGTAGGGATGCACAGATACCGATACTGGTATCGGGTCGATCTTCAAAAGTCGGACGCGAGAAAGCAAGCTAGCGGGAAGCAAGCTAGCGGAAAACAAGCTAGCTGAAAGAAAGCTGGCCGAAAGCAAGCTAGCGGAAAGCAAGCTAGAGGAAAGCAAGCCAGCGGCAAGCAGGCAAGCGGCACATAGGCTAGCCGCGTACGGTAAACGAGACTTACAAGAGTAAAGCGAATATCAGCACCTTGATAAATTTCACAGAGTAACCTTCGCAAGCACTGGAGCTATATCCAAGTACATTTATATGAGTGGAATATGACTTCTTATTGACTGTTACAACAATTGCCAACATAATGAATTGTTAAAGCATTTTCTTATTGTTGAAATAACACTATTCAGTACTCGTATCGGTAATTGGTATCGACAAGTACTCAAATTAAAGTACTCGTACTCATTTCAGTTTTGAAAATAGTGGTATTGGTGCATCCCTAACAATAAGTAAAGAAATCCGGACTTAAATAGAACAACACGAGGGGCTAAGTGATACAAGGCACTCCAATTGAATAATGAATTCTTGTGACTAGATCCCTTATATGCAGATTTTCAAATACCCAGTAAGAATCAATTGTGTAGAAAAACTGAATTGCGCTATGCTCAATACTTTCAGAGCATAAGTGTGTTTGTTTATATGTGTGTGTGGGTGTAAATTCTTTTTGTGTGTGTGTTCTTAGGTGTTAAAAAAAAATTGTTTTGGGGTCTGTTTGGGTGGTTCGGCGTTGACGGGACATGGGAATATTTGGAAAGTGTTTTGTAACTCATTGCTATATAAATAAAGGTTTCTGGCTAGTGTCATGTTTAATCTATTGGAAAACATACTAAATAATTAGGAAAGCAGGCACGTATATTTGTATATTTGTAATGTATATTTGATAATCACTAGGTAACTTTGTCACTAGTCACTTTACCATGTTATCAGTACTTACTCAGTTTATCTAATATCTGATATTTACTGTTATCAGTACTACTGTATTATTTCATATCTGTTAATTCTGCCTCTTCCACCGTCACTTTACCTGTTGATATTATTTCTGTGTTTATTCTGCTCATATTCTTCCGCTGCTAATTGTATAATATAGACATCTGTAAATACTCGAACAAGTGCCAAGATTGGTAGCCTGATTTTCTTATTTTATTTGTTTTTATCTTAAATTTATTGTATAGTATCATTAAATAATAGACTTTGATAGTGTGCATATCTGCGTGCTCTTATTTCCTTTCTTCTGCTGTAATGTGCAACGCTGATCACTGAAATTTCTTCACTGTGAGACTAATAAAGGTTCTATCTTATCTTCTATTATCTTAGCACCATATAAAAGGCAACTCCCTCAGTTGTATGCACAGCTAAACATTAAATATAAAATAATCCCACTGTTAAAAATTATAACTCCGTTGTATTTTAACATTTTAACATGTCATAGAGGAGGCCTGTCTCACATCTTCAGGAAGATTGTTCAAATTTAGCAGCGATGAATCTGGAAATAGCAGCCTCCCATGTTTAGTTTGCTGACTCTGGGCACTAACAGGAGTCCAGTCCCTGTGGTCCTCAGAGTCATGGCTGGTTCATATGGGACTAACATGTCACTAATTATATTTTGGTGCGAGGCCATGGAGAGACTTGTACACAAGCAGAGCTGTTTTAAAGGGTCTATTCTCTGAGTCACAAGGAAAGCAGTGCAGAGACTGAGGACTGGATAATGTGGTCGTACTCCTGGTTCTTGTCAGGACGCGAGCTGCTAGCATTGTTGAATGTACTGCAGCTGTTGTACAGCCTGTATTATTAAAAGGGGTGAGTGACGAGGAAGATGTGTGGGGGTCTAGAGTGTTTGGGCCTGTGTCAGAGATGAATGAATTTTGGGGATCCCCAGCTTCCTCAAAGTGTTTGCTAATCTTCCTGGGGTCCAGTTAAGACAAAATGTATTCCAAATAAAAAGTAAATAAATAAGACAATCATTAATTGCCATCATTATTGGGTGGTGTATTTTTTGTTCAATGGTCTTTTTTCAAATTAAAATCGAAAAGTAAATAATCTTAAAAAACTACGTGTACACTTCGATCATTAGTTATTACGTTTCAAAATATAAAATCAGAAAATCAATATTTGCCCATTTGTTTATTGGTTCTTTTATTTTCTAAACTTCGATTGAAAAAATAATCCCTTTGATGCTTCTAAATCAATGGGTTTGTTTTGGCTCTAGTTGTTTGGAAATTCTCAAAGAATTATGGCAATTACTTATTATTCGTTTTATTATTTTGGCGACACCGGAAGAGAGAAGACGACCCGCGAAGGAGCTCCGCGGTTCGGGGTCCTCAAAGCCCGAGGCCAGGGGGCTATCAGACGGGGGGGGTGGGGACCCAGGGACTCCCCTGGTCCCGGGGAACTCGCGGGTTCCTGTGAATTTGACGCGGCACGGGATAAAGGTACCAGAAAGTTGTATGGCCCTTGAAAAACCACGGGGGACCGCGGTCTTGCCATCCGCCCAAGTCGCGCCTCATTTGGGGGAGGGAAGCTCGGCTTCCAGGGCCCCATTGTCAAAAACGAATACAGGGGTTCTAGAGCACGGGGTTTTCACCCACGCACTCCTTCCGGTTCAGGGCTATCACAGGGCTTTGCTCCCGCTCAGACCGGGCTCTGAGCCACTCATTTCCGGAGGAAGGAAGCCCGCTTTCCGGGCTCCCTCAAAGCCGAGCCCAAGGGGTTAGGAGACACGGGGGTGGGACCCCGGGTCTACCCTGGTCCCGGAGAGACCCGCGGTGTGAATTTGACGCGCGGGGGACAAGAGGACCAGAACGTTATGGCCCTGGGAAACCTCCGGGGGGGTGACCGCGCGCCTGCCATCCGCCCAAGAGCGCATCATTATGGGGGAGGGAGAGGACCGCCAGCAGCAGGGGCAGGAGGCACGCTGTCCATACCCCCGTGCTTAATGGATTAAAGGGTAGAAGATGGATGGATGGATGGATGGTTATCAGGCGATCATGGATCACAAATGCATCACGAATTGAATCAAATGTGATGTCCTGAATCATAACACTCCCACATAAATTCGAGATAGAAAATGGCTCAACGCTTGCTGTAAAAGTAGATCTTGGTTTGATCAAGAGTGGGAAGCCCTGCTCTAGTGGCATTGCAGGATGAGTCAAATGCAGAGGACAAATTGCCCTTTATGTATAAGCACACCTTAACCTTGTTGTTGACAGCACAGTACAAGTACAACACAATTAACATAATAGGATGCACCAATTGTGAGATTTTGGGTCGATACCAATGTTTAACAACTTGGCTGATGGTTGATGGTTGGCCAATGTTTTTTTCTATTTGGTGAAAAAAAAAGAAAAAAAAAAGTGATTTGTAAACGAACTAGAGAAATACAATATACAAGCATGAAGCAATCTCAAAAGGCTGAAAACTTGATAAGAAGTTTTGAGTGAAACCACTGCATTGATGGCATCAATAGTGTATCATTCACAGAGGGTTAGAAACATGACCACAATATCAGCAATGCAATTTGCCTAAAACTCGAAAACTGAAAGAACAAAGGTAAAGGGCAGGTGTTCAATGATCATTCAAGCAATAGTCATTTTAATGCAGGAGAATTGTCACTGAAAGCCCTAACCCACAATCCTCTTTCTCACGGCTATGGGCTGGATCAGAGGGCATCAAGAGCATCCACCCAAGATGATGAAAGGTGATGCAAAAACAATGAAACTAAATCGTACTAACGCCAAAGGAAAGATATTACATGCATTAGCATTTAAATTATGGAGTTATATCCATACACACGTGTATGTATGTATAATAATAATATTATTAAATATATATATATATATATATATATATATATATATATATATATATATATAGCTGTTTTGCTGTGACTGAAGTTACAGCCAGAGCAGGTATATAGGCACTTTCTGCCTCCATTCTGCTCTTGTTTACCAGCGCTGTAGAAGCTAGAGGACACAGCCTCTAGCTTCTGTGAGTGGAGGAGAGCTAGCGTCACGCTAAGTCTCTACTCAGCACTTTTTACGGCCTGAATTCATACACAAGCTGAATCAATGAGCTCAAGTTTTCAATTAAATTACCGATTATTATACAACTTGTATGTAGTAATAAGCATTTTAATGAACTCATTAAAAAAAATCTTTAACATTGCAGCATTCAATAACATAAAGATAAAATTACAAATATTGTCAACAGGAAAATGTTTGTAATTTCCGAATAAGAGAGTTGACAAGTACACTAAATGGCCATTGTACTACAAACAAATAAGAATGTAATGTAAGTGTAGGGTCGTGCATGCCCCTGGGGCTTGGGAGGAAATAGCACAGAGGAAGTGAGAGGTGTGCAAAACAACAAGGCTTAATCGAAACCGCCGCCTGAGATGTGGTCTCAGGGGCAGAGCCAGATACAGTGCCTTGCGAAAGTATTCGGCCCCCTTGAACCTTTCAACATTTCGCCATATTTCAGGCTTCAAACATA